ATAATATAATAATATAATGTAATATAATATAATATAATATAATATATAATAATATTATACTGTTCCTTGTTTAACTATCTCTTTGAGTAGGAAAGAAAATATATCAGAACTGTTTTACAGGGTTCGTAAATAAGTAAATTTTTCAACTTGACGAACAATGCGATTGATTAAAAACTCTTTTAGTGAGATTTATCGAATTAGCATAATTGTTTTATCATTATGTTCGATTGGTTTGTTCGTGTGAAATTTTTTTTGGAAAACTGGATTTTTCAGTGTATCTTCTACATTATTTACGTCGACAGCAGCAGCAGCAGTAGCGGCAGCATCAAATTCAGCCGTGTTGACACCAATTACAGAAATGATACGAATATTGCAACAAGCGCATATGTTCAATTCACAAAGACACAATAGTACTGGTAGCGTCCAGCGTGGTTTTAGCTTGTTGCAACTTATGCAAGAACAAACTAATGTTGGAAAATGAAAGTGTCTTAATAATTTTTGATTTCTTCAAATTCATTAATTCTTAAGCTACACTTTCGGAAGCATAAAGTTGCTTTTTAGATTTTGTAGAATTAGGATTTCTAATTTATTTTTCAAAACTGGAAACTTTTTAGATAAGTTCGAAAGTTCCCGGTGGTTTCTTATGTTAGTTGCTTTCATTTAAACTATTCTTCTATAATTTTTCGGAACGGAGTTATTTTATCAAAGGGAAAGAAGTATTCCAGGATTTGAAATTTCTAATATGCATAAATTGAAATTTGAGTACACTTTTCTTTTTTTAAACTGTGGATAATTTTTATTTTTGTTTAGAAACGACCACTTGCTGTGTATTCTCGATTGTGTCTTATTTCTTTTCATGTTTTGTTCCATCCGCCGTCATTCTTCTCAATTCTTCCTTACATGTTGTCTTAGTTCTTACCAAGATTGAATTGGATTATTAGCTTCTAAATTCTTTTATTTATAAGAATGCTTGAAATTCTTTAAGTTTTAAGGAGATAAAACTTACAAATGTGACGCTCAATTAAAGTATAACATGAGTCGTGTTAAATGTGTTCGCATTTCGAATGAGTAAATTCGAAATAATATTTATTCAAGGAGATAGTCGGCGCTGTCAATGATTACACCGTCGTTTTTTCCACTTTTTTTAATTGTCGAATTTTCTCTAAGATCTATGTCATTTGTCTCCTACACTGACATTTGCGTAGTTATCTTTCAAAAGGGTATTCCTGAGAGCCCAATTTTGCTATTTCTTATTTTTTTTTACATTTTAACGACAGATTTGTCCACCCTGGTGATGATTGATAATGATACATTTTATGTTCATAAAAGCGTGTGTGTGTGTATGTGTGTGTGTGTGTGTATGTATGTATGTATGTATGTATGTATGTATGTGTGTATATGTTTTGCGTTTTTGTACAACAGAAATCTCGCTGCTACGGTGCAATGTCCACTTGTTCTCTGCTTTTATTGAAATTTAATTTTAACGAAGCGAGTGTAATTATTCAACAGTCTGACAAGAAAATTATATTTTTCTGTGATTTTTTTTGATTTGATTAAATTGTTCAAATAATGCATTTGTTCACGAATTGTACGTAATTGTTGTTACATTACATGCTTTTCGGTGTAACTTCAAATACGTGGAACTGTTGGTGGAAGATGAAGTGTGGAAGTGCTGTTTATGGGATGAACTTCATTATTGTATAGCGCCGTAACAGCATTCGGAATAAACATGCTAATAAGTGATTGCAAAATTCACAGATCCGATATGATTATCCAATTATATGATAACAATTTGAGTCATATTAGTTATTGACAAGATTTTGTCTTTATCAAAAAATAGTAATGATGGGGTAGGTGGATGATGTTCACCTTTTACCAATCGCATATTTTATCAATCTTGCGTTTGCTGGTTTTTTTTTCTCAGGCAAAGTCTGAGTGTCTCTTGTAGGGAAATACTAATCGATAATTCAAATGAGGGAAATCGACTGCATTGTCAAATGCTGAGGGAGAAAAGAAATATGAAATTATTTCAAGCTTAATGGGATTGGTCAATTCTTTGAATGATTGATATGCATAATAGCTTATTAGAGATTCAATCGAGTCGGGCACACTTCAGATTTTTCAATATCCGAATCTACTCTATTGCGATAGTTAATGATAATGAATGCAATGGTAAAAATGATGGGCGTGAAGATGTTTCATATGTTTCAAAACATAGATGCTAATGCTAAATAGCATCAACTATGGACAAATCCCCCGTCTAATGTCCATGAGTGATGCTACTGATTGTAATAATTTTGTTTGAGAGGATATAATAGTGTCAAATATTGATGAAACAGTTTGAATTGAACTTCGGGGAAGTAGGTAGTACTTTAGCAAAAATGTGATTTCTGTTAAGACACAACTAGATGTAAATTACATATCCAAACGTCTCCATCGGATATGATTTTGAAATTGATGACTATTGATGGAATTTGAAATTGGCGGAACTGCGAAATTTTGTTCCACGTACGCACTAATGAAGACGTTACATTTGGTAGTCATAATGTACCTTTGTGACATTGTTGTAGAGATGTAGTGAAATAGTGTCATCTGATTAGGAGAAAACATTGATAGCCGATATCTAAAGCTACGTGTAGACGCACTTTACAAGTTTTATCTTTTCTTTTAATTTTCATAATTTGTAACTTGAGAATCATATTGTTAAACGGAAAATTTACACACACCGCCTTTACATTTGATACTAAGTGACGAGAAATGATTAGAATCCAAAACTCATCTACCAGAACTACCAGAAATTCGAAGTTTCATGTTTATCAAAAATGTTATAATTTGATCTGAGCATTGAATTAGAGATGTAGTGAAATAGTGTCATCTGATGAAATAGGGGAAAACAAAAAAATAGTGTCATCTGATGAAAAGAAGAAATATGAAACTTCGAATTTTTTTGATAAATATGAAACTTTGAGGTAAGTTAGTTTTTTACAACTATGACATTGCTTAATTTTGAAGACAAATCACAGATAATCTGGTAATTATGCATTAATCGACAATATCTATATAACTATTTTCAAAGAGACTGTTGGTGAAGCTGAATTCTGAAATATGATTTAAACAAATAATAGACGCAAATCAGAAAAAATCAAAAACTTAAATCAGACAAACAAACATACCATTCATATTGTGATCGGTCTGGTCTAGCATGCTGGATTTCTCCGGCGAATAATATTTCCTTTCTGTCTTGTTTTCCATATCTATGATATAGATCGATTTGTATTAATTGATCTGCCATTGATTTCGAAATATTCAACTTCATTTAAAATTTTCTCTCACAAATATGTCGTTAAATAGTTGAGCTTATGAATACTAAGCATTGCAATATTATTGCAGTCATCGATGCAAAATTATCAAGGAATGCTTAAAATATTTTCGTTCTATTTCACTGTAATTAAGTTCTTATTGAATTCCTTATTGGATCGAGCACAATTTTACAAACTTACTTTCAAGATGTAATGCTTTCAACGTATGAGTAGGTTGTTTCGACATTTCTGCACTGATGTTGCATGAAGCTGCAACTCTCAAAGACTAAAAAAACGTATAAAAGGTCGAAAACTGAGTAGTCCTACAAGGATTTTTTAACTTTAGTAAAATTAAAAACAATAAATACTATGAAGTTTCCTTAATTTTAATAAGATTAAGATACCAGAACTTTTTGAAATAAGTCAAATGAGGATGGAATACCTACTGCATCAGGTATAAATATATTCATCTGATGCATGCAAGTTGCAAATAAGTCTGAATGAAGACCCCAACTATCTTCGAAATAGTTATCATCAAAAATGAAGTCGCTCAAGCTATCTTTTCTATGTTGGTTGACCATTTCTTCGGGATGGGTCACATCGATTGACTGCAAACAACTGATTTAAATTAAATCTACCTATCCTCAGAATTCACTTTATTAAGTCTTTCCTATCTCTAACTCATTCCATTCATTATAAGCGTGATTTACCACTCAAATCATCCATGGAAACTGTAACTTGGAACTTACTTTTGTAAAGTTGAGGGCGATGGATTGTTTATTTGCATAAACTTTAACTTTGGTCATTGGAAGTGCGTTTACATGTGTCTCCTGCTCTACGGCGGTATTTTCTTCCACATCTGTTATTTCAGCTCTTTCATGATTCAGGCTACTGTCCTTAACATGTAACTTGGTTAAAAAATCAAATAAATAAGAAATATGAACTCATTTTTTTCCCTCTCCCGACCGAGGTTTTCTGGATTTGGGTGTGAATGATCTAAAAATTCCAAGCAAAGCATGAATTAAATACCAATGTGCGATGTCGTTTATTATCAAGATTTCCCTTCGGATGAAAGGATAAGAATGGGAATGTAAATGAGAATATTCCTTCGATTCTTTTTAACAGCTTCCCGAAAAGTTGATCCGCATTCCCTGCAAATCAATACATTAATTTGGAAGAAAAGATGCAATAGAGAGAAAGATTCTTTGTTTTTATAAATTTCACTATATTTTTGATTCAAATTTAATGTGATAATTGAGATAAATTCAAATTTGGAAATCCAATTCACAAAAAGATAATGAGATTCGGCTGCATAATATGCTGTGATAGTAATTAAGTAGTGGTAGTAACAAGAAGTAATCTATGACAGAGGACTGGATGGCAATGGGGAGTAATGTTGGATACGGAAAAAATGAGTAAAAGATGAAAATCTGTTCAACTAAAATGGAGTGTCTCATATTCGATCTATTCAAATTCGTAGTAATAAACAGGCTGAGCAATTCATCGGAAACGATACTTTCATATTAGTGTTAGATAAATTTGCATACAATGCAATCATTGGATGGGAAAATGAAAAAAGGATATAAAAAATACAAATGGACCATTATTTTCTCCGATCTATCATAAAATTTCATTTTAATTAAGCCAAATTCTATTTTGAAAAATAAGTTAGAAAAATTTCCTTCTATGTTATTTTCGTGAATGTTTATAAGAGAATAAATATTATATATTGTGGAAATTATAAGTCATTTCAAATGATTCATTCATTGTACAACAAACAATATTAGCTATAAAATGTTGATAGAGATTGGAATTACAACGGATTACAGTTACTAAATGATATCAACGCATGATAGCTCTACTCTATCATTGTAATAGAAGTTAGAAATAGTGATAATAGAATAGAAATTCAGTTTCAATTCTTCCCCATAGAATTCAATGCTGATTTATTTTTTTTGAAATAGTATAATGGATAGAATCTATTAACAGCGATTTTAAAGAGTAAAATGAATTTGGCATGAAATGAGAACTATATGAGATCAATAATTATTGGCATATGTAGGAACAGTTCACGGTTGATGTTATTATAAACAAATAAAAAAGATTAAAACGATAGTGCAATGTTTTAAAATAACAAATAGATTTATATACGATACAGGTTGACTCAAATCGTCTAGTTGTTGTTCAATATATGAGTGAATCATTGATGAATTTCAGAACATTACTTGTTACGGAAAATGATAGAAGTTCCGAAAGAATGCATAGATGGTGTCGGCAGTACATTGGTGCTAAGATGGTGTAATTTCTGATGTGTTTCAGATGTCACATTGAAATGATTTTGTTTCTTTCAATCTTAACTGAATTAAATTACTCATTTCAAAATGTTTGAAATAGTGATACATATTCTTATGAAGTAATAACATTTAGTACAAGTTAAATGCGCTTTCGCTTTTTAATACAATATATGCTCATCAGATGAATAAATAAGAAAGGAGAATTATTATTATTATTATGCAGGTTGTAGCATAATAATTAGACTTGAAAATGATAGCTATTAGCTTTCATAACAACGACAAGCATCATTTGTTGTATTTAATTGTAACTGTAATAGCTTGGTCAATTGGTCATTTATTTTCATTTCTTTTTTTCTATCTCTAAAAATTGTGTGCAGCAATTACAATTTTGCAAAAGCTTAAAGGTTCGACAACGAAAACTGTCAGGAAAACAGTTTAATATTTAGCTGATGTTATTGATAGTGCTACTGCTGTATTGAAATTAATAATCAATAAATATTGGGATCAATAATCAGTACAATGGATTATTGATAATATGAATGGTAACGATTTTATTAACATGATAAGTGAAAGATCGTTTGTGAATGCAACAAACATGTTATTTTATTTTTAGAAAATTGTTCATTTGAAAAAATAATGGCCAGGAAAGCAAAGATTTTTTCGATTTTGGCCTAGAATGCATATTTCTAAAAGACCATATATGTGTAAGAAGCAACAAAATAAAATCGCTTGAGTTCCCTAAATTCTTGATTAAGGAAAATAGCAAAGAATATGTGGACATACAAAAATTTGCTATGATTCTTTTTAACCAATCCCATATAAGTCGTCCTTTACATTTTCTTCGAATTTGGGCTACTTTGCTGTTACTCTTATCACGCATAATGACATCAGCGTAACCAAAAAGCAATTCAGATAGTTATAGATAATCTTGAATGAAAGTTTTAAACATATCAAATCGAAATAATCAATCGATCTAAACCCTTCATTTGCAATTCCAATTTAACAAAACATTAGTAAGCTAATCGATGAGACGTAGGAAAAAAGACTAAACGTTTGATCTATACAAATTGTTAAGATTTTTGTCATATCCAATTGGCCGAACTTAAAAATTTTGTGCTACCTTCTATTAAAATATTAATCAAATTAACTAATGTAAGCTAATGAAGCAAATTAATTTCTTCCACATATAGAATAACACTTTAATAAACTTTTTTAAACTGCTGAAATGACAACATTTTCAGGCTCTTAAATTGATAATGGCTTGGTCCCAGTGACTTATTCCATTCAATTAGCATCTGTATCGAGTCATTTCTCGAAATTTTGGGCGCACTACTTATATAAGGATTAATGAAATTTCTTATAGTCCGCACTACTCATAAGAATTAACCAAAGTCGAGAAATTAAAACCAAAAATGAACGCAAATGCATGTAAAAGAATAAAATTATAGTCTTCTATATAACCTACTAAAACATCTTCATCGGAAATTTGCAACTTTACTCGCCACATATTTTCTTTGGACATAAATATCCACAATAGTCGTTTTTCGATCTAACTTCGGAGGAAAAAGCGCGTGCCACCCAATCTTCACTGCAACAATTTTAGTGAGAGTTTGACCTTTGAACACAATACAATATACAAGATTTTTCCATAATTATCAGTAGACTATCAACATAGCTATATCACCAAGAACAATTGCCGCTCAGCATTATCAGGCCAAGGAGAAGTTATACAAATGATGATATTCCTTTAAAAAGTAAGTAAATAGTATGAAAAATTCTTTTTAAATTTGTATATTAAAAATGGAATTTAGCAAGAAGATTATCAGTAATCTACATTATAAGTAACATTTCTAGTAAAAATAAAATGAGTGGACAATAGCTATCTATCGAAACATACTTGCTAATGTCTTCAATATAATTCTGATATTGTTGGACATTTCTTATCTATAACCTATTCCAAATTCGAGACTATTATAACTTCTCCTTTCCATAAAGATTCGAAAGCTGGAGAGAAAGTGAATGAAAATATATTCGATTCAATCATCAAATATGTTAAGGAGAAGTTGTACTAATGACGAAGAAAAGTGGAAGAGGTAAGCGATAGAAGAAAATTGATGTAATTCAATTTAAATTTCAATTCGTTTAAAACTAATTAAGTGATTGCCTTTAAATCAAAGCTTATGATCGTTAACAATACATCGTTAGTGGATATATCTGCATACTTCAAGCTAAGAATACGAAACATCTGAGAATTCAAATAAGCGAAGAAAACTTCAGCGCTTAACTAAAACCAAAGGTTGACATTATAGCTTTCATATAATTATAATTTACCGTATAACGGACGAGGAATTTTTGGAAATGAAATTAATTAACTGTTACCGAAGTATTCAATCAGTAACATTGCAAAACAAGTTTGACCAAGTATCTCAACAATTAGTATCAGTACAATACAGTATAATTAATTTTGTACGAATTGATATGGTAACTATATGCAATGGAAGAAACGAATAGATAAGACGACAATCAACCAGCGGTATAATATCGGTATAATATCATATCTGATGTCACAGAAAGTAATTATACTTTATCAAAAAACGACTAAATACATCATCCTGAAACTTAAAATTAAAGGAGAAAGAAAGAATAAGATAAATGGACAGTTCATGATATTGTTTAACAATATCATGAACTGTCCACATATCTTATTCAGGAAGCAATCTTTCAGAAGAATCTACTTAGATTGTCTGTTTTTATAGCTGAAGCACGGAAGTCAATATAGGTGTGAACATCTGCACTACTCGACTACAAAACAAGATTTAAGTTGAATTCGCAACTTCCTTTTTGGATAAATAAGTTGCATAAGATAGCCGTGTTTATACACATACTGAATGTAAAATGTTTTTGTTATCAGTGTTACTTGATTTACGGGCGGGGTTGTCTATTACATTTTGCGATGCTCTTACGCTGATTTTTTGACTTATGGCTTTAGTATGTAACATTCCCAAATTCGAATTTACTTGCTAAGATTTGGCTGTTGATTTTGATTTTGGATTTTCCAATTCCAGTTTAATTTTAGTATGATAAAATGAAGAGTAGTGAGAATCCAGCAGAAATGGAAGCAGTAGCAAGCGAGAGACATCCCACAAACGGTAAAAAGGAAGTAATGGCGAGGAATATGGATTCGTTCCAAGGATGGGTTACCACGAGTTCGTCCTGGTTTCGATCCGCTAAAGAAAAGGTGGCATATTTCGTTCATTTGATTTATTTTATTCATATCTCTATTATCTTTATCGTGTCAGAAAGGAGCAAGGTAAGTATCACATGATGCACTGACTGTCCTGTATTCTTAAGTTTTATATTTTTTTAGTTTTATAATTTCTTCCATAGTGTGTAAAATTCTGTGGCGTCTTAAAATTATTCAGATGTTAGAACTTTTTTTAAAATATTCGCAGTCCTATCAAATTTTATTTCCAGTGACGAATTTTGCACTCTTATCGTATTAAATCAAAGTTTGACAAACGGACGAGTAAATCAAAAATTGGAGTAGCTCTCCGACGCCTCCGTAGCATTCTTTGTTTTATTCAGAAGCTACAAGATCAACATAGCTGCTGCTCGAACTTCTTCTGTTCTTGTCTTCAAGTTCTTGTATATAGCTGATAGTATCACTGAGTATAAGATCAGAAGGGTTGTCGGAAAATCTGAGAAAATTGTTTTATTATCAAAACAATGACGAAATGAGAGAGCTTATTTTATACAGTTATTGATAGTTAACTTTCAGACTTATGCAACATTTGAATTGGTTAAGAAGGATTTAACTGAGTTTACTGATGTGGTAACCAGTGAAGCAAGCGCATTAGCAAGTACTACTGTTGAAAATGTCAAGCAGAAGGCGTACAACTTACAGCAGATTATCAGCTTGGAAGAAGAGAATGATAAACAGAATAAAGAGAAGAGCAGAGAAATGGAAAGTAGCGCAAATAAAGTGAGTTCTTAGTTGCAAGTGAGATTTTTGTAAAATACAACTGATTAAAACTGAAAAGCAATTAGTATCGTGCAAAAGAGTCATGACCTTTCCTGCAGCGACTCAAGTAAATTTACAAGTCTTTACTTAATTGAGTCAAGTTTAATTTTGTTTTGTTTACTAGTGATCTTTTCAATAAGTGTTCCATCCCTTTCTACGGATGTAATTCTAAATACTTTGTTTTTATAATGGGTACCATTCTTAATATTGGTTGACGCTGACAGTCGAGTTTTGAAATGTATTCTCAGTTTATAGTTCTCAATTTTAATCCAGGTTCATGAAGCAACTTCCTTTAGACCGAACAATCGAGCTCGACATCTGTTGGTTGGGCATCAAGGCTACCTTCAGTACCTACTATAACAGATAATTCATGGATCAAAGTCGTAGTTGATAGAGTGAAAAATATGGCTCAGGAAAATACGGCTGAGGGCGAGGATGAATTCACCGAAAGCATTTATCCACAGATGAAATCTATAAACAGAAACGATTTGCCCCATGTAATTTTCTAGAACCTTCCAAGTTTATAAAAATTTGACTTTGAGGCAACTATTTTCATACTGAGCATTACTTCATATTTCATGACACCTTGCGTTTTAGTACCTTTTAAAATTTGTTTGTGTCCATAAAAAGGGATAACCTCCAGTTGAGCGGCGATTGATGAAAAAAATCTCGGAATTTCAGTGCAGTTAATTCAAGCTAGTTATTTTATCTTTTATCAAGTTGCCGGTTTTGCAGCATATCCTGTATGAAATTCAGACAAATCCAGAGACATATATAAAACTCCCAGAAGGCGATAAGGAATTATTCAAAATGTGGTGCGATGATTTCAAATTGACTGAATATGATAGCGAAATCAATGCTTTGCTTGCTAATTGTCCTCGAATGAGGGCTTTATATCAAGAAATGGTAATTATAGGAAGCATTTTCTAATCGTAATAGCTTGAACAGTTTTCTGTGAACTTAGACTGTTGTTGGTCAGGTTCTGAGCGAGGAATTCCCCAAAATTTATGCGTAATTTTTATAGTACATGAAATTTATTATTTTGAATAATTGGAAGCACTTTATATTGATGATGACTTAATTAGCGAAGAGATATGATGAACTATTATTATCACTGCAATTTGTTCCCATCTAATTTCATGCAATGATCAAGAAATAGTTTAATCACTTATTTAAACTGCAAGATTAATTCGATAATGTTTATCTTAGATGGAAAAATATCGCTGAAGTATCAGACGTAATAGTCATGAAAAACGTATTTAAGGATTCACATCATGTTCCTCTTAATCAAATGAAATAGCTAGGAGGATTAATGTAAGAAATTAAGGTGCCTGAAAAAATTGAGAGTGTGGTTTTTTGGGCAAGGTACTTTTATAAAGTTCATCAAATGGAATTGCTGGTTCGAAATAAAGCTGATATCGAAAAACAACTATTACAAGATGATAAAAACGGAACCACACAAGGCCAAAAGCGAACGATAGATTTCGCAAAAAAAAGATCATGTTAGTTTCCTAATTATCCATTACCACATTTAGTACACCTACTAAGATGTTCGTACTCTTGAAGTTTTTTACAGTAAAGTAATTTCTCGTTATATACTGAAGCAGCTTTTTTGAGATAAAGCAATAATGAGTAAAATTAGATGATTAATAAAGTTGTATTTCCTTACACCACTTTGCCATTTATATTGAACTATTCCTGCATAGTGCTTATTCTTTCTTTTTTTATTATCTACTAATGGGAATAATCCGATATATGTTGAACATATTTCCACTTATGATTTTCCAATTTTTTTGTTATTTTAAACCTTACAGTTTGTGATAGGAGTGAAAGCTGTCGTAGTATAAATATGGAGCCGACACGAAGTCAGAACAGTCCAGATAGACGATCAATAGTGGATGAAAGCTGGAGTCTCTGTTCCAGTACAAATGTTGACATACAGGTATATTACAACCATTTCATTTATATATACAGTAGGACTGTAACTTCGTCTCTGCTATCGTTATTTTCTTCGCTTTATAAACTTTTCGTTATTTTCATCACTATCAAGGTTTTTCTTTTCTTTTCAGCTTTAAAGATGTAACTTTATATCTGATACTGTAGGAATTGCATGATGAAGATGGCCCACGGACGCCGAAAGCTGATTCAAATAATTCATCTAGCAAAAGCGATGGGTGGATTAATTGGGATGAATAAAAATTTAGTTAATGGCTTTCTTCATGTATATATTTCCATCCAATTCATTATTGCTTTCATCCCACTCTCCGCTTTCTATAGTATTCTCTTTAGATTATTTTTAGGTGAATGATCTGATCGGAAAATAAAAATTCTATTCTTATCGGTCCCTTGATCGTTTAACGTAATCTTATTTGTTGAAATAATATTTCGTTACACTTTGTTAAAGTACTTAAAGCTCGAAAGTTCTGCAATTCCAGTTATTTTATTACTGTTTTGCTACGCTTGAAAATCTCAATGTCTGAGATCATTTTTCCTCATTTACTTTACAGACAAAGACTAATTCCTTAATTTCCCATAACTGCTTCCTGTATATTTCCGTAAAACGGTCCTCTTTTCACTGGTTTTTTAAACAGTTTCATATATTGTTTTTGTTACATTACTGGTGAAATATTTAACTTTTGTTTATAGTTTTCGTAACGGTATTTCGCAACTGCACATTTAAACCAGATTCTTTCCAGAAAGTGACTTATTTTATCACAGTATTTGTTTTAGTATAGGTAAGCGCATTAAATTGCATTTCTACACACTGATGTCTGAAGATGTACTTTTGCGCTAATGAATTTGAATTTTTTAGAGATTTCATTATTTCTTGGAGAAAGGTGAAGTTTGAACTTTCTATTAAAACATCAGCGTCATAATCATTACAGTATCGGAAGCTGCATATTTTTTAATACCAGTAATAAATGAGGGACAAGTGTAGTATTTACTAATTGTCACCATAAAAAGCTATGTCGGGACATATTGGAAGTATGGATTGCAGTTTCTTAGGATCTAAAAATCGATCTATTTCGAGTTCAAAATTTGAATGCGTGGATATCTAAAAGTTATGAAGTATTTTTGCATGGGATTAGTCTCTCAAGAATTCCTACTAAACTTTCTACTAGAATTCCTACTAAAATTTCCCCACATTCGAAATTTCCAAGAGTCCACAAGATTCCCTTGATCACATTCAGATTAAAGATTGTGAAATAAAACCATATTTTATCCTAAATGTCTTTATTCAGGAAATAGTTATTTAAACAGACCAAATATATTCATGGCATATCTCCTTTACATATGTAAGAAGATCTGACGGTAATGTATTTTTAGATTACGTTCGTTGACCAATGAGTAAATCACTATAAAATTCAGAGGCGAAAGAATGATTAAATCATTATAAAATTCAGGGGCGAAAGAATGATCACGTCTCCCATACATTTTACTAATGGAAAAATTTCGAAATCATAGGAATCACAAGTCAAACAGCCTATTCTGGTGGTTCTAGAAATTATTATATTGTTCTCGCTATCGACTGTATTTCGGATTTTGAGGTTATTTTAGTGCTCTGACGAGTGACAACTCGGAATCTGGTATTAGAATGCAATATGACTAATAACAGATGCAATCTGTATTTTAAATACATATTTTGAACAGCAAATGAAAAAATGATGCGAAAAAAAAATGCGGGGAAGTTGTATTTTCTCGAGTCTTCAGAAAACAAAGTTTTTATTATCCCGTTATTTAGGTGGATTCTGAAACTGCTACCGCTGGATTTTTCAATATAATGATAACAGAATCGCCTCGAAGAAACATTTTTGTGATGAAACGATCCTTCGCGACGGGCTTCGCCTTCTTCTTCCCTTTTCCCGTCTTTGGTAACTCTGTCCACATTTCTTTAACATTTTCCAGAACCATATTACAGTGCCTAGAAGAAGCATAAATCAGTAATTAGTATTCCTCATAAATATAAGGGGAGATTAAAATACTGTGACATAGTTTATATATTTCGTTTTCAAATAGCTACTCTTCTGAGAAGCAAGTAGAGCTACGGAATGATAACCTAAAATTTATGACGTTGTTTTCGTTATGACTGTTAGCGTGGATAATAAAAATCGTAAAGAATAAATAATAATTAATGGACCTATCGAAAGCTTTCACACGACCAAGTAATTTCTTGTTGTTTCTGCAGTTGATCAGGACTTGCGCGTTATTTTTTACTGACTGTGTAAGCACAGAAAGTGGACCAACATTGAATTCCTCCTGTTCTTTCGCTGCTAATTCTTCTTGAGTCATTTCAGATCGAGGCTTTGCTAACCTAAAACACTGCCATATATATGCTGTCCTCGTAGACAACTAGAAAGTGCAACTAATTGGAATTAAAACTTACGTGGCCATTTCCTTGAATAAAATGCGATTGTGACACAGAATAAATTCGCCAGAAATAAAGCTAAAATCAAAAACTGCATGGGTGAATGAAATATCAAACGATATGCTGCAATATATCAACAATGCTGAACGATGAGTGCTTTAAGATGAAATCATACCAATATAGTAAAGTTCAATTCCGGATGAAATTTCACAGCTCATGCAAGTGATGATCATATCAACTACCACTTTGATAGGATTAATGAACAATCATGAAAGCAACGTACTCTTACTGAAACTTTCTGAAGCCCAGAAAAAGTGCTGGATTTATAATAGTTATAAGATAGATTTCTTTCGACTTTCGTGGCAACATTCAAACTGTTACTTCTCATATCAGCACATAACTTTAAACCCTTTGCTGTCTCAGAAGTCAAGCTAAGAAAACTTGTAAAATTCAATGGAATAAGCCGATAAACAATTTGTCGCGAAACAATCCATCTCCTCATTTAATAACCCTAAACTTCAACTCCAAGCATCTGTGAAGGTCAAAGCGTGCTTTGGAGTGCTGCACAGGATTTACCGGACTGCTTGGGGACCGTAATTAGTAAGTTCCTGCTATTATGAAAACTGCGTTTCATTCGGGTGTTTTGGGTGTGATGATATTCATTTGGGTGGGAGTGGGTACCCTAGAGTAGTGTTGAATAGCTGGGGAAGGGGAACAGAATGCAGGATTGAAATGCTGTTTGAGTTTGCAGTACAGTAATGAACAATATCACTTAAGGAATTGTTAAACATTATTCTCCCTAAATATTTTTTGCAATATTCATATGGATGAACAGAATATTCTGGTTAGGAATTATTGCAGATACGGGTGGATGCTATAATTTAGATTCTCTTGTATATTATCTTGTTATTTGCAAACTTATAAATAATGGCCTGATTTTTGTTCAGTGTGGTAAAGGTCATGCAAAAATGTTTCAGGTGGAAATGGTGACTACTGAACATCAGAAAGAAGGTGCTATATTAGCATCCTTTGCAACTCTGTCTATCATACAGTTAATCAAGGATGCACAGCAGAAGCACGGATTACGTCATGGGGATTATCAAAGATATCGGTTTGCTATTTCCTTCTCCACTTTAACTTCTTAGTTAAGTTTAACTTCTTAGTGGTAAAAACATCTTATAGTTTAAATGCACATGAATTCCTATCAGTTTTCATCGTTATCAGAGAACATAAGCATTTCCTATGCATTATAGAAAAATGCGCATTTTTTTGCCTTGCGATGTATATTTACATTGGCACCTAATACTGTGCTGCTAAAAGCAATATTTTTATCGGAAAATATTGTTGCAAGTTAACTTTTTTATCACTTTCAGAGGTTACTGTGCTCGCCGTGTTCGAAGGATTCGAAAATCACTGGGATTCACTCATATACATAAAGGCGTTTTGAAACACGCTGCAAAGTTCATTCCAAGGAAACTAGCACTTGATATTGTTACCGAAGAAAGGTATAGTAGGATTTTTGAATGTTTTGTGAGGCGTATTTATGTAACTATGGCAATACATTTTTGTGCATAATAATAATAAAATCAAAGTCAGGTTTTTGCAAATAGCAGTTTTTGATGCTGAAAGAAATTGGTCGTACGCAATTCAACTAAAACAAGAGGCTGGTGAAGATACGCATTCAAGAAAACGTTTTCATATGATTGGAAAACTACGAAGAGCAGTGAAGCATGCATCGAATCTTGAAAGTATCATCAAAAGTTGTGAGCGTGTTCGTTTTTTATGTTTCAAAATGGTTTCTTCATGCTTTGTTCTGATATCCAAAATAGGATAAGATGTATAAAATTGAATTTCAGAGACAGCTTGAAATTCTGAAATTATTGTAAGGGATAATTTAAAAAACGGCGAAATGTTTAAGGTAGACGGGGTGACGAGATTAGAATCGCAAGCATATAATTCGTGGATGCATGGTTGTCTTCGTTTTGAACTGAAGGAGTGGAAAGGAGCCTTGGAGTGTTTCAGAACTGCCAAGTAGTTTTTTCATAATACAATTTGAAGAACTTTTTAAGTTTCAGAGATGATTTATTTTTCATTGCTGTTGATAGGACTCGTTCACTTTTGACTGAATTCTGGTAGTTAATTATTAATTTCGGAGTTCAGTCAAAAGCGAACTCTTGCAAAGTCTTGCAAATTTTGCAAAATTCTTGCAAAGTATTAATGATAACGTATTATTAACTTTATTATTAACTTTTATTATTAACTTTTTTTAATTATTAACTTTTTTTAATAAAAAAATTCAGACTTAGTGTGGTTGCTAAACTACCAGTCATTTCAGAAAAATATATGAAAAACTTGCTGCAGTTGTGAAACTACCTGATCTAGTAGAGCTTTACAAAGTGAGGTAAGCTTGTTTGAGTATATATCAAAATCAATTTGGTATGGAAAGAGCAAAATATTTGTTTTCATTTTTCGTATTGTTTCGTAGATGTCGAGAAATACAACCACAGATGCGTTATTGTGAATTCAACTGCGGTGATGATGCAAGCTGTGATGCTACAATGTCCGAGATGATCAATATGAGACTACAGCTGACTGAGGAGGAGGGTGTTTTACAGGAAGATTTTGATGTTAGTTTAAAATTCGTTTACTTCATTCTTCCATATTCGAAGGCAACGAAAATTAGTTTTGTAATTTACGAAATCTTCGAATAAAATATCATATTTACAGAATTGGGCATTTATAATAAAATCTTTATGCTTTTTTCTATTCATGCAGTTAGATGTTTTTAGAAATTAATAGCGGAGCTACGTACGAAAGCTGTCGTACATTATATAAGGGATATTGAGTGGGGTAATGAAAAGGTTGCTGTAACAAACGATAATGTCAAAAACCTTTTACAAGCTCTTGAGCAGTTTGATCATGAGCTTGCCCAAACAACAATTCATGAAGATAAGGTTATTTTTTGCTCTATAGTATTTGGTACTTATTACTCAGCACGCTTAAATACTATAAATTACTCTTTTTCCATTTCCACATTTTAAAATCAACTGTACTAAATGTGTTATGTTTTTAATTATTGCTGGAAAATCAGGCACAAGCATCTAGCTTTTGATTTCTTTTTCGAAAATACTCGAATTATGCGACGTCGCATAATTAGATTATTTCCTAGTCGCTTAAGCAACAATATGTTTCAATTTTAACCATTAGGACAAAACTAGCGTGCTGTCTTATGCATACGATTCGCATTTGTGGAGAATTATTTCATTAAATAGACCAAAAGACTGCAGGTTTTTTTTTGGTGTTATGGGAGTCTAATTCATGAGATCAGTGATGATGACTTACTGTTGTGGTTACCGCGTCACATTCCTTGATAATCAAGATATATTTTGTTTGCGAAGTTCAATATGCTTTCTTGCTTTTCTTGCTATATGCACGTCATCACTAATATATTTGCGTTGCATACATGTGTAGTTGAATTGCTTTCGGAAATTATAAATTGCAAACATAAATTGAATATATGCACTCCAAAAAGCTCATTTTTTTAGATGACTCTTTATGAACAATTGTTGAGCAGAATCCGCGATGTGATACAAATACTGAATGAGGAGCAGAAGAAATTAATTAGTAATGGAACTTACACTGATAGTGCGCAGTATCCGAATCGGCTGACCATTATTTATCTGGAATTTATGCGCCTCAAAAGAACAATTGAACGCTATGTCATGATCATTGCACATACCAAGTAACTATCTGCTTCAACTTGATCATTTTTTTATGTCTTACTGGAATCTCTCAGCTAAGGAAAGCACAGCAGTTCATTCATTCATCATGATAATGTTTGTATGATAATGCTTTAGATATCTAAAGCTGAATAATATCAGAATCATATTTTGCAGTGCAACGTTTTTTAGAAGTAGTCATCGATTAATACTTTCAAAAGTTAAATGGCATGCTTGTAATCGAGTTCCTCTTTTAGGACACAATCAGAAAAGAAAATCAAGCCGCAAGATTTGATTCGTTTATGCGACACAGTGATTGAAAATAGTTGCGAAATTTTGGAACTGCCAGGTGTTGCAACAAATAAAGATTTGGAAATATCATACAAAGCGAAAGCAGAATATTATCGAGCATTCAGGTTCCTTCGTTTCCATAGTTTCATTTTTATAAAATGTCAGTGGGGTTTAGCTTTATGTGTTTGAGCCTACTAGAATCGCTTTTCTTTTTACTCATCGATTTGTTTTTTTTTCTGTTCTTTAAACTGCTGCTTTCGAGATCTCTGCATATTACCGAAGCTTGCTTAGTCTTATTCATTTTTTAAAAAACTTTATTCAGGGTGGTGATAGTTTTGTGTTCCTTTCAACCGTACTCGTTTCCAGATAAAACATGTATTATTCGTTTTCTCTTAAAATGAGGTACTTTTGCGAATATACAGTGTTTTTTTATAATATAAATGGCTTACATTAGCCAATATATCGATGCAATATTATTATTTTTTTATTTAGATGTTTTTGTTTGGCTGAAGCACATGCAGCTTTAGCAAAGTGGAATGAAGCTAATGTTTTATATGACCGGGCTCTAGAGCGCATTTCGACCACTTCACTGCTATTGAAAAATGCGAAAAAAGACGCTTTTATCGTGGAAAAGGAGGTCATTATGATCTTGTTATAATATCTTAGTTCAAAAATTTTGAATTTTGGTTGAGAGAGTTCTAACTTGCCTTGCTACAGTGAATTATGAAAAGGAGGTCATTATGATCTTGTTATAATATCTTAGTTCAAAAATTTTGAATTTTGGTTGAGACAGTTCTAACTTGCCTTGCTACAGTGAATTATGAAAAGGAGGTCATTATGATCTTGTTATAATATCTTAGTTCAAAAATTTTGAATTTTGGTTGAGACAGTTCTAACTTGCCTTGCTACAGTGAATTATGATTGGTCAATTTAAGGATGATTTAAAGAATTTGCATGAGCAAATAACGGCATCAAAATTTGCTACGCAAGCAAATCGTCTTGTTGAAGCTGCAGGTGGCAACAAATGTGATTCAAAACAAGAGATTTTTGATAGCAGGGTGCGCTTTTTGTTAAATTTAAATGAACAAGTATTTCTAAATTCTCTTAATTGTTTGTTGCTCACTGTCAATCAAATTTCTGTTAATGATTCGGGTTAACACATAGCACCATGAATCTGCTGGCACGTTTTATTCATTTCTTTTTGATGAGCTTTGCAATACTTGTGTCAAAAAAGTTTTAAAGCGACAAAAAGTTTTAATAATTTGTGGCTGATAAGTAATACATTATTATAGCTATTATTAGATGTTTTAGCCTCTCATCGATACTTTGAACGAATTTCGTAAAATTACACCGGAGGACCTACATAAAGCGGAACAAAATATTCGCATAATATCAGTGCCTCCTTCATTCATCCCTATGCCGAACAAACCCATGTTCTTTGACTTAGCCTTGAATCATGTAAAGGTCAGTATTTGTCTTTATTATGTGTTAGTATTATTCAAAAATCGTTAAATCTTGCTGGGTTCCTATTCATTTTTGTTGAACTATTTGTTGAGCAGCATATATTTTCAGATGCCTGATCTGGAATCGAAGATCTCTTCTTATGCAATGGACAAGAAGGAAACATCGCAACGCAAAGAAAAAGGAACCAAATCAAAGCAAGATGAACAAGAAGCGAGTCAGCAAGGGATTGGTGGTTTAGTAAAAGGATGGTTTTGGCGGAAATAAGTAATTTTATTGCAATTGTAAAACGAAAGTGTGAATTGTGAACTTAATGATTGAAGTGAATAACTGTTGAAACATCACTTCGTGGATTGGTTAACGCAAATATATTTCCATTACTTGTGCAGGTAAGATGTTATCATCGAAACTCTAATTTAATTATTTGAAATTAATGTTATGCTTTTTCTTTGGACTTTTTGAAAAACATTATTTATTCAAATCGTTTATAAAATGTTGCAACAAATTCGAAAAAAATTATATTAATGTATAATGTCTATGGATTAACAATGTGTTTAGTTGCTGGATTGATTGAAAAGAAACTCATAACCTGAGTTGTGCTCTTTGCTGGAACGTGTTAGAAATGAAAGTCCCCATCTGTTATTTTCTTATCAGTTGTCTTTCATTTCATATTAAATCATTGAGAACTTTTTGCTTATTTCCCATTTTTTTTGTTATACAAGCGCATATGACGTTTCATTTCATTATTGGTGTCAGGAGCTTTATATTTACACATCGCTCCAGAGTTTTTATAGCTTTATAGCTATGTTCAAAATCTGTGTTTTGTAGAATATCAAAAAAGATTGTTTTAGGTGCTCGTGAATTGCTGACATCGTCTTTTGAAGATTGGTTTAAATGTATAATACCGCACTATTTATATTTAATGAGATATGGGCATTCTTCTTCTTTACATTCGAATCTATAACTGTTTCTGTGATAGTCCTATTGTCGAAATTTGCAAAAAAAAGAATGTTTTTTAATACTTGATTTTTTTTTAAATTTTTTTTAATGTTGGAATTCTTTGCTTTCTTTATTAATTTATTTGTTCTCTTTTATGCGTGAAGTATTTCTCTGCATTTGCGCTAATTGTATTGTTACGTCAGTTGAATTCTCTGTCATTTTTTTTTATAAATTGCTTTTTTGAAGTTTCATTGAAATAAATAGTTGAAGAGAAAATAGCAGCATTGATTTTCCTCGTGGGGCGACTGATTTCATCTATACTTTGACTTTTCATTGTTATTTTTCTTTTAGGCGTGCTTTCGGTAATCGTTCAATTTCGGTGGTTTTCTGATTTTTTGTTATTTTTGGACAGGTTGTGAATGATTTGGTATTACTAGTTACTTCTTATGTAGGACGGATTGAGTACATTGGTACAATTTGAAGTTGTTACTAGTTTGATACTTTTTTAACAAAGCAATAGAATTAATTAGATGTAGTTCAGTGATGGTAAAACTGTTGGAGAAGTTAGCGTGTCCAAATTCTGCTGGTGGTCTGTATGTTAAAGCTGTATTTATTGGTTACAAGCGTTTATAGCGGAATCACTACGAGCATACAGCTCTATTGAAAGAGGATGGTATCTATAATAAGGATGAGCTCAGTGGTACGTTGGTAAACGTGCACTTTACACTTGAAACACGCTTAATAAGATCACGGTGAGTGTATTCGCTCTATAATTTATCAGATATAGATTTCTCGATATCGATAATAGGCTCAGTTTTATTCACTTCGATTGTTACTTGTCCCTTACGGTAGGGAAGAGAGGAAGAAAATCATATATTTTGTGAAAGATCGCTCGCACTACTCATTTTTTTGTATCATATTTCGATATGTTCCTCTTCCATGATGTTTTTTACGTGCACGATGACCCATCTGCTCTGTTCGTGGTCCACGTCTGACCACGTTATTGAACATCTTTCCCTGTTTTCTTTATAATCCCGTTTTGCCATATTTTCATCAAATTCAAGCTGAAGTAGTGAATTTTGTTTCAGTCGACAAACAAAGAACCGAATCTAGTCTGTGTTATATGGGCGAGATTGACATGCATGCACGGTAATAGTGGTACATTGCTGGCAAGATTTCATAATCTCTTACCGCAAGCTATGGGAAAACGTATCCGAATAATGCTTTATCCTTCGAATAGATGAATTGTGGTTTTTTCTTGTTATTTGCTTGGCATTAATTTGTAAGAGTATGTTGATATAAATGTTATATCTTCTTGCAACCATAAGCAGTTAATTTTGGTTTCGATTGTTTCTGTTTCAAACGGTTTTATTAAAATTGCAGTCAGAAATTATGACCGACACTGGCTGTGAGATTAGAACAGACAATCGAATATCCAGTAAAATCACAGCACATACGCAATTGCTTGCAACTGATATAGTGTTTAGGGCTATCTGCAGCTGATATTGTAATTTGCATTGTATCAAATGAGTTAATTTCAACGGAAGTGGTGTGGTCAGGTGGCCTGATTCTTCTTTGTATAATATCGAGATCCAACTAATTTGACTGGCAATTCGTTTTCTGTTTTTCCCATATGGTGACAGTACCATTACTTCCACTTTTATGTTATTGCGTCGTGGACCCAGCCACGGGCCGCGCTTTTTTGGCGCTTCGAGGTATGCGAGCGGCTTGACGTGTAGGAGCGAGATCCAGCGGGCGTTATAATCTCTCGCCCGTTAGTTGGTGGTACCAGGGTGGAAGTTTGAAGTAGGCAGAGTATGACGGCGAGGTGGTGGCACGGCAGGGCTTTGAAATTTTCACGGCAACGGGGAAGTCACCCTTAATTAGAAAGCGATAACAGATGCCTAACACAGTTCAGCGATGATTTAAAGAGATTTGATGACTGAACTGGATAGTTGCGATGTGAACAAAACCAGAAAGAAAGAGTATATTTTGCAGAAGTACTGTGGAATGCCTACTGTATCTTGATGTACTTCTATCACCATTTCCATCCATTAAAATACTAGAAATCTTCGATTGTCTTCATCTGCATTTTCATGTTGGCTAAGTTGAGCCTTACGGTTGTTATTGGTGATTTGTTTCTTTTGCGCATTTATAGCTATTTCATTTCAGGCTTTTATTTTCTGTAGCTCAGTAAAATTATAAAATTAAGATCTAAAAATGGCAATGTTTGGCATGGATAACGAAAAGAAGACTCTGCTCGTTCAGGAAGTATATCGAAGGCCGCTTATTTGGAAAGTATGTTTTTTTTTTTTGGTTTCATCAGTTAGCATTCACATATGGTTTTGGAAATTCGTGAAATTTTCGTCTGCCATATTTTAATAGCTTTAAAGAGTATAGATCTTGGCCTTTTCAGGTCACTGATCCCCGATATAGCGATATTCCTGCTCGTTGGCTTGCTTTTGAAGAAATAGCTCATGAATTGAGTGATGATGATTTAGTTTTCACCAGTTAGTTACTTGTTTTATACATTGCATTTATTATGCGGTGAATGTTTTTTAATCATACGATGAGGTTATTTAGTTTCAAATGACTTTATCACTGAGATCAATGATAGACTGATGTATGAAACTGTACGATATGAGGCCTGATATTTTTTGAGCTCTTCTTACTCATACAGGAATAGGGTTTGTAAAATTGGTTAGGGAAAGGCTTTAGATGATGGCAATTTCCAAGAATTCGCCAAAAATTAAGCTGTTTTTAAAGATATTTGATATCTTGATATCTGGGCGCTGAACGGTTACTCGGAAATGTGCTTGTAAAAATCGTAACCTTCAAAGTAGAATCACAGTTCTTGCATCAAGCCTTAGTGAAATAAACAGCGGCAGAATGAAGCATTAGAAATAATCATTCCCAAATTAACTAACCAATCTACAAACAATGCAGTCTCAAATATTACTAACATTCCTTCCAGGTGATATGATTAAGGTAGCTTGGAAGAACATGATGGATTACTATAATCAGATACGCCGTAGGCATGACCGAGCGGTTGCTGCTGGTTTCGATCCACCAGATTCAAAGTGGCAATTCTTTAATCTGATGCATTTTACAAGGCAGGATAAACCACCTGTGAAGAGGAGATATAACTGGATGCAGCCGTCAAAAGTTTCTCATTTATCGTAGTTTTTCATATTTCCAGAAAAATTTTCACCTTATTTTAATATGGACGAGATATAGGTAGTGGATCTACTGGGGATAGAGCTCTTAATTCCGAAAGTAATGTGGGCTTATAGTACAGGAATTAGGAATCCCTGATTTTGTATGCAAGATGATTGTAAAAATTTCTTTTTATACTTATGCAACATGAATAATAGGTTTTGTTACAATTAATGGAGAAATGAATTTTCAGATTCCGCGTAGTAATGAGTCGCTTGTTGCTCAGGATGATGAAGTTTTGGTTAGTATTCACTGTTCTTATACTTATTTTTACAATATATTTTAACTGTACGTTTTATTAGCGAGATATCAAGTATAACTTAAACGAATTTATCAGATTCAAATGCGTAACAATTATGAAGCAGCCTTTGTCAATAATACCATGATTCCGAAAGCAGAAGCTCAGCGTGTGATTTGTATTACACCAAGAACGAAAGAATCTGAGAAGTTCGTCTTTTACTTCAAAAAAACGTGTTTTTATCAACTTTTTTGACGAAAGGCGATCGGAACTACCTGCTATATAGGAATATATAATGAGGGTAAAGTTGGGATCCTTATCGTATATAGCTTGTAAGAAATATTTTAGAGCACGTTTGAGAGCAAAACGTGAAGCTTTACGTGATGCAAATATAGTGCAATCAACAGCATCACCAGTGGCTAATGGTACTTTTGTTGGAACTCGTAATGGGAATAAGATTTCATATAATCGTACAAGAGCTGCTGCACGGGCAAAACTTGAAGCCACCCTAACGGAAACAGTTGAAAGTGATTCGGACTACTTGGAATCAAGTGAGTCTCAGGAGACAAAAGAGTATATATTGCCCACTCGTCGTCGTGGAAGATATCGAAGAGATATCTATTCTCCCGAGCCAGGTAGTGTCGCTCTGCCATCGAAATATCGTCCTGCTACGAGGACTACGAATACCTCGCTCAAAAAAATGAATGGAGTACAAAAACCGCAAGCTGTTGAACATATGTCAGCGAAACAGACAGTAGGTGATGCTGACTCTTCACTTACTTTCGGTAATTATCGCATTTTTATATTTTTTCATGTTTCGTTTCATTGATCAAACTTTACAGTAATATTTATTGATTATTCATGAAAGTTTGAGTATTATAAAAGCTTAGCGGAGAAATTTTGTATAGCTTTACCATCGGAAATTTCATTTTTATTTTTTATTTTTTGGAAGGTATATTATATATATACATATGTAGAAATTCTGTGAAATTTACAGATGTAGGTATTCTTTTATAAACACAGTATTTCAGTTAGTTTATAAGTGATAAAAGTGTTATTTGTACAGCTTTTAATTTGTTCAGTGTTTTTATAGTTTTTGGAACGTATGCAGTCAGGATTTTACAATGTAATATTCTTTTAGCCGAGCATGTCGCGACGAGATTATTTAAGATCAAAGAGAAATCTCTGGCTGATTATTATCGTATTTGTGATACAGTGGAAAAATTATTAGATGATGCGGAAACAGCACTCGACATTGTGGATACTGATATTATGCTCAGTGACTAAACTTTTATTTGATCGATTACCATTATGTTCATCACTGTTTGATATTTTATCAGTTCTTTCTTTATTTTTGAGAACGGGAAAGTTTTTGATTTCCAAATACCGCAAGAAGAATTGAAATTATTTATGAAAATCACCATCGCTTCTTGTCTTGATTTTCGAAGTTTTATAGGGTTTTAAAAATTTCCAATGCGATCTCCTTAATGCCGTCTTTGTGCAATGTGGTGAATCTTTGGACTATCTAGGGATTTTAGTTCTTTCTCTTGTAGTTGAAAATTTGCATTTTTCGCTCGAAGATTTGTCGAAATTTTAAATACTTTCCCATTTTCTTCTCAATTTTTTAGATTCGATTAGTGCTTTTCTGTTTGTGAGTGTTTGGATTTGATCTTGATTTTCAAAATTATTTTGTTTTTTGTTAATTTTGCCACATTCTTTGTTGTTCTTTATTCATTATGAGTATTTTGTACCATCTTTGTGAATAGAATAGCTTTTTTTACTAATTTAAATCGTTACAGTTTGTATAATTTATGCTATAGAGAAGGCTGCGTGCGATCCGTTGTGTCGTTTTAATAACCTGCATCATATATTGTATTCTGGTAATTTATTATAAATTTTGTGTAAGCCTTAATGGATTTTAAGATTTTGCATCAAAAAGCAAGCGAAATCGGATGTTTATGTATAATATATATATTAAATTTTACAAATTATTACCGTTAGAGTAAATCTTTGTTTGAAAAAAATAATGTTTCAATATTCATTTAACTCTCAATTTCAGCTTCTGCTCCTATCATTCAATTCACTTACTTAAGCTTGGGTAATCAAGTTGAATTCTTATGAAGTTCAAACGTGACTTTTAAAACTTTTTAAAATATTCTCTTTTTGTGCATATAAAAAGAGTTTTGTCCTTTTTCATATGAACAGCTTTTTTAATTAATCTTCTGAATGAATATCTGCATTAGATTGAGGCGAAACATAGATATGATCATGCTTAGATACGACCTATACTTAGAAATCATACGTAGATACGACGAAGTACTTCAGAGAGTGAAGATTCCATTTTTCGCACATGAATGAAAGTATTCAAAGACTCAGTTAAATTGAACAATTAGCATGTTCGAGTAATGGTGACAGTTCTATTTCTTTTTCATTTTTTAACACAGGATTTTCAAAATGCTCATATGGATAAAGTGCTATTTATTCATAACTTTCTATTCTTCCAATAATTTTAATCATTTTTCTGATACTTTGAATAGGTCTTAAGTAATGCATCCCTTCTATCTATGGGAACATTGACAGATACTTTCATAGTAGCACTGAAACCAAATTTCTCTTTGTTGGTTAGATTATTAGATTTCAGCGTATATGAATCAAGAAATGAGCTTCATTTATGAGATTCGATCAGGCTTAACACTCATTCATCATCCCTGCTTCAGTTGAAATGATGATCTTATCTTTTATCATTAACATTTGTTTCATTAGATTTAATGATGAGGTCTACACCACAGCAATATTACAATAACTGATAATTTAACAGAATATTAATGATGCACTTGTCATCTTTAGAATCATCTTAAATCTGATCTAAAGCAGCATCTTTAGAATCATCTTAAATCTGATCTAAAGTTTTTTAAAAGATGCTTGAAAAAAAAGAAAACAGCAATATTAGAAATTTCGCAGTTATTCTTGTAAGTGAAATTGCAAGAAACGAACATTAAAATAAATAAAAACAAACATTAAAATAAAAATGAGAAACAAACAGATTTGGATAATTTTCTAATATATCAATATCACTATCATATGAATGATATAATGTTACACTATTGCTTTAATCATTTGGACAAAAACCAAATATCTCTCCTTAAATATATAAATTCGACATCCTTGTATAATTAAAATAATACGAAGCTGATCTCGTATAATCTTGAAAAAAATTTAGCTTTTGAAAAATCTTTTTTCGAATTTTTTGTCATATCAATATTGCTAATTTGAGCAAATGGTCCATTTAAAATATTTTTTTAATTTGAATAGATCCATTCGAAATTGTTGGATGGTAGTTAGCAATTTGCCAATAACAAAGGTGAGAAATAAAATGTCAAAATCCATTCATAATGAAAGGAAAAATTTTCATTGGTCTGACTCGTGTTGGCCCATATTATTTCCTTTCTCCAAAAATTCCTATGATATTTTTGTCAGCATGACTGGAAAACTCCAATTTAAGTTTCGTCTATTAACATACTTTCCGTCTACAACAAATTTTAATTCCAAAAATTTTTTCTACTCTTTTCTTTATGAAATTCAAACAATCACGCAAAGCAATAATAAAACTATCACAAAAATGTGTTTAAACCTTTACGCTTAGATAACTAAAAAAAATTTTTTCAGAATAAACTATGACATCGATATCGATGCAAAATCTTATTATTTATATCATAAATTCTTCGGTATATATAATAAACATTCTACACCGATGAAGAGAATAAAACAATATTCCGCCTTGAAATTTTAACATTTTATTCAGTAAATCTCAATTAACATTTTCATTTAGAAGAAATTATTATTCCCACTTTTGTGTTCATTTGTGTTCGAATTTGACGTATGATGTAGAAGTTCAACTTATTATATGGGTCATATAACTTATTATATGGCTTATTATATAACTTATTATATATTATTCCTGTATTGATGGATGCAACATTACTATGCTGCTATCAATGTATCATAGTGGCATTGAAGCACAGAGAAGTACTGTGTTCTCCAAATTTTTTATATGAACTTTCTTTTTTTGCTTTAAATTTCATTTCTACTACACCAAAACTTTGACCATACCAAGATGAGATAGATACAGCAGAAATTAATGAAATTGTGCTTAAAAGATTTATAAGATTAAATGTTTTAACTTTTATTAACTATTAAAATTTTTTCTCGATTCAATTTGTTGAACTATAACGATGCACTCTTCTGGCTAACATTATTGGGAAACTATACAATGGAAGAAATATTCATCATGCCACTCATATTTTGTACATTAATATGATCAAATGACATATTAATTTCATGCTGATCAATTGACACATTAATTTCAGTGTGGATAATTATAAAAGACAAAGAGATGATCACAAACTACTGATCACAACTACAAGCAACATCTAAATGAAATTGATCATAATACAAAACAATATCTAAATGAAGTTATGAAATAATAAAAAAAAATCATATCGATCTTAACAATTTAAAAGTTTAACGAATAAAATTCTCTCGCAACAACTTAAGACATTTTATAACAATAAATTATTATAATCATAGAAAAAAGATTTTAATTACTGCGGAACACGAACATGAAGCAGTTTAGAGAAAATTCTAAAAAAGAGTGAAATTATTTCGAAAAAGAGAATTGATGGAATGAGTTGATCTGTGAAAGGAAAACAAATATGTGGTAATGATACCAGCTTTTGATACGTTATCTTCATTTGCAACGTTTAAATCAAGTGTGGACGGTGATGTTATAGAGAGTGACAGATTCCACACCATTCTTTGCATCATTTCATTGTTCTCGTTGTAAATTGACCTACTATTAAAAATGGTTCACCCGGCTATTAGCATCGCTCTTATTGTTTTTCATCTATGATTCGATCCTATTCATACTTCATCAGTTATTTTCCAACTCACTTCTCTTCTCTTTTTTTTTCTTAAATTTATAAGTTAATTCATTCCATCTATTATCATCTATAATATTTAATTCCAAATAATAGCTTCATCATATCTTTCTATTTGTGATGGAATTGTTTGAATGAAATTAGTTTTGTAAACAAAAACTTAAATTTCATTGCCAATTAATCCTTGCTGACAGATTTCATTCAAACACAATATTCAGGAAATAGTGAAAATATTGCTCTCTTTTATATTACAGCAATAAATTTTATTCATCTACTTCAATAATTATTGTGGTACTCCTAAATTCTTAATAACATAAGTGCAGCTCGGAGCGGAGGGAAGAGGGGACGGAACTGTTAATGCATGAAAATAAGAAACAAAAAGTACGATTGAAATGTGATTGATGTAATTATTCATATTAGAAGAATTACTATTAAACTTATAAGAGGAAAAAAACGCCTTAAACAAAGTTTAGGGCTAATTAATTTCAATTATTTTAGTAATTCAATATCAAACATTAAACAAGGTGGATTTTTTGATTAACTTTGGTGCTTTCTTCATTCTCCGACAAAAGCGCACGGAATCGCTATATCGTTCCAAAAACTTCAGAAACGTTTGTTCAGTAATACCGTTATCACTCCTCCCTTCTCCTGTTCTTCAATTTATGACAAAATTGATTTTTCTAATTGTGCTATCACGTAGAAATGCTCTCTCTTTCTCTTTCTCCTTCTTTTTCTCTCTATAAACAACAGTGTCTTTCGCGAAATTTTTTATTTTATCACTTTTTAAAAAGTCTTCAAAAAGTTTAAGTTGCCCGAACTCCTAAAGCTATAACATTTTCTTGTTATCTTTTGAGATGAATCAATTTATTATTCAATTAACTTATAAGTTAATTTGACAATCTTCCAATTTCCAAGCCTTCGAGAATAAGTAATATTGAAGAAAACAGTCATCCAAAGGATTTCAATATTAAAGTTTAATAATATTAACTTATAAAATTTCATACGATTTAAATTTCTCATCGTGATTTTTCTCAATTTGTTTGTTTTGGAAGATGCATCATTTAAACAAAATATTTTTTTCAAATCCTATAAAATCTTGAATAAATCTGTCCACATTATTTATTATTCATTAAATTCAAAGTTCTCGTATTCTTTTATTGGCGAACAGATTGAAGCAAGCGATAATAAAAAAAGACAATAACAGTAAAGAAGTTTTTTCCCGACTTTCTTTTAGACCCTAATTTAATACATGAATATAATATTGTAATGGGACAGGAACGATCAATCACTTTATGGCTAATTCCTGAAATTTTTTCAGGAATTGGCTATAAAGTAATGATTCTATTCATAGCTTGTAGTTTATCAAATTTTTTGCTTTACATTTATCATTTCCATCGAATAAACAATCATAATATAATTAAATTTCGAAAAACAGAAACTTCCAATTATTACAATTTTGAAGTTATCTTTCACATGCATAAAACTTAAAAGTAGCGCAAGAATTGTTTTAGCAGTTAGTGAAACCACTGCACCACAAATAAGTAAATTCCATTTGCAAAAGAATGATGAAAGTTCAGTTGCACTTCAGAGGAATAAAAAAACTCCGCCGATATTTCGACAATAATTGCAACAATTGCAGAACTATTAGCTTATTCAATGCGTTTAAACTTTGAAATAAATTTATAAAGCTATTCACAGCGAACATAAAACAATAGTAATAAAAATTTGTTTTTATGTCAGAAATGGCTTAATAGAACTGGCCATTTTAAATATTCATTTTGTTTACTTTTAATTGTTTTGTTTATTATAAGTATTTATTCATGATTTAAAAAAAATTCAGTCATTTGCTTACAAAACCATTTAATTTAGTTAAATTCTTGTACATAGCAGAAAAGAATTTCTTTGAAAATTAGATATTAATGAATTAGTTGAATTTGGTTATGAATGTTTATCAAAAGTTCTCATTGTGAATAAATTATAATTTCACACTTAAATTTGAAACTCAAGTTCAATTTACCTGAACTTTTTAAGATATTGATTTATTATATTTGTTGTGTTAATGTTCTTCTTCTGTCAATTAATATGTTTTACATTAAAATCAAAATGTTGTTATTCATCGAAAATAAAGTTTAGGAGAACAACGCATTTCAGTTCAGTTTGTAACAATCACTCAATACAGTGTTATTTTTGTGCTCAATAAATGAAATTTCAATTGTTATGTTGTCACTTTCAAATAAATTACTGTAATCACAATGAATCGATCAGATCACAACATCACATAGTGAAACTATAGAGATGCTTGAGAGTTATCATATTCAGCTCACTAATAATAATATATTATTCAATTTCTATTCAAAATTAAATTTTCCTAAATTATTGCTGATCAAACATTATTCCACTTATAAAGAAAGCATAAAGAAGTACAAAGGGTGAAAATTTATTCAGAATTCAAAAATTATTCTTTTTATTTGAGTTCTTATATAGATAGATCGATAGATAGATGGTTTTTATGATCTTCTAAATAATATTGTTATTGTTTTTTTGGTAGAAAAGAAAAGGTAGAACAGAAATAGGCGTATCGATCAATTCTTTTCTTCATTTTCTAATAAAATTTTTTTTAATAGGAGGAGATTTTTTATCTTCAACATATTAAATTTTCACTTAAGTCAAAGAAACAGAAAAAAATCAACCAAACATTATTGCCACCTACTTTGCAAGGTATAATAATTACATAAGCTTCTGCTAATGAGCAGTTGTGTTATGAGTTTGATTTCTTTTACTTTCCTTAATATATATTACGATTAATATATATTACGAAAATATGACATCTGTTTTATTCTCCATTCCAATTTACATATATTATTGTCTTTGCAATGTTTTCTTACAATGTCAGTATTTTCGTAATATTTATCTTGAATTTTGAATTTCCCTTAGTTGTTATGTTTAGATATAAATTTATGTCAAAAGGATTTTTAAAGCAGTCGTGTGAACAGTTATTTCGCAAACGGTTGTTCTTTAATTTATTCAATTGTGCGTGATTTCCATATTTTCAATTCCGGAACTTCAGATTTGCCTGCTTATCATTTACCTCTTCAAGGAAGTTACAATGTCATAATGTTTAATGTTTTTAAAGTTACAATGATAGAATTTCAGTGCCCGATCTCGCATAATTCTCAAATGTGTCGGTGGACCGTGTTGTTGATTAGCATCGTCCAATTTATTTATCTTTTTGTATTGCTCAATGCTTACAGAGATAACTGTTTTGTTAATGAAGGCGGTATGTTGTTTTCTTTCTTCTTGCATTTCAATTCATTCTAATCCGCAAAGAGAAATTTTTCAAGGATGGTTTAATTTGGGAATTACTGCATTTTCACACTCCAATGAAGCGAAAAAAAATTTAAAATTTTTACGGACGTCTCTGGAAACGGAGTCTTCTCGTGTCTTTCAATATTCATCAGCACAATGAAAAGATTCAGAAGAAATTAATGTTGCATTTGGAATTGTGGAGAGTACTTGGAATTTGGCTAATGACAATTTTAAATGCCATGAAAAATTCCAACAAATTATAGGATTCAATAAAGCTTTTCATTGTCTCTCCTTTCACTAAGAATAACTTTCCGGAGAAATTATTAAAAATCTCATTTCATCACCAAAAGAAATCGACATTCAGTTTAATTCATCGATTAATTGGTTTAAATAATTAATTAATTCAATTGTTGAACTGAGTTAGTGAAATTTAGGATACATTTGCTGCGATAAGAAATTAGAAGAAATGATGAAAAATGTAATAAAAGAAAATGATAACGTGTTACATGTAGCAAATACCATACAGGAAGATGCGCGAATGTCACGTGGCAAATTTGAAACCGTTGTGGCATTTGATGATTTTGCTTATAAGGGTCTTTTTAAGGTTATATTTTTTGCATATGGTAAAATGTAACAGATAAGCATAAATTTAACTTTTTTAAATGATCTGAAATGAATGAAGACATACGATATAGATTAATAAAATTGAGAAAATTAAAGTTGACATTACTTTTACAACCACAGAAACAGATCTCTGTGGAAGTAATAAGTTTTTAAAATTTACTTTAGAGTTAAATAATAACAGTAACACTCAGTGGAGAAAATTAGAAGCGAAATTGGGACTTTATGAATATTAGAATTACTGACAATGTGAAATTACTGATAATCCATAGAAGTTTACTAGAATACATACTACTTATTCCTAATATATTTCACACTTGATATATCAAAGTAATAGTTTCCTCATGACGAAGACTTTTTACTTTTTCATTAATGTGATTGGTGAAAAGGGATATCAATCGTTTCAATCAATTGATTTTAGTGCAATTATTAATGTGCAAGTTGCAATTATTCATAGGTAGAATTTGCAACTTTCACATAGAAGCATTTCCAAAATGTATATGAAATTATTTTAACAGGATGGAAAAGCATGCAGAGTGACAAAAAATGGTATTCACGCACTTGCCTGAAAACAACAATCAGTAAGATTTTTTCAAAGCAGCTTTTCCTGTACATTCAAATCATCGACATGTTATCACTGCCAGTGATTGCCTGCATCTATTATCATATGCTTTATACAATGTCCTATGCCTTCGACAATTCTTAACGATCTCAAACATGACAATTTTGGTAATCCCAAACTTCTAAAAGGAAATAATTATAAATGGGGTATATTTTCCTTTAGTCCCAAAACTTTTCCTCTAAATATAATCGAATTTTGAGTATTTCTTTCAAACAGAATTGGGACTGAGTTCGCAAAACAGATAGGAAGTTATTCACAGACTCAATAACGCTGATCACCAATTGCATTCATAAAATTTTTTTTTGTTCATTTATAATCACGGTGATGATATCACGTCGTTTATCTGTAGTAAACCTCAAATTCACGACAATTACTTCTTGAAAAAATTTCTCTCAAAATCTCAACGTCTACCTCTCCACATAACCGATAATAAACACCTTGTTGAGAAATAATTATTAGCAAGCAGTTCAACATACTCTCATCATTTAAAATTGAGCCTATCGAAACTACCGCCAATCGAGTGAAAAATGAATTCATAACAGCCGGTAAGAAAGACTTCCAATGACTTTCATTATCTGTTTATGTTAATGTGTGAGGCCCTCTTCATGCTACAAACAATCCAACTCAAGAAATTACACCCCACGCTGATTTCGGTCAGAATTTACACCAACTGTGTGGAAATTAACAAGAATGAACTCATACATTCTTTGAATTTTTAAAATAAACTAAGGCTTGATCGGTCTAGCAGTCTTAATAGGGACTCATGAAGTTATCAGTTTAAAGGTGACTACTTCAGGTAGTCAGAACGAAAGGCCTTTTCTCCATACAATTATCACCTCTTTCATGCACAGGTACTGATTTCGTATGCATTAAATTAAGCAAACATTATTGCACAGTAGTAATTCAATCCACAAACAAATAATGAAACAAAACACCGAAATTACGTTAAAATACAATAGTTATAGCTATCGTATTGAGAACTTCAAATTAAAAGTCTAGAAATCCTAAATTAGAATTCAGAAAAAAATCATAAACAAACAGAAAAAATAAAACAAAAATCTTGTCAAACGAATAAAAATTACCGAAATCATTACGAAATTTCTGAATACGTAGCAAATATTCATTAGAAAATGTAACAAAACGTTTCGACATCCAGAATGATTCCAGTTTTCAACTACAGTTAGTAAGGCAGTAAAGTGTGTATGAAACATGTGTCACCAAAAGAAAATTTTCTTTTTCAAATCAATAACTGAAATGCAAAAAGAAACAGAAACCGGGATTAAAGGAAAAACGGTACATCAGAAGTTCCCACAATTGCAGTGCGTCCATACATGGAATTTTTAATAAGAAATTGCAGAAAATCTATAGTCGCAAAAAAGAGCATCAAAATCTTCAGCCACACATTTCATTTCTTCTGAATTTATTGAAAAAGAAAAATCTTAATTTAAATGAAAAATATATATAAATAGTAACGTGAGAGCACTGTAATACAATCCTTAATGTATGCCAGATGAGATCAACTACCATCAGGAATAGATGCAACTTTTCAAGAAATGGCGGTAAATGATAACCTCAACTTTTACATGCATATTTGACCATACAAACCGGTAAACATAGCAGAAACTTGTAATTATTTGGAATAGTAATTTTGATAAAGATGTTAGCTTCAGTTATCTGGAAGAACTAGGATTAAAAAATTTTTGAAAAATTACGGAGAGAGCATATTCATAAGGAGGTAATGGAAGACCTGTAATCTAGAAAAAAGTATTCGTTCATAGTTTTCACTTAAAAGCTGACTCCTCAGTCGGTCTTACTGCTTCTGCTTCAAAATTTTCCTCACCATGCAACCTGGAAAATTAATCGAATAAAAATTTTATACTCGGAAATAAATACCAATTTAAAGACAATATATTGTGATGAATAAATACTACTCGAAAAAATTAGACTGATTGTGGCCATTATAAATGTTACTATTTAGAAAAATTCAACTTGATTACGATTGTTATGTTTTTTTTTCGCCGCATTATCAATTAAATTCTTTGTGGTTAAGCAGCAATATTTGGCATCAAAGTAAAAAAATCTTTTGACTTACTATTTCCTATCGATAGTAATAATAAATTGACCTCAGTCTTTTCGTAGAGATTTCATCATCAGAGACATTGTCTTCGTTAACAAGCTGCTCTCCTATTGCTTCTCCAGTTAGCATTGATTCGGAGGATCTTTTTCGTGACATGTTTTGATCTTTCTGATTCTAAAAGTGTTACATTTAAATTACGACAAAATTCTTTTTTTTCTACCAAGGACGTAAAGATTACCTAACCAGCTCTTATTGCTCACATAATTGCAAAAACAATGTCTGAATTGTACACTGTTTCATTATTCGGAAATCTGCTAATTGCAAAAAAATTCAAAAATCAAGGAATATAGAATAAGATTTTTGCTGTTCTTTGAAAAAATTATTGAAGACCAAAAAAAGGTTGGTTCATGACTGCAGGCAACGCTGACAAATGGAATAGTGAACGATTATACTTTCTGACTCCGTAATAAGTAATGAATTCCCAAGTAATCCAAAATTTATTACTCAAAGATACCACTTCAACAATTTTAGTCATCGATTCTCTAACGACTAAAAATATACCACTTAAAGGTCATCGTATTAATTTTGTTTTTTTTTTTTTTTTAAATCTATTCAGTAAAAGTAAATGTCATGTGTGAAATCAACAACAGCACTATGAATTAACCTCATCTTTTTTGATATCATCAACAGAAACTGGAAAGGGTTCATGATCGCCCGATGTGCTGCTTACATCATCTTGATCGTCACTAGATGACTGGCTGCTAAGATTTGAGGAAGGCCGACCAAATGAACTCGAGCTTGAAGGAAGTGAATCTCCCGTTGATCCAGAATCCGTGGTTTCGTCTTCCTCATCGCTGTCGCTTTCGTCGTATTCCACCAGCGGCTTAAATTGAAATTACTACGACCATTTGTCATTAACCTTTTCATCAAATCTTCAATTCTTACATTCATGAAACTCAAATTCCCAGTTAATTTTTTAGGGCCTGGGCTGCAAATAACTGAAACATTAAAAAATTAAATGAACAAACAATTAAATGTCATAATCGTAACCAACCTTTTTGGCAAGAACGGTTACAACACTTGCAGACGACGCAATAAGAGACGAGGTAGAGCTTGATGGAGAATTGGCAGTTTCGGTGGATGAAACAACTGGATCACCCGGCGGAGAATTGCATGTTGGTTGAGGAGATAAGGATAACGAAGGGCTCTGTTTATCGGTATTTACCTGAAATTTTATGAGAGTTAGACTGGTATTTGTACAAAACATAAAATTCGCAATGATACTATTTGAAAAACGCTGAACAACTGCTCAATGTATTGTCATCAAAAAATAGTGCTGATAAGTAAATTGATGAAAAACGTATTTGACAATAACGTATGGTTAAAAATGACAGCGATCAAAGATACGTTGATGACACTCATAATGCCTTATGTTGCTATGATGGTACAAACTTTTCCAACCTCTCTCTGACCTTCGGAAAAAACGTATCATGAATATAATCCAAACCAAATACAGCATTCATTCACAACTAGTTATTCGTAATTTATTATTGCTTCAACTTAGTTATATAATAGGTATTTTAGTCATTAGATTTTTACGATTCTGCTATTTCATGAATAACATGAAGCATTTCTAAGAATTTTCTCCAATCTTGGTTAATGAATATTAAGGTGATAAGCTATTGGGAGAACGACTTTGATATGTAAGAGTGCAATACGATATAGGCTCCATTTCACTATAACTATTTGCTAAATGTTTTAATTTCATCTATACTATGACATGTGTGATAAAAAGAAGTGAACCTAATATTATGATGTAAATGAGCAAACCTTGATGATAATTCGAGGTGCAATGTGAGTTTTAAGCGGAGTATTAATTTGAGTTGGAAAAACAGCATCCGATTCATCTTCTACTGAAAATACATGGGATATGCACTATTACTAAAAAGCAGTGATTTAATTGAAGTTCCTTTATGACATAAATATATGCAAAATTCTCTCGCTTTTTCTAAGCGTCTATTCGTAATTCTAAGAATATCCTCAGAAATGACACGAAAAGTTTTTAAAGCTCTTCCCACAATAGTTTTCTGACTTTTTCCAAATGCTAACCTTTACGCTTCAGTAAATTAGGAAGAAGGGGTTCAATGCCCATTTTTCTCGTTGTTATACTTTTCTCTAACGACTCATCCTCCTTAGCAATAGACGCAGCAGAAGAAGAAGGAGAAACATCAAGCAGTGCAGATTGAGATACTAAAGTTGTTCCTAGTTCTTTGCCTTGCTTGTTGGGATCCCAATCTCCTGCTGGTGATGCGTTCTGTAAACAAATCACATTTTTTTTCTGCTCAGATTTCAATGTTATTAAAAATCAATGGAAATAAAACAGATATAAGTCAACCTCTGAGTCGTCATCATTAAACCACTGCTCATCCGCATCAGCCTGACGTTCCATTTTCCACTGTGCCGGCAAATTAGCTTCAACGGAAATTAAAGAATCGGTAGGTGATGAGTCCTCCATTTTGCGACCTTCACGATCTCTCATCTTGAAAGATTCGAACTCAGATAAGAACATTAGAATTTTTTTACAGAGCTTTTCTCCGTCTTAAACATGTAACTTAGCATACTAAGTTCCAGCAAGTTTCTAATTCGTGTCAAATGTAATAATATAATCTAGTGCAATCTATGTCACTTTCTTAATAAGCTTTTATTTTAACATTTTAAATTCATTCACTTCATCCGCGCTACTCAAAAATCGTTTTCGACCTTCCGAAAATATGAAATTAGGCTGAAGAAAAAAAAGAAGGCTAAAATACACAGCACTACTACTTACTTGTTCATATTTCAAGCGCAGTGACTTAAACGTCGTTACGTATGTAACGTCTTCAAAATCCTTACTGAAATTTTCGACAACATAAACAATCAGAGGCTTAATATCTTCCTGAAATCAGTTCAGTTATTTTACATAATATACCTTCGCAATATAGGGAAAAGATTCCAAGCTTAGACATAAAAATCTCAGATATAAGTTCAACTGAAAACAACTCACCATTTTAATGAATTCGAAAAGTTCAATTATTGCAGAATTTAGAAGGTTGTATCGGTGGCCATTTTTTCTGAAACAATCAACGATAGACCGCATGACATCATCCCTTACTGTATACCGATAATAAAACTCATCCTTCAATTGGACAACCCGTCGAAATAGGCGCAATGCACCTGAAATTCAGTCCCATTAAGCCTTAAGGAAAAAACGAATTAAGAAAGAAACGAAAAAGCCTTTATACAATATCACGTACCAAATACAATAATTTTTTTTGGATAATGAAGAATAAAATGTATGAGCATACTCAAAGAAAGAAAATGATGTTTGCTCTTCACAAGAACAAGTACACGGTTCAGCAATTTGTTGCTAATGCAATAATTTCGCATATGCACCGCATGATGTTCGAAGCAGAAGCAAAGGATATCGATGATCATTGCTTGCTGATTTGCACAGTGATAATTATCTGCAATTAAATGACTAATAAAATTTTTGCTAAACCTTTAATTTTACGAAATCAGTCAAATGCAATAAATCTTACTAAGTTAATCAGAAAGCATAATTTGCGATGAAATTAGAAATCTTAAATTCAATTAGTCGTAATCGACTTGTCAAACTTCGATTGCTTTAAATTAATTTGGTTGTTAGAATTTGAAAGTCGTTTGCAATCGATTCAACACTGACAAAATACTATGAAAAAATATCTGAAACTGAAGAACAGAGATTTGCCCACGGCATGCATTAATTCTTAAGTCTACCCTTACCCTTTTTTAATGCATCATTCTCAGTATTTGCATACAGCGGTCGACACAAAGTTTCCATAGATCGCCGGTAAAAGAAAGTTAAAAATTCATGTCTTTCCGATTTCATATTTGGTGCCGTAATCATGTTATCTGGATCCAGTAACGACTGCATTACTTTAACCATTGTATAAGCTGACGTCAATTCTGGATCACGATCCGTTAACATGTGATCAATCAATTTATTAAGTAGCAACTGATTCTGCAAACGTTTAATTTTTTATGATTCAATTGTGTAATACTCTTGCTCTATTTGCTTTATTATATTTCACTGCTAGCCTAATTTCTATCTGACAAATAACCAATATATTGAATCGCCAATAAGCAATACAATTTTATAATTTATTAACAAGCAGCCCTTTTTGTAATAAAATGACTAGCGAAGTTGCAACTGTGGCAAGCGCACAAATGAAGCTGTCAGAGACTTTGTCAAGTATACTTTAAAATTGGCATTTGTATTATTAAACAAAAATGTACTCGAAAGATAAGAATAAAAAAATAGAAGAGGATAGTGTTTCCAATTTCAATTCCTTTAATTAAAACCTTCTTGTTTGCAAAATAGGAGAGCAAGTTCCCTTTGAAATCAAATAAAAAACCTAGTTCAGGCACTCGGAGAGTAGTAGAAAACAGCGAGCCAAATATAGAATCAAAAAACTAACGTTCTTAGATTCGCCAAATCCACGACCTTGTTGAAGAAGATAATCCCGTGCAGTCTGCGGATTAAATTCAACAATCATCACGAACATTTCAACAGTTGTTGCTCGCGTTTGTATATCTTTACTTGTTATACATGGTTCTATCGCTGCTAGCACGTCATTTTGCATTAACGTCTGAATAAAAAATAACTTTAAGGTACTACCTTACGTTGACCACATACTACATATTCTAAAATTTATGGCACGGTGTATATGTAAACTCTTTGTCTGGATGGCATGTTCACAGCAAGACATCTTCAAAAACTTAATAGTTTCTGTATCGTTTCTTGCATTTAATGGATTTTTTATGCCATTAATACAAAAAATGTTAATTATGATTATTACATAAATTCTTTTTAAATATAGAAGCTTCATTATTTATTCTCTACAAGTCCTTTACTTCTGTTATGCATTACTTTATAAAAGTTTTCACGCCCTTGCGGTCCATTTGGCTGCAGTGATGTTGAAAAAGAACAGAATTCCTTCAAAAACATAGTTAGATCCTTCCGCCTTTCAGTTGTTGTTGCAGGATTTTTTAACTGATCGAATAAATCCTTCAAAAGTTGCTTATCGTCCTAAAATATTTGAATTTCATAAAATGAAGACTGTGAAATAAAATCACCGGAAAGAGTTACAAATCAATTGTTTTTTTAACATAAACATCTATAAAGTTCCTGTTCCGAGGTCTATAGTTCTGCAGAGTTTTTTTAAACCACTTTCGATTTTTTATTTCATTCCTTCGAAAAGACTACATGTGTTCAAATTGGGATTTCTGACTTCCATAATTTTTAAAGCAAAAATCTACTACCTGCAACAAACTAACAATATCCACTCGATTGAAGAATAAATAGCTATTCAGAACGGACAATAAATTTTCTTCAAATAGAGAAGGTGCTGGTAAACAGATATCCTGAAGAAAAAATTAGTAAATATATGTGTCGGTACTTTTCCATAATTTATTTAAAAAAATTATTGCTCAGGTAGTGAATCAATTCATACCTGAACATATTGAACTCTGTAAGTCTGATGTATTTTTTGGCGTAATTCATCATTGTGAATGGGCAATACTTCTCGAAATCTGGCCTTTTGGAATAAGAATTCACGATGCTTTCGTGGTTTAGGTTCAGCCGGATCATACTCTAACATCCCAACAATATCTCTAGAAGTTTTGTACAATCGGTATTCATTGCATGACAAAATCTAGACTAGTTAGTATTACTCAAGTTACAACTTCCCTTCATCAGAAATTTATAGCAATCTAATCTAACAAAGAGAAAAATTATAGGTTGTGCTTTTACAATATTCGGTGACAAGGACAGTATAGGTATGAGAGATTAAGAGTCCATATCAGCAGAAAAGAGTCCAAAAAGCGACTATTTAGTAATAAAGCTATCAGATCAACCCCGAAATCTCTAGCTAACAGGATAAGTAAAGGAAAACTTACTTGAAATACTTTTCACTAAGTAAAATTTCGAGAAGAGTATTGCGATTAAGCATGAATAAACTGCGCGCAATTTGATGCAATGTATGCAGCGCATCAATATGCTCCAAATCTTCACACATATGGAAAACATCGCAGAGTTTTGCAACATACCTGGAATTGATACTTTTTTCTTTATTACGCAGCACATTTTCTTAATCCATTTTCATCTTATAGCTACAAGCATTTCTAGCTTTGATACTATTAGTGATCAATAACGAGGGTGTCATATAAAGAAATTTATAACACTTTATCTGTTGCATAAAACTTGACGACAAATTTAAGAAAATAACACATGAATTCAAACTGTACCCTTGATTTTCAATGGCTATCGCCAGTTTTTCTCGAAGAGCTGCTGATCCAAAGCTATTCGAAATCATGACCTCGATATCGGCTAATGAATTTACTTCACATGGTGGAAGAGTTATCGTAGCTCCCGTAGCCGACTAAAGAAAATAAAGCTTACTTAATAAAGCTATAGGCTTACTTTGTGATGCACATAGTCTTAAATCGAGATATCCTCGAATTTTTATATCCTTTCATTTATCATAACCGCAACTAATTGTGAAATTTAATGTTTGATGAAGGAAGTGAAAATTAAAGATCCCATTGGAAATGGGTGACAAAACAATCAAAAAAAGCTTTAAATACACAGTTATTTATGTAAGTTGCACCTCAGGTATTTATGAAAACTCAGACGTATAATAAGACTATAAAAGCTTTACATTTTATCACACCATTTCCATGCTAAACTTCCTTTTCCCATTTTTTTGCTCTTGCTCTATTTCAAAAAAGGAAAAAGTCATATTATCATTCAATTTCATTCGTCCTCTTTCCTCTTCCTTATCTTTATCGGGCATTAAGTTTATAATTTATAATTAAATCTGAAACTTTACTCGCTGTCCACTATATCCTTGTCCTGCGGAATCCAGACCTTCTGAATCATCCAGATCTTCGTAGTTTCCTGTGAAATCCTGAAAATTATAGTCTATGCTAGATTTATATAAAGAGTAGTTTTATTACGCTACAAAATTAAAAAATTTTCGTAGAATTAATTACATGAGTCTGTCTTCATGCCAATAACTTACAGGATGCTGTTCCGGATCACGACCCTGTACTTGGCAAATTTTTTCCCAAATATCCTCACATCCTGTCTTATCTTGAAACGATAGCGCCAAGTCACACGTATCCGATTCTGACCAAACTATTAATGTTTCCTGAAAAGTGATGTGACAATAAAACACAGAAGGAACACAATGAAACACAGAAGGTTTTCATATAATCCTCTAATCTTCGATTTTTGATCATTTCTAATTACTTATTTTTCCTGATCCTGCACTTTGCGTGCAAATATCTCATGTTCAAGAAAGTTGGAAATATGAAAAAAAAAAACCATTTAAAAGAACTACATACAAATATGTGAAAAACCATACCCAATTAGCATAAAAAAATTTAATAAAAGACCTTAGAAATTTGCTCTTTTTGAAGAAATTTATCTAACGAAAGGTGAAGTAATTTTGAGATAAAAGCATGCTCTTTAATCCCTTTAGAAATAATGCATGCCAGGATGCTTATCTGACTTACGTCCTTAGAATTTTGAAGGATAATTAACTTAATCCAAATAAAAATGAACATGTAGCTTATAACTTGATACGATGTTCATGGAAATGTGAAGCATTTCTACAATGTATTGCACGGTGGACGATTGTTCATCTATCACTTTCATACCGCATTTCAATTTAAAAATGAAAATAACTTTAATTTTCCACAACTCCATTTCCGACCTAATGACAGCACTTCTTAGTTCCAGACTAGCAACTCCAATCAGAATTCTGCTGTTTCAGTAATCACGACAATATTGAGCACTAAATCGTCATTCTTGAAAATAAATGTACGTTAGGGAAAATGTCGTCGAAGAAAGTATTTTGACATATGAGTTCCTGTGTAGCCATTAAAAGCACGCAGTGCACGACAGCAGCAGGAAGAGTGCCTGAAGGAGAGCGCAGCGATGAACAACAAAACAGGTTGTTTCAAAGTTGATAATAGACAACGGGTGAAAGACAGCAAAAGTACACACTATTTTTCGTTTGCATACGATTTTCCTAAAACATTTCTATACTCGCAGCAAATTTTGTAACAAATTAGATAATGAATAAACACAACACTATGACGCATATATTCGATGTGAACATCGAGAATTCTGAAGTAAACCATCTCTCGCATAGCAGTTATATTGGGAAGTTGTAGATTTCTTCCTCACTCACTAGATCACTAAGCCAAAAAGTATCACAATATTTGAGTTATGGGTTCATATTTTTCCAAAAACTTTATCCAAAAATTAATGCCCCAGCCTAATTTTGGCTTCTAGATTTGTTCCGTCAGTATATCAACCAAAAGCAACCTACACTTTCAACTTTCGTCTACGCCAAACTGTGTTAGATGGCGAAAGTCCATTGCAGAAAATAAAAAGTATGACTATATTCAAAAATAGATATGCTAAAGATTTCAAACAACAACAATAATGTAATGTTAAACATTTATCGATAATGACCAAAATAATACTAAAGTATGACGACAATGATGAATTTGGAAAAGCTAAAACTAATGAAAATCCTGCAACTAATTTTTTTCTCAGTGCTGAAAGAGATATCCACGCATAGATGGTTGCATTAGTACAGCACATGTATTCAGTGTGTAAATTCATAACCGACCATCCTCAATTAAATGACGTAAATTTATTTTAGCTAACAAGCTCGGCCGTTTAAAACCGTCTTTTCAAAATAATGGTAGAAATGCTCCAGTTGAAATAAATGCTGCCTAGCACTTTAAAAATATGTTGTCACAATTAAAATTTTGCTTTCGTAAGACAGTGTAAACATAAGACTTCCTTTAAATTTTTACTCGAATAAATTTTTCACTTCCTTTTTTAAAAAACATTAGCATGTCACAGTGTTTAACGGCACAGAGTGTCACAGCCATAACTTACAATAGCGATTAGATCTCCTTTAGGTTCGGTTACTACTCACGGTAAACAATTTATCATTCTGGTTCTTTCCACATTCAAAAGCAAGTAAAACTTCATTGGAGAAATTACTCAGGACTAAATGCAGCAATATTAGCACAAAAAAATTAAAACGAAAATCGAAATTAGATTTTGGATGAGCTAAGGAAACCAATCGGTGAGCATGAAAGTGCACTATCAAATCAAATTGGATGACGAGACGTCAGGGTTGGGAGAAAGCAATTCTCCTTCTTCGGGTCTGGTTGGCTGGTCGGCTGGGATAGAGAAGATAGATTGCTGACTGCTGAATGAGAACCAGTTCCAGGGAACACAGATGTATAGACATATGTTCGAACGAACGTGTATATACATATCAGACACTTTTACGAAGATACATTAAATTCACTGATCTGACTACTCATTGACCTAACCCAACAGAAAAAAACTTGACTTATGCAAAGTTGTCAGTTTCACTGACGTAACAGTCATCAGATCAGATCGTCAGCTTTGAAGTTACTGATAAAAGTCGTTTGAAATGTGAATGGCAGATAGAATTTTCATAATTTTCAGCTAATGACATAATGGTACTGTAACGAACAAAAGATCGAAAACAAATATTTTCTGAATAAAGTCATCTCATTATTTAAAACCTAAAACGGTTTTTAGAGTTGGCAACCAAACAAAGCAATAAATAATCTGATGTATGAGTTAACACAGAAATTTTGTCCCCACTAAAAGGAACGTGTAAACATAAATCAAACCCCTGAATAACTCAATAACTCCAGAACGAACACAGCATAAAAAAATGTTTTTAATAGTAACTTTTTCATGATCATAAAATCTTACCTATCTTCTACAAATTAGAGCAGTTACTGATTGAAAATTACTGATTTCAAAATCTCACAAAATACATAAGTACCAAAAATTAAAATGCAAAAGAAATGGATAAAAGTCAAAATTATTTTTAAAATAGACTAATATCTTTCGAAAAAAGCTTGGGAAAACAAATATGCCTACAGAAATGGCGCTTACAAAAAGCATTATCAGCAGTGCATTCAAAAAGTCAGCTTTGCACACCTCCGAATTTTCACTGTTTTGTAAAGCATAAAAAAGCATGCGATGCAAAAATAGACATGAAGACAAAGACATATCGAAGAACAGTTCTTCAAATGCTGCAGTACGAATGTATTTAAAAACTCTAAATGTTGCAGCAACCAAAGCCTTCCAAGCATAAATGAACAATTTTTTACAGCAATGGCACTTTTAATGCATTTATAGAAAAATGCTTGTTTTACGGATTCTACAAAATAGTGATTTTTATAAAATCCATTTCATGTAGCCTTACTAGATTTTTATTCAATTTAGTAGACTTACAGCAGCTTCAATTTATCAAAGAAGTTTAATTTACTCAGAAAAGGAAATAAACTCCAAAATTGGAAACACATATACTAAATTTTTTTTAGAGCATTTATAATAAATCTAATAAATCTACTCCCGAAAATGAAAGCTCGCATTTCTAACTGTGAAAGTTTTGAAAGAGTGAATATAGACTACAATAAATGGTCAGAAAAACCGGAAAAATATATTTAAAAAGATTAAAAAACCAGCATTTCTTCAAATGCTTCAATTTAATAGCTTTAATTCTTGGTTTTTACCGTTTGGTTTTCACTTTTTTTAGATAATTTTCGTCAGTAAGCACCATTCATTCAGCGCTATATTTGTTCTGAATTCTCTAAATAAACTAGCTACCTACAAATATCACTGCTTGAAGTCAAAAATGGAAAACAATTCAATGCATCATTTCAAAGAAAAAACGTTTATGAACGCTGCTATGCTAAATACACGCATACAGACACAAACTAAAATCTAACACAAATTGTTTACGTCAATCGCTCAATGACTCCCTTTTTTCTAATTTTTACTGAAATTAGAAAGGTTAAAGCCCATATCAAAATATTCTCAATTAAAATTGTTGATAAGTAACTAGAATTTCTAGTCCTGCTTATTCGAATCAGTATCTACAGAAAATGAAGTGAAAGCAAAAACTAAATTAGCATCCCATAGCCCGTGCATGGATGAAAGAGTGAGTTTTTCGAAAAGATTAAAAAAGGAATTGGGAAGTACAATGAAGTGCTCTCAAGGCCCTCCTAATTGGGTCATACCAAGCCCATTTCTAAATCAATTAGTGAGACTCAAAATTTATTTTAAAAATTTACAGATCTCAATAAAAATATTGTGATCATTTTATCACCTTATGTTTTCACGTTCATGCACATAATGAAGAATCCTATAAAATTGTGATTAATATGCACTTACCTGTTGCTTTTGATAGATAGTATCCATAAGGATTCTTGATTCCAGTATATTCTTTTCTGGAAAATGAAATGAAGTTCTTTTGCAATTATGAGAAAAGTAAAGAAATGGTCATCCTCCGTGACCTATCAAACGAGTGAAACCATATGTCTAGGTTTAATGAACAAAATCAAAATGTAAAAATTCAACCGTCTTTAAAATGAGGATAATAATCAAATGAACATGTAATAAACATCAGTGGTAGACGAAACTGATAAACGAATGCGTTTTTCAAATTTAATAAACTGAAGCTCACCGCTGTGCTCTAAACGAACCACAATGAAAGTAGCGCCTTGATGTTCCGGAGATGGTATACATGCGACGTGCCCTGTACCCTTGTCATCCCACACCCGTTGATCGCAAAGCACATAGAGTTTTACCCGATTTTTGACTTCCTGGAACTAAATATTTATAAGTTTTTAAGCTCGAAGAAAGTAAAACCATTAAAAGTTAATGTTGCCGACTTCTCAGTATAAATCAACATATTTGAGTTATATGTGTTTCTTCTTTGAGACACTGGCTTCTCTTCTGAATATTTTGACCGCTATTCAACATACAATAAAATTCCTAAAGTTCTCTGTCGTATCAGAAAATATGCATGAAATAATGCTTTGAAACAATTGAAACTGCGCATTATTCAAAGATAATCGATAATTGAAATAGAAAATATCAGAGATTTGGACAGAAGCTTCTTAAATTTTCGGTTAAGGAAAGTAATTGAAATATTCCGAATCTTTATGATTTCTAATTATTTGTTAAATACAACACACCAGAACTTACCCGCTGTATTGCTATTTTCGCCAGATGTCTGTTACAATCCTCATCCTCAGTATCTTTATCAGCAGTTTTCAATCCTTTACACTCCTCATGGATATTACCGCTGTTGTTGTCCCCAGTTTTTAAATTTGTATCATCTGGATTTCGAACATTAGCATCGGTTTCGGGCATATCGCTTCCTGAAAGGTTTCACAAATGGAACCTGAAATGCTGAATGGCAACATATTATTAAAACTTTTTAATGCACACGAGGAGTATTAATCGATTATTGTACAGTGCATATGAATATAGTAATCAGAAGACAAGATAAGTGAGAAGCTCTATTCGATAAAATGTTCACGAGATAAAGTGTATCGAAAAGTGTATTTTTCGTACATCCTGTCAAAGAGTCACAGAATAACACAGGATGAGAGAACAGATGATTACAATGTTACCTTGCTTGCGAAATCTGAAGTTTCGAATAATTAACTTTTTAGCCCGCCGAGCAAGGACCCCATTCACAGCATGCTTACGACGTCTACAGAATTGTGTAGATGGCTGCATCACAGCGTTATGGATAAATACTGCTTATCACACCTCTTCACATTAATATATTTCATTTCTTCTCCCTCTAACTATTTGTTTCCTGCATATGCAAATTCCATGGTACCTTCAGAGTTAGTAAAAGCTGTGTTGTTATGATTTACATATTTTAAAGTGAGAAGTCCTCGGCAGGATAACACTACAAACTAACTAGTAATATTACTGATGTATACTTCACAATAAGATTTTCGTAATGGGTTACTGGAAGGTAAGGGAAATTCTCGTTGATAACAAATTTCTCATGCTTCTTTTTGTGATATAATATCACTTGCCAATCGAACTGTATGTGTTTACAACAAAGAGGACAATTTTTTTAACCTACGTGAAATCCACACGCGATCATAAAACTCTTATTTTTGTGTATGCCTCCATTTGAACCTACATATTACTATTTGGATAAGAAAAGATAAAGTAATAATAAAAAATTCCATGGCTCGTAATACAGAAAATTTTATCACGAAGAGTGTTCACCACTGTGACGTAGCGAAAGTTCGCAATTTTCACACACAACGAAATGGCAATTCATATGAAGGCGTGACGCATAGTACGGCTAATAACATGATGCGTGAGTAAGGAAAGAGAAAATGATAGCGCGATGACGTCAAAACCGACCATTCCACGCAACCTCTCATTGTGCAGTCATCCTACGGTAATTGAAATTTTTAAACGGAGGGAATTGTTGATGGTAAAACGCGGCCTTTGCAAGAGAGGAAAATATGGAGGTGAGGGGGTGTCGATCGATCTTTTGACAAGTAATCTTCTTCGCGGTGTGGAAAACAGTTGGGACACGCTTATGTTTCACCCCCTCCCCTTCTCTCCGCACTCGTTGTATGCAAGATTACCATGCATATAGAGTAGGCAACGGCATCATCACGTGACACTAAGTTTGCGTGGGGTGTGTACGCTGAATTGCTCGTTGAATTTTACGACAATTAATTATTTAAACTTTTAATCGATATTTTCCTATCAATTTTATATATTGCTTCTACATGACTAAAGGTTATCATTTTATATGCAATCTTGAAGTGGTTAACCTACAGTTGCAGCATTATCGGTATCGATGTGATATGTTTTCCGCTTCTCCCATGGATAGTTTGGAATCATGTCAAACCCGCCTTGTCTCGAGTTACTCCAGTTGTGTGAATATTTTATGCATTTGTGATTGTGCAAAGTTAAACAGAGTGATACGTCGTAACATTGTATTAATGTATCAATTATTCTTTAGGGAGCATAGCAGGGATGAGACGAATCTTTGGTACATCGGGGAAAAAGGAGCCACAGCCAACGCTGACTGATGCAATAACGAACGTTGACTCACGTATCGAAAGCATTGAAAAAAAGATAGCTCGTTTGGATGGTGAACTTGTGAAATATAAAGATCAGATAAAGAAAATGCGAGAGGGACCGGGCAAGAATCAATTGAAACAGAAAGCTCTACGGTAGGTTAAATGATAGCGCATTCTGAATACATTTCAGTAATACCTGATCACAAGCAGTGCAGTCAGTTTGAACCGCAGAAATTGTTCATGTTTATTTGCCATTGCTTGCACAAATTTCCCAGTAATATGGAATTGAGTCGTCAATCGCCTTTGTCCGCCCTATTTGGTTATTATCGTAGCTTCGTTACGTCATTGATTGGCCTTATTACATCATGGATCACACTATGTGAGTGTTTCTGGTTGTACGAAACCAAGAGCGATAAAGTCACTTAATTAAAATTACATTTCTTCATTACCCTCCAGATATTGTTTGCTATTTTGCAGCATACTTAAACAAAAACGTATGTGCGAGAACCAGCGTGACCAACTAAATCAGCAATCTTTCAATATGGAACAGAGCAACTTTGCTATTCAGGGGATGAAGGATACGCAGGTAAGCTTTTTCATTTCTCTGAGGTTTGGCTTTATTTCGGTATACTTGAAAGGATTTCTTTGTTTTAGGCGCCGTCTTTAATATTTCTTAGTCATTATTTGAGCTTTACTAATTTTCAAGATTCTAAGGCGGAATTGAGGCAGCCATAGTTGTTTATCTATGCTTGATTTTCTGATGATGAAAGTTAGTTGGTTCTGGCATTGCAGACTACCGTAGTGGCTATGAAACAAGGTTTGAAAACCATGCAAAAGGAGTACAAGAAGTTGGACATCGACAAAATCGATAAACTCCAGGATGAAATGGAAGAAATGCTTGGTATAAATGATGAAATTCAGGATGCTATGTCGCGACAGTACGAGACGCCCGATGTAAAGTTTCTGACTTGATCATTTTATGACTTACGTTTTCTTTCGTTTCCAGCTTATCTCGAAAATTTTTTTCGTCGTGAATATCATAAGTTCTCTTCCTTTAGATTGATGAAGCTGATTTGGAAGCTGAACTTAATGCTTTGGGGGATGAATTTGAAGTGGATGTAGATACCTCTTATTTAGACGAAGCGTTGAATGCACCAGGCGTGCCGTCCAAGGAACCAGGATGCGAAAGCAAGGTTAATATGAAAATATTAATTTTTACTGTTTTTAATGATGTAAATGTGTACTACAAGGCAATCATATTGCAGGTTACAGAGGGAGGCATTGCAGTGGATGAATTCGGCCTACCGAAAGTTCCTGCGAACAATTAATCCGCATTATCTGCACGGTCGTTTCAGATTTCAGATACTGATTGAAATTGTTATTACAACTTCAAAATTATCTTCAAATTTACTGTCTCTCTTATCAGTTGAAGTGATATTCACTGTCACTTCATTGCTTCAGTTGATATCATTTTGTGAATGTTTTTCCGGAAACCGAAATCTCAGGTGCGATTTCATATAAACAGTATAGCGGTGCTTATTGATGCAATGATTAGTTTTAATAAAATGACGTCGCGGGGGACTGTTGACAAAACTTTCTTTATTCAGGATAATGTTCATAGACAACTATTCTCTGAAGGACTCTGGACGCTCATCACACATTTCTTTTTTTGTAGAATGGGAAGAGTTCAAATATGAAATAGGGTGGACTGCAAATGTTGGCCTGCATTCACCATCTGCCAGCTTTATTTTATGAATCTAAAATCATTTTTGTGTAATTTAGTGAGTGGCTTGCGAGGTTTTATATGTTTGTTATTTCATTTTGTATATAGTGATGAAATAAACACGAAATTTGAGTGCGTAATAATGCTTCAGGTGGAAGATATTGATGGAACTTAAATATTATTAAACGGGATTTCTCAAATTCTTTCAAAAGTTTCTACGCACTTGAAAAGCGAAAAGAATTATGAGTTTGCCTTATACATATAAACTATGAACTGGTTCGGGTAGGAAAAGATTTTTGGAGATTCCTTTTAATGCGACTTTTAAACTGCGGAGTGTAAAGACGTGAATTTCGGGTGAAATGGGAAGATTTGGAAGTTGAGGCTATGTTGGTTACGCAAAAATGCAGGAGTGTCAAATGTATGAATAAGGCATTTGGAATATGGAGATGATAACAGCTTCAGGGCTTATGCCAGTGCAATATTAGAACAGAACAGAGAAATCTACCAAATAATTCGTCGAGTGTTTGAGCAGCATCCAAACACGTGAAATCTATCAGCATCGATTTTTTTGCCCGTTTGCTCAATCTGGAGGGCTTTTGTAACGACAATTCATTTAATCACTTGTAATCCATTTAAATCTAACATAATATCAAACATTTTATTATAACCAGCTTCAGTATTGGCGCACAGACAGCCACATTCAGCCACAATGACAGGCAAACTGACGCGAATTATATTCAAGCATTTTATGAAAATTGTTCTTTTTGGATTTACTATATTATATTCGATAGTACGAGTTAAATAGAAGTTGTGTCTAATATTGACCTTTTTTGTTCTGCATATCTACTTTATCATCAAACAAAAGTGGTTTTGTCACACACACATACATACTACAGAACCCAGGTGTAACCTATAGAAACCAATACTGAGATGTCATATTTCGAAAATGAAAACTGTCGATTTATCTGGATCTACAGGCATGCAGAAAAATGCTACAAGTCATTGGAAAGCTTGTCGAAACGAAGCGACAAGAGTATTTAGTAAAAAGGTAGAAATAAAGTAATCGTGTACTATCAATATCAAATCGCACAAATTATCTTCATAGTTGAAATGCCTCCTACAATTTCAAAAATGGAAGATACGTTTCAAAAAGCATGAAGCAGACGCAGAAAACACTGCACCATGCGCTTCTCGATCGAATAAGCAGATAGTCAGTAGCTCAAAACTACTGAATGGATATATAGCAACAAAACAAGCCAAAAATGATAGCATGGTATTATATGATCGCTATATATCATATTTACGACGCTTATCACATGCTTAGGTAATCCTGGCAACCTTAGGAAACAAATAACAATCATTTTTTATTAAACTTAAACTCGGGACATTTATTAAACTAAATATAGAAGTACATTATGAACACATCGGTGATGTCTGCGATAGCCATACGCCGACAGCAAAAGATATGATGTAGAAATAACATCTTGTTCAGACCGTAACGAAATAACTGAACATTATAATGTGAAGAGGAAATGTAAGATTTTTTTATTCTAGTGTAAACAGTTTTATGCAGTAGTGACAGGAAAAATCTGTCACAGAAGTACAGCTAATAAGAGCATTTTATACAAGTGTCTTATGAACCTATTGACCAGTGAAGCATCACTCAAACTTCATTGATTTTTAAACAAAGCAATATGGAAAAATTAAGAACATGTCACTGGACAGTTGAGCAGGAACATATAAAATATAAATTTCTGCAAAAATTAATATCAGTGAAAAATCTTGGTATCTCTAACGCACATATAAAGATAGAAGCAAGCAGTTGCCCTATAGATCGCATATACTATTATTACTGCGCCAAATCTCCCCCCCCCTCTCCACCCCGTCCATTGTCGAAAACATAAGAAAAGAATGGACTCCGAGAATATGCCATAATGATCAATAGTAGTCAAATATTTTGCGTTACATTTTCGGACTAATAAACGATAGCTTCTCGAAAAATACTTTTTTTTTCAGATAATCATTGTTATATTTCGATTAAGACAGTAAAAAAATGGAAGCCATTCAAAACAGTCTGCACTTGAAAGATACAGAGCTTGCATATGTAACATTGACAGAAATAATCGATGAAAGCAACACAAATATGCGCATGTTAAATATAGCTTGTTTTTGACGGAAATGCTAGCTGATAACACGACACTGAAGGAAATTGATGTGTTTCATACTTAGTACTTTAAGACAAAACGTTACATAAAAAAATAGCTTTTCAATTCATCCTTGAAAAATGCTGCATTGAAATTTCTATTAAATAATTTTTAATCATTTTTGTTCACAATATGATTGCTGGAAAACCTTCGCACTCTTCGAAGATATAGAAAATGGAAATGAATCAAAATTTTTTGAACATTCAAGAAGAAAAATGAGTTTGAAAAACGTATAAAATTCAAGATAAATAATTTGTTCAACGGAACTAAAATAATACGAAGGCAGTGGTTTCAAATGGGCAAAGAAAGCATTTCCAGATAGATATATATCGTAAACCATTTTATGTAAAAAAAGAAGCCAAGAAAGATTGAAACGATGGTGATCAGATGTGATAAGAGGCGTCAATCAAAAATCAGCATGACTGTCCAAACTCACAAAGCTGAGAAATACTACATTAGATCGCATTTCAGTTCACTGAGAAAAGAATTGGGACAAAAACAAATGAAGAATATGAAACGCAAAACCAGAATTTCCATACATTTTATTCAGCTGCTTGCCATAATACCAAGGTCGAATAGAAACTACGCCATAGTTTCTAATATTAAGCATTTAAATTTAAAATTCGCAATAAGTTAATTATACAAGGTCAAGCACTTTGAATAAACACTAACTGAAAGCGATATTTCACTGACTTTGAAGAGTAACAACTACCATTGTTGTCTTGGTGACAAGCCAGCAACACCCATTGCGGTATTAGTTATTGAACTGATTCCAATAGATGTATTATAATTATTCATTGCTTCTGATAATTCTTCCGCTTCCTCGTTCGCCTGCCTGATATCACGAAGTGCTCTGCAACAACGGAATAAAACTCAAAATATATCCTCTATACTTATCTTTCTTCGAAAGTTAGAGACAAAGCATTAAATAAGCAAATCATCCTTTTTCGGATTTATATCTGAACAGATTATTTTTATACTATAAAAGTAATATAAAGTTACTGTCAAAGATTCTGCGAGTGAACACTATAACTTAATTTAAAAAATACCTTGACAGCTTCGACCATTCATCTGGCCGACAAGTTGTAAGGTTTTCGTGTACATCATAGATATGCAAATTACCTTTCTCATCACCCACGGTTAACTGTTGACCTAAAACTGTAAAGTTTAACAAGGAGATTTTTTATGTTAAACCCTGAATACTGCAGCGATCAAATATGTATCCACCCGCAAATACAGACAACACTTATAAATCAGAAGTGTCGCTGTGTGAAAAATGGATCAAAATTTGCTAATTTTGGCCATGTTCAGCATCAACCCAAGATAATCAATCCTGCGATGACAATCTCATCATAGCCTTCAAACAACTAGCTAATATAATTACTTATAAAAACTTTTCGAAGTTCTGCAGAAGAAAAAAGTCTTGGAATTACATGAAACAACCAAAAATATCTACGTATTAGAATTTTCTTTCCCTAGAATGCATCAACAACAAGAGACTTCAACTATCCTACAAATCTTATAAGAGGCTAGTAATCTCACCGTTCTGCATCCATTTCATCTTCCGCACTCCAACACCACCTTCCATTTGCAAATGGGATACAGGAGCTTCGGTGTCTTCATTTAAATTCCACAAAAATACCTAAACGGATGCTAGTGTAAAAGAAGCTACCAAACGCCTAAATACTGATATCAAATTATAAAATACTTGTTTGCAAAGCCTACATTTCCACTAGCATCCGCAGATGTAAAAACTGCAGGATGAACAGGAGACCAGGCAACATCAGTTACATAATTACCATGTTTTTCGAATGAATAAATCGGCCGTGTCTCCTGCAAAATTTAAATCTTAATTTAATATCCACTGCTGCATAAAAAATTCGTGTGAAATAACTATAGCTTGTACAAAAAATACAAAACTAGGTAAGAAATATAATTTTAGAATAAAGTAAAAGAAAAAGGAAGTTTATTCCAAATTCTTTTTAAAGACAATAATTACTACCTTAGTACTCCACAACTTGACTGTCCAATCCAAAGAACACGATAAGAATAAATGCGATAAATCAATGATACCAGAAGCTTTATGTGTATCAACTCCTGTTATGGGTCCAATATGACCTGCAAAAAGATAATGTAATGTTTTTTACAGTTGTTTGATTATAATAATTAAATTAGAAGTGCATTGAAACTTACCTTCATAGCCATCATTTATTCCGCCTTTATTGCCATGTCTACTTGCCGTGTAAACATTTCCTTCTTCACTACCTGCCACGAAATTGTTAACATCGTCTAGCGCGAATGACATACATGTGCATGCTACCTAAAATACAGGGCATTATAAAAAAATTGACTTCCCAAGATCTGCAGATGATAACTTTAGCAAACATCTTTGCAGGATTGATAATTATCAGGTTTCGAATAATCGGATAATTATCTATTTCACTGAAGATATATGAAAAGAAAAAATTTCTTCGAAAGATTATATATATATAAATCATATACATACATGTTTCTGTTTCCATGCTAGATCAATTATATCAATCGGTTGATTTAAATTATCAACGCTCCACGAACATAACCTTCCATCAGTTGATATGCTTATTAAATTATGTGCATTTTGACTTCCCACCACTGCCATGCTCAGCACTGGATGAGTATGAGCTTGTGATGATAAAGGACTCTGAAATATTTCTCGGTAAGAAATAATAAGAATGAGGTTGACAACAAAGCCAGGATCATTAATAAAGCCTGAACAAAAAGTGAAGCCGCCATGATTTCAGATCTGCTCAAGTTGATTTCAAGGAAAAAAATAGAATTGCGATTCCTTATCGTGAATGACAAAACAATAGACTTCGACTACCATTTATTCTCCTTTCTTCTGGAAAAACAGAAAGGTAAATACCTTATTGACAGGAGTCTTCTTGCTGAGTCTATTGTCCCACATACAAATCTGACCGGAATAACATCCTCCCATTATCAAATTTGGATGAAATTTGGCAAATGCAACACTTGTAACCAGCGACTGACAGTAAAAAGTATATCTAAAATTAAGAAATTAGCTATAAGGTTTTTGATCACCCGACTTATAAAAAAAGAAATTTTTAATTGCTTTCAACGTGATGCTTACTCAGCAGTTGGCTTTTTGAAACGACAACTCCACACTTGTACTACTCCAATAGGATCAAGAGGTGAATCAGGATTCTGATCATAGGAAACAGCAAATAATTCTGGGTGTTGCACACAGTGATCAATGCCTGTCACAGCTCTAAAAATTTAGATCAAATCAACTTTTGCCCCCAATTTAACAAAAAACCATTTAAATTTCCAAATATACGAATTCGATTAACTAAGTTGTGTTTCATGAATAACGATGCACTAAATATTTTGAAATTATAACAACAACGAAAACTTACCTTCCTGCGCTCCATTTTTCGTCGACAAATTTTCTAGCAAACATCAATTTTTCACCACTATCGGCTTTTTCATCCATAGCTTCGTCACGTGAGTAATCAATGAAGATGTCAACCTGAAAAAAAGTAAAATGAAAGTCTTACACACCCATAATGATATGCATTACACTAAAACGTAAAAATTAAAAAAAGTCACGACAACATAAGCCATTCAAAATTCAAATATGAACTAGTTGAAAAACGTCCCATGAAATACCTTAACTATTTCACAAAGTTATCCTGTTTATAATGTGCAAGACTATTTTATAGAAATAAAACACACTGATTTCACATTAAATAATGATCCTGAAGCGTTATCTTGGAACTAAATATTGCCAACCTCTTCAGCTAATTGTCGCTCCATGACGCGTGAGTTGTAGTCAAAAAATTGCTGAAATTTTTGACTACTGAGAATTTGCAACTTTTCTTCCTCACTCAGATCCGGGACCTTCGCTTCCTCCTCTTTCTTTTCTTCACCAGGCTATAAAACTCATAACCGATAAACATTCAGTATAATTATTATATGACCCTAACTATTAAGTTGGAATACTATTTACCTCTTGCTGACGCACGCCAAAATTAAAATTAGGCAAAATGTTCGCAATTTCTAGCGTAGGAGATTCGTCAAAATTGATTTCTAAATGTTTATCTAACATCGTCATTTCTTCATCATAATCGAATTCCTGAGAACCTAAACTAAATTCCCCCGCTGATACTCGATCGTCATCAGTTTGTGTTGTTTTACAGTAACTCGCCTGAAAACATCGTTCTTTATAATAATATTTAATATCAAATTTTCTTTGCAGTATTTTAAAGCAATCAGGATCAACAAAATTTATTGGATATTGGAGGAGTTACATAATAAATATAAGGGAATACGAGATGAGTTGCGAGATGAATTGAAAATATTACGCAACTCGGCACTGAAATGAACGAAAAATCGTACAGCATCCTTAGGTGGTACTGAAATCATCTGTGTTTCACAAATAGTAAGTTTTTGTGTCCTGGGAACTGATGAATGTCTCTGATTGTTTCCAACTCTATCCTGAAAAGCATCGGTGGGCAACGTTTAGAAACTACTTTAGTTTATATAAAACATGTCATATTATAATAGAAAAAATGACTACAAAAAGAATTCTAAAACTGCAACTTATCCTTTCCTGAAAAGTGTGGTAGAGGAAAAGAAAGGTTTTTACCACTGTTCGGTGATCAATGTTATTTGGAGTAATGGAATGTTCGATTTGAGGCTGAGCCGATATTCCCAACGGTTCAAGGATCTCTTCTAGATCTTTTTGAGAAAATGTTTTCGGCAAATCGCCCACTGAAAAGCAAGAACCAAAGTAAGACCATATGAAATATTTGATTTATTAATCGCCCGTCCTTTACAATTTTTTAAACAGAGTTCAATTACAAAATCTAAAAAAGGAATAAAGCTGGAGAATGAACTAATAAATAAGAGAGTATAAGCAGTCACATAAAACAACATGTGCTCTATGATAAAAAAATCATACGAGGCGAAGTAATTTTACATAATCTAACACCGATAAAAGCAAAAGACCTGTTCCATTTTCAAGATTTGCATGTTTTAGCAAATTTCGCCGTCGTTCTTCTTCCCGACGTCTTTTCTCCTCCCGGATTTCAGCCAACTTCTGCTTCTTACGTTCGAGTTCAAGCTTACGCTCTTCAGCAGTAGCCATAACTGAAAAATTAATTGAACACGTCAACTTTTCTTCCAACTATGAGCATACGCATTACGCTTGGAAAAAGTGAGCAGTTCAGTACCCAAAGAATATATGCAAATGAAAGACGTATCTCCTAGAAATATAGAGATTTATAAAGTAAAAACTGGTAACGCTTAACTTAATTTCACAAATTCTTCATCTTGTATTTGAGTCTAGCGTATTTTTCCTCATTCCCCAGCTGGTTAGTGCATTCTTCTTTAATTTTACACCCAATCACTTTTACAAGTAAAAGTATTGGACAAAAATTCAAATTTGATGAAAATTTGTAACATAATTCATAAATGTAGACAATTCAAATTCAAACTGATCATGAATTTTTTTCTATTAAGATAACGAATATTACCGACTGACTAATTTGGTGCTGGTGAGCATCATCGACCTCTTATGCAAACTGACATCTTGAAACAAACCCCCACCCCCTTCCTTCATCATTCCCCATCACTCATCATTCCTGTTGAAGTTTAAACGAAATTCCGCATGCATCATCCAATTATTATAACGGTATAAACTTCGACTTCAAAATAGTTCGCCTGAAGGTTGTTGAATGCAAATTTTTAGATTGCAATCAAATTAATGAAGTACTACCTCTTATCCTTCCTAAAATAGAAATTACGGCACGAACAGTTCTGGCTGTCATCACCACTATACTCAGGAAGGAGAGTACATCACTTCGAGCCAATGCTTCAACATTACAACAGCGAAATTTTGCAGTGAAAGGAAATTTCAGCGGAAAGAAGAAATTTAGTAAAAGCGCTTCTGGAAATGAATAAGAATGGCAGTGTTGAAGTGAAAGTATTTCAGTTGATGGGAACGTGAGTGATGAAAGGAGCAGTTGTGAAGAATGCTTCTTTCATGGACCCTTTACTCTCCCTCGAAAGAATAACGACATACGTCTACACGTCATTGTATCAATTACTCCACGTCACGAATTTTATCGAGACTTCTAATGTATTCCTTCGTTACAATGCCAACAATCAAAACATAAGTTGAATGATATTGTTATTTCTTCAGAGATAAAGAGATAATTACCTGCACTTTTTTGTAATTAAAGGTTCTACTTGTTCAGAAGTTGTTATACTGCAAAACTTGATCGAATATTTATTTCAATATCGGATATGTAATATTATTTGAATGTTATCAGTTAATAAGTTCCTTCTAGCATTGCTTACTTCCATATAATGAGAAAAGTATTTCTATCTCTAAACGTTCAAACGTTAAACGTTAAACGTTCAAAAAAAAATCCTGGTTTAACTTGCTTATCATTCGATGATAAAAACCATTAACTCAAGGAGTTACTTTATCAGTAGCTTAAAAATATGAAATATTAGATGAAAGAAAATATCCCCTTTGAATGGTCTTCATGAACAACATTCAAGTAAGCTGATAGACTAATGTGAAATACCTTCAGGGAATTTGGCTATGTGTCGACCAGTATGAACTTAGCAGTGATAAGGTAATACTCGAACAACAATTCTTAAGGAAGTTGGTCATTGAAATAAGTTTCCAATGTATAGTTAGGAAAAGAGCTTATAACACAGTTCTGGGCGGAAAAATCAAACACACCATCTGTCATCCAACTTGATCGTAGTATGTCTACTGATTCTATCAATGCTTTTTGTAAGATATATATTGAAAACATTACAACTTCTAAATGCGAGGTTAAAATATACATTTCTTAAAGTAAAATAATGACAGTATTATACGTAATCCTACAATGTTTTAAATAAATGAAATTAATGATTAGTGATAGTTTTGAATTCTAATTTATCTTTTCAATTTTTTAATACTGTCTGTGTTAGGCAATCAATCGTTTGTTCTGCTGAAAAATGCTAAGCGTAATGGAAATTTTTGAAACAAATAATTAATTAAGAGAATGTGCCGATTGTGTCAACACATTAGACAATTTTAAAATGAAATTGGTTGTTGTTAATAATTTCACTGTACTTACTTCAGTATTTCTAAAATATAATGTTAGTGTTTCCATAATTGCACAGTGGTTGAATTTTCTCTTCCATTAATTGATTGCAATTGTCTATCATTCATATTCCTTCGGTCCAGTAGCCGAATTTACCCCGAAAATAATTCTGACACAAGAATTATTTGAGGGATTTCTTAGCGAGTTTTTGGTTCTTTATTTTGCTAATTTATTTTTATTTCTGTACAGTAATAATCTTATAAGATTTCTTGGAGCTGGAAAATGAATAAACGAATCAATTTAACATTTTTCGTAGGATTACAAAAATAAGCAGTTCAAAGGTTATTATCATAGATCTATCTGTATGAGTGGTAAGTGCTTAGTTGGACCTACATGAGGCACAGTTATATCATCACTTTCCGATGCGCTATGAATGCCTTATATTCTGGGACACATTGATTTTACATAGTACGCAGTGATAAATTTAATAAGTTAAAGAAACAGAGAGAGACAAAGCGGAGGAAAAAGCTCTGAAATGTGTGGAATATAATGTGGTACTATGACAGATATATCCTCAAAAATGGATGGAAGCATCCGGTAGCCATTTGGTTATTGATAAAATGAACGAACATACGACTGACTGACTCATTCACTGAATGATTGAATGTCAACCTTGGAATAAAAAGAGGCGTGCGCAATTGGCCAACATTAACTTCACATATATCCCGCCGGATAAGAGAGGAAATTTTAGCATTAAGCTGTAATGCCGATACATAGAGTCGTGTTTGTGTCTTTGTATGTATGCATGTATTATGTGTGTATGTATGTATGTATGTATGTGTGTGTGTCTGTGTATGTGTGTGTGTCACATGTCTTCAGTGGTGCAAAAGGATGATTGATTTTCGGGGTTGGTTGCCTTGCAACGATTTATATTATGGAGTGCAAGCCGCTTAGGATCACTACCAATAAAGAAGTATTGAAATGTGACAATAGCCGCCCCCAACTGATTCAAATTATTGTGATACATACATTTTTTTTGTTCTGCTCTATTCAATTCCTGTTTCCAGTTTGCGGTATAATTTGATTCCGATTTCCGTATAACTGACAACCTCATGGTAATGGGTATAGGAATGGGCGAAGATATAAATTGTAGTGTGCCGGAAGTGCCTCTGGCTCATCTTGAAGATGACACCGACTTCATCAAAGCGGCATCGCAACAATCGTAAGTGCGATTTCTATATTTTATTTGTTCCTTTTATTTTTATCACTTGAATTTCGTTTTCAACTAAATTTATTAAACATTTCTGACCATTCCCTCATTTTGAATGCTTTGCAAGAAAATAGAAATAGTTTGGTCTAATTGCAAAAGTCCTGAAATGATGCATTGAACCAATAACGAGGAAAACCTTCAATGAAGACTCATTAATTGTCTAAATTGTTTACGATTCTCTCTTACCTATTGTTTACTTTATTTATCAATTATATTTTTTTAATAAAGCGAATTTTTTTACATTCACAACGTAGTGAAATTATAAAATAAGCCATAAGACTAAAAGTTCAACGCAAATAGTGCTCTTTTCATGCATTTGTTGCTGTATTTTATACTCTTGAATTCTTGTTATAAAATGAGCATTATACATTTTCACTGTCATCTCTTTCAAACAATCAGCCGTTCTGTTCAAATAGCACATTTTTCCTTATCCAAAACGATTTTCCATTCAGGCTGATAGATATAAATGATGAGAAATCATAATATGGCTTCAATTCTCCCTAGATTTTCGCTCAAAAATTACCATTTTTATTTTTTTTTTACTTCGAATTTGATGACATATAAAACGGAAGCAATACATTTATAAAAACCGAACGAAACCGGAAACATTTATAAACGGAAACAATTTGTTTGATATTTTATTATTGAAGTAATAGGCATTAAAATTATGCCACATATAACAAAAAGGAAATTTCATCCTGCCACTAATCGATATTGCTTATCGAATTGCCAAATAATTCATTATATTTCTTTTCTTTCATTCTTTTTTCATATCTTCTAGTTCACATTATTTCTTGTGAAAAAATTTTCAAATTTTTGGGCATTCTCTCACTATCTCATTATCTCTCTTCTTTATCATTACAACTTTAAGTTTCTTATTCAGTTTAGTACTAGTTGGTGCCATTTTCATATATCATACAAACAAGTAACATAAAGTTGAAATTTTTTTTCATAAAGTTCATTGATAAGAGTCTATCCAATTGATAAGTTTAATTTAATTTATAAAAACAACTGAAATTTAATGAAGGATAGCATTATCTTTCCATTATTTTTCATCATTGTTTTTACAACATTTTCATTCTTTTTTATGACGTTTACATTTATTGGATGAAATGAGTTTACTTCAATGTTACTCATAAACATTGCAATTCTGATTACATGAGCAATTTGTTAAGCAATTCATGAGGATATTACGATTGTGAAATAGATTACACAATATCCGGAACCATCGATATATAAAGAGATCGTGAAATTTTAACGTTTGCATTTTTCAGTTAGAAATAAATGACGACAGATGAATATTAGGACCGTTTTCGTCATTGCGTTTTTGCTCTAAAATTGATCAGATCAAGTATTTTAAGAATCAAAATTCCATTGTCTATTCTGTACGATATTCGGCGGACAAGTTGGACATTTGGAGATCATATTTGAGCAAAAATATTTTGAGTTTTAATTTTCAATACATTTTCTAATCTCTCTGTTTCATTTGGAAAGGACGATTCATTTTAGATTTATTGCGTTTTTCTGATTTCCTTCTTTTTTCTTTTCTAATCTTTCGTCAAAAAATTGCTTTCAATTTTAGATATGATTCTTGGCTAGTGCTAAAGTTTAATATTATTTCTTATTCAGTCTTTTCTATATTTTCCTTTTTGCATAGTTTTAAATAATCATTGTTCGTACAAATTCTCCTGGAAAGGAGTAATACAAAAACTTAAAAAATCATTTCATTCTTTACTTCTTGAAAAATCTCAAATAATTTTTTTCAAGTATATATCTTCAACTCTAAAAGTTGTAATCAATGATTGCAATTTGCTGTCAAGTGTACTACTAAATCCATGTTTTAACTTAATTAATAAGAATAATTTACAATAAATAAATGTGTTAATAGTGGAATGAATATAAGTGAAATAACAGAAGTCAAAATCAATTTTCAGCACCGTGTCAGCTAAGAGTTTGGAATTATTATGTGACGTTTGCTGCTATTTACATCTTTCACATTTCAAATAATTTTTCGATCATTCTATGAAATGGACTTCTTTAAATATTTAAGCATTTAACTAGCTAAAGTGTTAAAATTCAAATCGCATTTCTTTATGAAAATGATATTTGAGAGTGATGATAGTGATAAAAGAGTGGAAGAGGAAAGAAATGATAAGAGATAGGCAAAAAAATGAAAAATATTTTAGAAATTGTTGCGAAAATATTTGCGTATATTAATAAGATAGGTTTTATTGTGAGAGAATTTTATTCATAACATATCAAATATTTATAATGCAATAGGATTTGATTCTTTACATCTCTCTCTTTCTCTCTCTCTCTCTCTCTTCTTTTTCTGTATTTAGAATGATTTGATAGCAAGAAAAGATGATGACAAATTAATGATTTCACTGAAATGTTTAAATTAGTACTAATCTGAAAGATAAAAATCTTCACATGAAAAGCCAATATCTTTACAGTATCGATTTTCATCCCATACTTTGTCAGTTGTTTAAATGAATTCTAATTAAAGTAGAATAGAATAAAGGAAAATGAATAGACAAATAGACATAAAAATAAAAGGAATACAATATGCTAATCCATGCGAGGCACGGCACATATGTATTGGTCAGTATGAAGGCACATCATTATAGCTAACATGGAATAAATGATAGAAGCCTATTCTTCCTTTCCCTTATCTCTTTTTATGGCATTCATCTTAACCAATCATTTTCAACCATCTTTTTCTTCTTTGCACTAATGAATTTTCAATATGTTCGAAATTGTTACAAACTAAAGGTAGCCAAGATGGATATATTCGAACGACCTCGTCACATTCCAACTTTCACTTCACTTTACAATCATTCTTTTCCTTCCATCAAACTAATTTGTTTTAATTTGATTTCGATCAGTTTGTTTATAGAATTTAACTGTCATTTAAAGTTTCTTCTCTTTCATTTTGCTTTTTAATCAATGGGATTAAACAAAAGAGGGATGAAGTAAATATTTCACTGTACATAAGTATCAATGATATTGATATTGATTACAGTGTGATATTATTTCATAATGTGAAGATATATTGATGTGTAATAAGAGTTATTTAATAATTATTTCACATAGATGCGGAAAGTGCAACAGCAGACACTAACAAATTTTCGCTCTGTGCAACGTGAAGAAATTATAAGAGTGATAAGACTTAAACCATTTCTGACTTAGAATTTTGAGTTGAGCCTCTACCATTGACACATATTCTCTTCCCTGTTTTTCCCTCTACCTCTCTCTTGTCATCATTTTTCATCATTTCTTCTTTCTCATCAGATATTCTAAAGGTACCAACCACCAGCTTGGATAGGAAGAAAACCTATGAGATATCAAAATTTTTCCGTTAAAAAAAAAGTTTAACTGAGTACAAAAAAAGATAGAATCTCCTGGGATTGCATGCAAAGTATAACTCTTCTTTTCATTCAATTCTCATTTTTTTCTTCAAATTTCAAGAAGAGGCCAGAGAGGAATGATGAAAAGTAAAGCCAGGATGGAATGCAGAAATCTAAACTTCATATAATATCCTTTAGGCAACATTTTGAAACAGCTGATAGCTATGATGGATAAAGCTCGATAAGAAATTGCAATGATATGAAATCATAGATTATCAATCATCTCATCATTTATATTCACATCGTCACTAATCACTGATGATCCGTGTATGTGATATCCAAGTGATGATTTTCAGGATTTTTCTTGGATCAAAAAGTAATGCCAATGCAACATAATTATCGGATCGATATTTCTAGATATACCTGAAAAAAGTTATCTCCGTCTGCTTATTGAAATATGAAATTAGATTAGTTGATTTTGGAACATTGATGAGATATTCTTGAGAGTATGACGTAAGTTATTCATCGTTCATTTTCAGATTGTGCACGGTAATTGAAAATTGTATCAATCTTAGCTTGTTGACACATGACCATAATTTCTTAGCTAACTTGAAGTCTCCAGGAACATCTTTTTCAACCGAATTCCATCCGTTTTAGTCAGTTTACATTTTTCTCATGAGGATTCTCTACTAACCAGTGATGATGTGCCATTTTGAAAACAAATGTAATTGTTGACTTTGTGGAGAAGGAAATGATCTGTGCAGTTTATCAGCTTCCTTTTTTAGAAATAATTTTTGTAATTAATCATTTCTAACTAATATTTCTGCTTATCGGTACAGTTTTTCATCTGCTAGATTGCACAACGTTTTGTAAAATTTGGCAGAACAAAAATTTCATATTAATGTGTGGAGAAGTTCAGGAAAAATCTGTGAAAGTCCTCTAGCAAAGTTTGAAATTTAAAATCGTAGGTTTAACTTCTTCAAATTTTTAGGTTCATAAATAAATTCAGCCACTTGATATTTTTCACTTACTATTCTTGTTACAGGACCAGTGATTGCGAGAACAATTTTGATGAAAATTTCGATGCGGAAAATCTATCGGGTAGTTTGGAAGATTTGGTCGGAACATTTGATCAAAAGATCTCGCACTGCTTCAAGGACCTTAATAAGGCTACCGAAGAGATAGCACCTATACAAGTGCGGTCAGAAGATGAAATCATGTCTGAAAGCCAGTCAGTATTTTTTATTATTCTAGCGCAACATTTTGTTCGATAATTCATTTATATATAGACATCACTTTAATTTTTTGAGTTGCAAAGATACCGTTCCAATCACAGATTTGAAGCAAACATATTATATCAGATATTCGCACTTATATTTTGGTATCGAATAGTTTTTTATCATTTCATTCACAATTCTAGAAATGACTATCAATATTATGGGAAGTCAATTCCATAGTAATAATAATTATTGTCGATTTTAAACCATTTCATGTGAAATAGATTTGAGCGAAGCAATTCGTCCTTGATGTTATAGATATTACAAATTATAGCGAAATTAACTTTGAAAATTGTTGCTCATTACTGTCACTTTCTATACACCGTTGCGATGAAATAAATTCTAAGTTGGGAAAATTGAATATTAAATTCGCGCAATGATAATCGACAAATAATTTTTAATTTATGCTTTTGCTCTTTTAGACAAGTATATGAAAATTTATTCTTATTCCTAATTTTTAAAGAGATTTTTCACCGATCGAATTTAATGTATGGGAAATATAGGCAGAGTACTTACCCTTTCTGCCACAAATTTATTGCTCTCACTGTAAATCTTCTGTTTTCTCGTGTAAAAATTTCTCTTTTAGTATAAAAGAAAGGAGGAAATTTTACATAATTAGAGTGGTGTCGCCATTTTATGAATTGTTTTTATGGAAGCTACAGTTTCTTCAAATTTAGTTCAATGAATCTTTGAATAGTCATCGAACTTAAGGATTACGGTTACTTCATTGCCTAAGAGAAATACGTAGCGGGCGATAATTGGCGGAATTCTTACACTGAACGAATTGTTTCCGTATAAGATTATCGTTGTATCTCCTAAGCAGGACAGAAATAAGATCAGTTAATTTGGATTCAGTAGCGAGATTGATCTCTTTTTCTGAAAATGCAAAACTCCAAGCAAATGTTTTATACACAAATAAGTTTGTTGAGAGACATTGCAAAATTTGTTCAATTTCTTTAAATAAAAGTTTGATGAATTAATCAAATTATAGATATGAATTTAGGATTGAAGATCACATATCTTTTACGTTATCAATATTTTTCGCAAAGTTTTCAAAACATTGTGTGCGAATACTGTAGATAATTCAGTAATAACGTTATTCCTGTCAATTTTGTTTTTATATTTGGGTAAAATTAAATCTATAAGTAATAGCATTATTTTTTTTTCAGAATTTGGTGGACTTTAACGGGAAATTTCGGCAATATGCCTCCACTGGATTTCTCGAAAACACAAACAAGGCAGTTACAACTTCCTGCTCTCAATCTTCAGCCATGCAAGGTTCCATTTTTATCAGTTTTTTCTTTTTTTTTGCAATGACCCGAAATACAACAAGAATGATAATTTTTGGATCAAAACTATATGCTGAAGATAATGTATGCTTGTGAAGGATAATGAAACTTTTAAAATAGTTCTTCAGATTGTTTCAAATCTAAGTTTTTAGGCCTTAGGCCATTTTAAGTCTTTAAGTCATTGGAATATCCTGCTTTTTAAATTAAAAGGAGTCCCCTCCTATAATCTTTTGTTTTTGCATACATCTCTGCCGTTCAGCGAACTGTCATCTTTCAATTACATTTAAATGAATAATTTCCACAGAGTTTTGAAATTCACTCTTTGTAGAGCGACAGAGTATAAAACTTATTTGGTAATTGGAAAGTTGGAGAGAGAGAGAGAAATTCCTTACGGAAATTGGAAAAAAATGCATTCATTTGTTAGTTGCTAACATAAGACTTTAGTTGGATTTATTTAGGATGAATTTAGACATGCTTCACAGATATAACCTCTGCTCATCTAATTTTTAGGAGGGAGAGAGAGAGAGAGAATTTTTCTTTTTCCATCGCAAATGTAGAGAGTCAGTCTAAAAAGAACTGTGAAAAAGAAATCTTGATAGCAAAAATTCGATAAAGCGCAAAAAATGCTCTCTCTTTCTCTATGCCCACTTCATATGCAGTGCAGGGAAAAAGGGGATCGATTTAATATTACTAGAAAGTTAGTTAGTTATTTTAAACATTTTAATACATCACAAGAATGGATAGAGTATTAAATGTATAATCTGTCGTGTTTCAATTGCTTTGTTCATTTTTTAGAATCTTTGTCGATTCTTGTAATATCAACATTTTCATCTTAATAGTAAGCAAGCTTTTTGTAGTAAAAAATTCTACGACAGTAAATTTTGGAGTAAAAAAAATTTCGATTTCTTCTGATAGTAAAAGTGATTATCGATAAGATTGTATGAGAGAACGAAATACATCGTAGAAGTTTCCATGAAATTTTGCATATGTACGAAGTTTTTTAGTTTTACTTTGAGTATTTAATAGAACTATGTAGTCGAAAAATAGCGGATAAAATAATTGTGCTGAAAAGCTTATCATCCAAATTTACTACTTTTATCATTAATATATGAATGTTAAATTATAGAAATCATTATTCTCTTATTCATTTAATGTAATTGTAGTATCATTTAATTCATCATAAATCCTTTTATGTTTTTCTATTATTAGAAAAGAGAGAGAAAGAGAGAGAAAACATGAGATTGATTGATAGCAAGTATTAAGAAATGAAAAATTGATCACGTTATTGGCATTTGTAATTTCAATGCATCTAGAAAGATCTTTTAAGAATTTTTTCAAAATATAAATTTTATTAAGCTATAATCCGGAATGTTTTTTATTCTCTCGTTTCCCTTTTCCTTTTCTTTCATTATCAATATTCCATTAGAGTAAAAGAATAAGAGTCTAAATTCTGAATTTCATCTTCAATTACAAAAGAAATTAATTTTTTTCGAGTTATTTTTTTTATTGGGTTGGTTGGTTCTCAACGAACGCTTTTAGCGTTTTCAATTTGGCTTTCATTCGTATCAAACGAAGGATACAAACACAAATCTTTCATCATTTCTCTCATCGATGTGCCATCAGTTTACTATCACTGCTGTGAGTCTGTTCCCTTGTGTTGGAGCTGCTATTCCCAGCGTCCCTCTTAGTGATAATTTTCCCTATCAAAGATTACCGAAAAATCCTGGTGATGTTGACTTTATTCGGCGAAACAAAGTGAGTATTGATTTCATTCTACTGAATGAAAATGAATTTTTTTCTATAAGAATTCAAGAATTAAAATTTAAATTCATAAGCGTTGTGGATATGAAAAGCGATTTTTAGCTTAGTTATCCGTTCAATTTAGTAGCGTAATACAATATCATAGAACCATTTTATTTCTGATTCATTAGTTGCAATGTCAGCTAATAGAAAAAATTGGCTGAGAAGCTGAAAAATGGAATATATTAGTTTCCACAAGCTACATCGAAAAATTGAAGTTTATTGTCTATTTTTTTATATTGAATTTTTTTTAAGATGAATTTTAGCATTAAATTTAAAGAAATTTGAGAACTTCAGGGAGTTTACAATGTGCTGCGAGAAGCTCATATTTCACTTCTTATAAAATTTGAAATTAACCGAATATTTGAAGACAATAATTCAATCGTTATTTTTCAGGAAAATAGTGATCCTGGTATTGATTTATCAGAAGAAGATGAGGAGTTGAGGAGTGCACTAGATATGCATCAATTGATCAGTCAACGGGGTCCTTTATCAGAGTCACCTCCACAAACTGCCGATCAGGTGATCGAGGAAATTGATCAAATGCTTCAGGTTAATTTTTCTCTTTGCACTATATTTCAAGAATGAAAAATTGGAATGTGTTTGGCATAGAAATAATGGAGATTCATTAACAATTTTCAGTCATGTGATTTTTCTGGATCGGTTATGACTGATCACACAATGGAATCGATGGATAGCATGTATTCATCGATGCGTTCACCATTATCAAATGGACAATACGAGATGGATGTCAAATTGCGACAGGCCGTTGCCATTACGTCGAATTCTGAAAGTAAGTAGGAATGTTACTTGTAGTGCGAGATAGTTGTCATATAAGAATGCATAGTTTAATTTCTTTTTTAGTCTTCATGTAAGAGAAGTATATTTACTTAATTCATCCGGATTTGAATATATGAATAGACGTGTGAGTAGATTAGTACTGTAATTTATTGTTGGTTTGATCAAATTTTCAAAATATTATAAGTTTCCTCGGTATTTATTTGTTGGGAATTTCTTAACTGCTAATAATAGATTGTTCAACATTTTCCAGGATTGGAAGGTAAGTAATTTTAAATGAGATATACTTTTAATTGTTGTGAAAGAGTATGAAACGCATTTATTCCGCTGTATGTTTATTTGAACAATTATGGGGACAAATCAATTTTTTTTCCAAATCTAGCAGCAAACATAAGCAATAAAAGTGATGAATTTTTAAAGGAAGAAGGGATTGGGGTCATCACAAGTTTATTTCCAAAGCTTTATAATTTCTCTCAGCTTCAGTTGGATAGGTTTTAGAAAGCATCCAGTTTAAGAGTGAAACTTTTCATTATTCAGTTCATCGAATATGAAATTCCTCAAAGCATGACCTTTTCTTGCATGCCTTGGTGTTCGAGTGTACGCCATTTACTTTTTGTCAATGTCGTTTGCTTTAAAAGTCTTCATCCATATCACTTTTGGAGAAAGGATGCTTTGAAAAAAAATTGGAAAGGGCGCTTTAAAAAAAATAAGAGAGGGGAAATTATTAATTATCATTTTTAATGCTTTTATCGTCACTGTAAGGATCCTTTTATGTGGTATTATTTAAATTCCCATTGACTGATTCGTTTCCTCTGTTTCATCTTTATTGTTTTACTTTTTTTGTGTTTTTTAAAACTTTCCTCCGCTAAAAATTCCTACTCTTGGTGTATCTACTTTGTGACTTAAATATTTAAAATTTCAGATTTGGAATCATTTACTTATAGCAGATTGCTTGCTCTAAGTGCTGAAATGGAACAACTCATTCAAGTAAAAATTAATTTGTTTTATGTAAAGAGGATTTGTAAGGCATGAAATATAAGATTTATATGATTTTAATATGATAAAAAAAAGGGGTAATAACATTTATGGAAGTAGAGGTAATAACATTTATGGAAGTAAAAAAAGAAGTAATAACATTTATGGTAGCTCTAAAGCATATTAGATAATATCATGCATTAATGTTAGAAATCTCACATTTTATTTCTTTTTTCAGGTCTACAATGACAGTTTGGTGGAGCAATTAGCTCATCGTGATGAGTTAGAATATGAAAAGGAAATGAAAAATACATTCATATCGTTGCTTTTATCTATACAGAATCGACGAAGACATTTCACCAATGAGCGAAAACGTAAACCGTTGAAAACTGACTCTTCACAACTACCACAGGTTAAAAAATTACATTTGGAATAGATTTTGATGCAGGCATTTTGTATTACAGTTTAATCAAATTTATAAATTTACAAAATTAAAATTCTTCGTCTTTATTTTAAATGAAATTGAGAGATCCCAATGTAGTTTTATGCTTTTTATAATTTAGCATCAGTGATTCATGTAGGTTATGGGAAAGTTATATCAGTATATTGCTATATATGTTCTTTTCTTGTTACTGCAGTAGGAATTAATTTTATATAACTTTACACAAATGATTCTAATTTTGTTTGTGAAAGAATTGTGTCTCTGTAATCATTGATTTGAGGAGATCATGATCATTTCAATCAAGCGCTTCTGATAGAAAATGCATGCTAAGTAGGACTGTATTAAGCTGTTCTATGTTGTAAAGCCCACAATTTGAAAACTTTATTTTCGTACATTTTTGGTATTAATGTCTCAAAGAAATATTAAAATTTAGAATATCATTTTTTAGTATATGACGGCGACAATTCCGCACGATGAAAGTCGTCTCTCCATGGACATGAACACATTGATGGCGCTTATCAAATGTAATCATTTTACTTTAGTTCTTATCTCTTCCGTTATTTAACTGCTAAAACTAAATAGTACTGCCCGTCGTTCAGCGCATCTTCTAATAATGGCTTCTGATATTGTTTTTTGGCTGCTATTGCACATAACTTTTTTGGAAGACACTTTTGTTAACTGTAACAAGCAGTTCCATAAAATCTGCTATTGATTAAAACTTTTGCTGGCTTGATCGAAACTGTATTAGCTATCAAAGGCAATGTTACTCTAGTTTAATTGAAAAAATATAGTTATTGTGCTATGTGTGCCTCTAATTAGAAACGATTTCAGTGTTACGAGCAATTGATGAAGATAGTCCCGCTGTGCCAAGCATGCTCACTGACTATATCTTAACTGGTAACAATTTCACTTCGGATGTAAAATTTCGTATTCTTGAACCAGTTATAGAATCATTTGGAGCATTTCTGAGCATATTTCAAAATTTTTTCTTTGATACTCTATACTCTTCAAGTTTAAAAAGGAGTATTCCATGCAAAATGATAAATCTCAATTAAAAAAGGAGTAGTATTCCATGCAAAATGTGCTCCAAAATTTTCGCCCTCAAGGTGGTGGTGAGGAACAATAAGAACACAATTTATATATTTTGGCATGAAGTTAGTGAAATGATAAATCGTTTATAGTAGATTATTTCAGTCTTGTGCCCCTCAGCGTCATCATCAGTTACCACAGATTTGGCTGCTTATAAGTGAGTTAAACCAAATGATCCCATCAAAATTCCAGTGCTGCTGTACATTAAAGTACGGCTACAGCTCATGCTGCTCTTGCTTTTTGTATCTTTATATACACCTGTATACCAGAACAGTGCATCTGATATTCATTTTTTCTTTTACTTTAATTATGTGTTTGATAATTCACATCTACTGCACTTTTTTTGACTGAAATTTTTTTAATTCTTTGGAAGATGCTTTGCTTATTAAACTTGAGATTTTGAAAGTTCAAATTGCGAAACTAGGATGACGAGGAAAGACATTACTTACTCGGACCAGTTCCAACAAAATTGAGTTTGATTCCAAGAATCCCAAATTATGAAGGAGCTTCGAACAAATTTTTTTATTCACGTGATCTCCATTCCAGTCTGTCCTTCATTATGAGACTACTATCCCATTTCATAAGTTTTGCAATGCGAAAGTGTACGAACTTGAGCTACCATTGATTTTTTAGTTTTCTTTAAATTTTATCGATGTGCAAATTGAGCGTAATTATCTTATTTCTGCTTTTCAACAGACACATTCAAATTATTACTACTTAATCGCCATGAGCACTGCTTCACGTCCTTCTGTATGTATCGTGTGTGAAATTTTTGCATTCTCTTGATATTTGTACTATCGATCTCACTTCGGCTCCCAAAAATATAATTCGAATGGAACTTAGTGCCTTATAATATCTTCTTAAGCGTCGAGTTTGATTTCAAGAATTTGCAGTGTAAAGGAACTTTAAGTTAAATTTTATTATTCAAGTACACTTCCTTAGTTCTGAAAACATAAGCATATTGTTCAATTTTCCCAATGAAAGATTTATTCTCCACAAACAGCAGCTTGAAACATAACAATTTCCCAGTTTAATTAATGATAAAGTTTACATTTTGTTTTCAATTATCTTCACGCAATAAGGTACACCAAATCTTGAATCGCTAAAATAACTTTCTAATCGCAAATGTAGTATCTCGTCGTTTCTATGTTCCAGAAAGTACAATTGCACCATGGCTTATGACTTATGTGAAATATTCTCTGCTGTTTCCATTGATGTTTCACAAGGCATGCCCAAATATTTCCGAAGGTTTGAAGAAATATCGACGCCAATAGGAGGCCGCGATGAAACAAAAATACTTGCAGGTATTTTTTCAGGTGGTACAATGGAAGGTGCCCTGAAAAAAGCTACGGAAGTAATCGGAAACTGATGGGTGGCATATTTGTCAGGAACACTAACAGAAAGACACAAACTAATAAATAATTGATGGATTAATCTCTCATGTGGCTGAGATATTTAACTAACGCGACGTACTAACAGATGCGGCATTTTAACTGATTAGACGTACTCTAAATTAGAATGAATTCCATGGTTTGACCAATTATCCAGCTCATACTTCTCAATTATCTGATAGTAAAATTCATTTTTGAGTGTTTTACTGTCTTCCAAGTTGCACACCGCAAAAACAACTTGCCCTTTCGCTAACAGCTGCAAACCATTCCACGCTATCATTTCTGCATTGTCGCAACAATAGAATTTTGAAGGAGCACAGAGACTATAACCAAGGGATCCACAAACATCATCAAGTTTGGCTAATATATACTTGTTCGAAGCAACACCACCAGAAATAAAAACCAACCGATTACGGGGTGGAATCTGTCACCGTGCAATAATTCGATTAGTTTGAAAAACGATTAAAATTTGAAATAAAATAAAATAGCTTCAAAAAATGCCAGTCAAAGCAAGATCATGGAGATATAGAGCTTTGGATTAAGTACAGCGATAGAGAATACAAAAAATCCTACAATGATTACTTTATGATTACTTCTACACAATAAGAATCAGTAGTTTGACTGGAATGAAACCTTGTCGAAATCGTTCAAATATTGTAAACAACAATTTAGTTTCTTGACCAAATATTTTGCGATGGAATGCTGAAATCATTTTCTCTGAACAAATCATGTCAGTTAGAAAAAGTTTCCTACGGTCATCTACAACAGGAAGCAAAAAAAAAACTGCAGAATTGCAAAATTTATGACCGTTAGTACCTGAACGCTTGCACAAAAATCAGGAACATTGAGAGTGCGTTGCCCTGAAATCATAACTAAGTATGTAGCCTTGATCCATGAAAAATTGAAATGCAAAGCCATTTTTGCAAATTTGTCTATATCGATTGAGTACCGTTTGAAGCCATCCACAGATGATCTAAATGCAAGATTTTAGGCGAAGAATACTGTTTCATTTTTAGAAATAAACTTTTTATTTACCAGAGTGAAATTCATGACAAAAAACATTAACACGTACCTTGATGCCATCACTTCCAGAGCAGCTCCTGGATGTAAATCATGCAGCTCTGGTTCCTCAAAATCAAGCGCTCGACTAATTTTATCCATGCATTCGCCAGGGCTACCAGATGTACTGGTCAGCAAAACTTCAAAGTCATCTGGTCCGTTAGTTACAGCTATTATTGAATGTCCACCCGAAATAAGAACAGAGACATAAGGATACGGTACTGGTTTCATCAAAGTAGCAATTGTTGCATGAGCTTGCATGTGATGAACTGGTATAAGCGGTATACAGCCTTTCCTAACATAAAATATAGCAAATTTTTGGAAACGAAGTTTTACAATGTCTTAAAAGGACTCATTAATTAGAAGAAACAAATATGTATTCACAAGATTTATATTGCCTGTTTTAAACTCAAAACAAAAATCACGATATACCTTGCCAAAGAGACAGCTTTTTCAGCACCAACTCGAAGAGAAATGATTAAACCAGGTCCCGTCGTCACTGCTATACCATTCAAATTACAAAGTCGTATACGACTTTCATTTAAGCACTCGTCAACAAATAAATCGATGTATGAACGATGCTATAAAAATCTCTCACCAACGTTGAAAATACAATTAAATGACACACACATTATCTATACTTATTCGTTTCGAAATACAAGGATGTTCGCTCTTGAAATTTGAACGATTGTCTTTTTAATTCATAAAAATTGTTTTTTTGGAGCTTCTCAAAAACGTACAAAACGAATACAAACGTTTCTCTGGTATAATAAACCTGGTCAGCCGCTACAGCTGGGCAGATCCCTCCAAGTCGTTTCTGTATCTCGCGATTCGCATAACGACGAGAACTGAGAATCCTTCTATTACTGTTCAGAATACATACCGCCGTATCATCACAACTAGCTTCAAATTCATTATCACAAAGAATGATGAGGTAATGGAAAACTTAAACCTACTCCCTCATTAGCATTGAGTATTTTACTGATCTCTCCCTCTCCCCTTCCAATCATTTCAATCCGTAATTCTATTCTTTGTAACATGGTCGTGGAAAAAAAAAGAGTAGTGGATGAAAGCACAACATTTAAACTCAAAACTGCAACCACCCACAAGCATTCACAGAAACAGTACGATATGCAGATGTATTAAAGAATTTCAGTAAAAAAAAGCTACCTGGTTTCAATGCCCATAACAACGACAACTCCTTTAGAGTGTGTGCTATGTAAATTGGAAATGTTGCGATTTGGGGAAATTACTTTGCATAGAAGCTTGACCAAAGTCCTTCTCATATTCGGTTTGACCAAAGTCCCCTGAAATGTAATGAAAGCCATCAAAAGAAGTGACAGTGACATAATGTTTCCAAACCGTTCCAGAATGAACTTTATTCCAAAACTATCAATAAGAGCCTCTACTGATCGTATCAGACTGAGGAGTTGCACAAAGCACTAAAACAACTGCATCCATAAATAGATATAGAGGCTGTCCAAGAGGATCACTTGATCCCTCCAATTCGCAAAAGTCGTAGCATTTTCTATTCCCAGTCCATCATCTAAACTTCCCGCTATTTGCTTCCAAACCTTCTCCTTAATTGGAAGATTGCCAATTATTCTGAATGTATGCGAAAAGTCTAGCACAGAGAGTGTATTGTCCCACTTCTCTGTGTTTACATCCATTACGCGCTGTCTTACATTTGCTTTTTGTCGAATCCCTCAATTACGTCTCTTCAATTAACACTTTTTTGGCTGCCCTCCACTTTTTCATATTCCCTTTTATCTTTTTCTCTCTACTAATTGCGAACTATTTTTTGGTGCATTCCGTTCTGTCGTTGTCAAAGTTAGGTAGGCTTATCCTAATTTGAAATGGCCTAAAGAGCGCGCGCGGTTGCGTTGCGGACTAGCTTTTATCGTGAGGCGTCTTGTTGCAGAATACATTTCTTCGGTTGTTATTGGCGAGAATGAGTAATATGAGCGCACGTGTTTACGTGGGGCGTTTGTCCTACAGAGCGTCCGAACGTGACATCGAGCATTTTTTTCGTGGTTATGGACGTATACGTGATATTGTTCTGAAGAATGGTTTCGGTTTTGTGGTAAGTGATTCATGTGAATTTTTTGTAGAGCAGTAGATCCCACCAACATTCTCCTTTACAGGTGGCAAAAATTGTAATTCTGTCAATTGCTTAAGGTGTTTGATTTCATTCTCTAAGTTTTTCAGTTCACTTAGTCGAGAAAATGATTACTGTTAAACAATAATTTAAGGAAGCATTCATTCTCTTTCCAACACTCTTCTGCTTATGCTGGATAGTTATGAGTTAGTTATGAGAAAAGTTGAGTCCTAATGTAGATATTCGCGTACTTCACTTATGTGCGCACATATTCACGGGCATGGTGCGTGATGGAATTTAGTCGTTTATTATTGGTAATATTTTCTTTGCAGAAACTTTTGCGTTCGTATCCACATAAGTGACATACGTCAACTTATACATTCGTATATGTAGATTGTGGGACTGCTATCAAAAGTTGTCTATTTTAGTAAGCTAATCATCATAAGATAGTAAACTACGGTCACATTTAAGGTTTGTGGTTGGCATATCCAAATTTTTCGTTTAAGTCATTCTTTATAATTTATCTTACTTAACAGTTATTATTGTTGGTTTTGTAGTCTCTCACTGTCATTGAATGGACAGAATTTTATTGACTTGTAATCTCCTTACTGTTTTAATTATCCTGTTCGACCTCTATATTAGATAAATGCTGTTTAATGTTTTGCAATATTATGAGATTCTCAAAGCATATTAATTACAAATGCGTTTGTTGCTATGAAATGACTATGAAGCGTATTAATGGCAAATTGCTAGCTTTTTCATGAGTTGTTAGTGTGAATATTCTTTCTTTTATTTTTTAATGAGGAATCTGCGAAATATACGGTATCACAATCAGATAGAGCAGAGAAGTATTTCTCTTTCGAAAGTCTTCAAATTAATTATTTGACCAGCTGTATGCAAGTATTTTTCATAATGAGGTCAAATAAACTGTGACACTCGATGATGTACTAAAATTAGGTGGAAGGAATTTTTGTTGCACATTTAAGATTGTTTTTGTATTGCATGAACTTTTCGTTGGAAAAACAAAAAAATGTTGTAGGAATTTGATGATCCGCGGGATGCGGACGATGCAGTATATGAGTTGAATGGAAAAGAGTTATGCGGTGAACGCGTTATCTTGGAGTTCTCGCGCCGTGGACCTCGAAGTCGTATGGGATTCGGCGGCTTTGATCGATTTCCTCCACCGAGACGGGAATCAAGGCTAGTGTAGCATATCTTGTCTGTCATGCTGTTTTTCTTGTTTTTTCTTGTTTTCTGGTTATATGTTACGTGGATCTTTTTAGATTCTACAGTGCGTTGTATTTTCAGATACGGTCCACCTCAACAGACACGCTATCGATTGATTGTAGAAAACCTTTCGTCTCGTTGTTCGTGGCAGGTGAGATAACGTGATGTTGGGACGTTGTTTGCGATCACCTGATGCATACGTCGTTGTTTGAGGGTGGTATACATGTAAAGGGAAGGAGATACACCACACACTCGCGACAAACCTGTATAATTACCCGATGGATAAGGAGAGAAAATGGCCAAATTTCAGCACCTTGATAACACCTTTGTTTGAGGCGTTGGCGATATATGGACGAGTAGAAATCGGAAAATATTTAGTTTTTTAGCTTTTTTTTCTGTTGCATCAAACGCGCATTGTTTGGATAGCCTTATAAAGCGCGTTCGATGGCCATTTAATTCTCTTCATGAAGATAAGGCCGAGTGAAGGCACCAAATTGGCCAGGAGGTAGTCGCGAGCTGGTGCAGCTCAAAATGGTTTATCGTTGGTGCGTAGGCGTCTTGTTATTGGTGCGTTCGGGCCCGGGCTCGTGTTTCGGTGCTTGTTTCGTTTCGTTCTGATGTCGCAGGTTGAGGCTAGTGGTGGTGTACTGCCGCATCGTGAGGGCCACATCAGAACATGATCTGGTCAGTTCTCTAAAAATAAATTCGATCTTTCGTATCGCTGAAACAAAAGGTGTTTGACATTTATCAAAATGAGTTAACTGGATGGTAGTTTTTTCTTTTTTTGACGAGCGCATACGAAATTTCCATGGTTGAAAGTTCCTTCATAACGGGAATTTTGTCTTCATTTTCAGCATTTCCTTGCTGTGCGGTTTGGCATGAAAAATGTGAGATTAGAAAAGATCGACTGCTGCAACAAGAAGATACGGGATGGTCTGCAAAAAAATATACATTAAGAGGACAATATGCTATTTAGAAGCAATTTGGTATTCGATGAGTAAGAGAATATAGTGATGTAGGGGTTTGATGGTTGACGATGCTTTAATATGCTCTTTGAGAGCAAAAGGTATATGATCCATTTCCTATTGCACTTCGTGTCGCTGATTCCATTTGGTAACCGTATTGTTTTGCAGGATCTTAAAGATATTATGCGAACCGCTGGTGAAGTAACTTTTGCAGATGCGCATAAGCAGCATCCAAATGAAGGGTAGGGTCTTTTGGTTTAATGTGTTCCTTGCTTTATGTTTATGAATATCTGGCACCTTGCAGTACTTTTATATGTTTCTGACTAAATATTGCGTTTTTTTAGGATTGTATGCTTTTTAACACGAGAAGATCTTGAAAGAGCGCTTGACAAGCTGCAGGGAAAGGAAGTAAATGGTCGCAAGCTAAAACTGATTGACGATTCGGAAAGACGGGATAGTCGAAGGTAAGAGTATAATAATAAGAGTGACGTACCTTTTATGAAGTTATAGATATTATTTGTACCACATTTGTAATCACTTTGTTATTTACAGTCGTTCCCGTTCTCATCATCGTTCTAATTCTCGTTCACGTAGTTCGCGTAGTCGGTCATCACGTTCACGCACCGGTTCGAAGTCACGTTCGCCGACACCAAAGAAAGAAGGCGAAGGTTCGAAATCACGTAGCCGCTCTGGAAGTGCTCGTTCTCGTTCTCATTCACCGGAGAGAAATGGATCACAGGGTGGCGCAGTTACTGAGAATGGTGGTGGTGGTGAAAGTAGTGGCACTGTTCCTGAAACCAATGATGAGCCTATGAAAGATGCAAGTCCACCGCCCAATAGTAGTGATTATAACTGAACATTTTCCTGCATTTTTATTTTCTTTTTAAATTAATATTGAACCATTGTTTTAACTCCACCAAATTCCTCTTATTTCTGTTCCTGAGCATGCTGTCACACTGAGAAACCCTAATGAAATCGCTTACGTGGATTTAGATCAGATAAATTTTGCTGTAAATTCTCTGACAATACATTCAGTGCAGTTTTTGAACGCCCTACAATTACATCCTAGAAATCTTGGCACGAGGCTTTCAGGATTTGGAACATTGAGTACCTTTGCTGCAGGATTTTGAACTGCGATCTCGTTTCCTAATAAAAATGACTGACATTGCTGTAACCTACTGCAGCGGTTGATGTTCGAAATCTATGATATTTGGGCCTGCAATGAAGTATATATTTCCCATGTATAACTCATTCGAGTATGGTAGTCTTGCTTCCAGTAATAAATATAGTGGTAGGGCTATTTACGTGACGGCGCCACGGTAGCAGCAATTACACACTGTCATCTTTACGTGTTCGAGATTTTTACACACTGTCATTTTCGCACATTCAACATGTTAACTTTGCATTTGTGAGTGTTTGTCATCAAAGTTTTGGGTAAGACTTTCCAACAATCGAATTTACTGCATTATAAAGAATATTTTGTGTTGTTGAGTTGTCGCCTTGTTGACTTTTATTAAATTTAGAGATATGAAACTGATGCATGTTTTGCTACCTTCATTTTCCTTACAAATTATATTTTTACGTTTTTAAAAATAAACTTTTTATTTCAAAGAGTCCGTCACATCATAGCGAATATCAAATGTAGTGGAGTGGTGAGGTCTTACACCGCGCGTTCCCCGATTGAAAATCTCATGATAATTTTAAAATATATGCAAATTTCGCTTCGATATATAAATGGTATAGGTACGGAGGATTTCATTGCTATTTGTTTAGTCGGACTGGGGTGAATTGTCTTTGTAGGTGTGTTGAAGTTGAGGTCGTATTTTAGCCGATTTAATGGGTGATGAGGATGAAATACCTGATCTTAAGCCAGGCAAGGTTCGTCAGGGTTTTGGCAATTTTGGCTACGAACCGCAGGTTTTAGAAGACAGATTTGGATTTTTTGCCCTTTAATTTTAGTAATTTTTTGGGATAAAATTTCTCGGGGACATCTCACTGCGCACAGTTGTACGCTTAATTGGCATCATCAGTTTTTTTGCAGTAGTTGTCGTTGTTGGTAGCATTAATGAATATGTATTTGAGATATTTAATCCAACTTCACATTTTCATACTAATAGAATATGTCCAACTATAGAGAATTCTGCGCAGGATCCATGTCTGAAAGAAGTGAGAATGAAATAAATTGCTGGACTGAATGTTAGGATCAAATGATACTATATAATGAGGAAAATCGGTATAAATGATGTAATTGTGATAGGAGAAGCTAATCTATGCTTTATATAAATTTTATTCAAAATGACTGATATATTTTGATTTTCTCGTGTATATATTTTAATACCGTATAAATTAGGTTATCCAAGGGCAGTGGAAGATAATAGAGAAAATTGGAGCAGGTGGTTGTGGAGCAGTTTATGAAGTTGCTCATGTTAAACGCAAAAATTTTACAGCAGCTCTTAAAGTAATTTATTTTTCCTAGCAAAATTCAGCATTTTAGAGAAAGCGAAGGGTTTTGGGGAATAAAACGGTTTGGCAGAAGTTTTCGAAATGAAATTCTGAACCATTATTGCTGGAGATGATATAACGCATTATTTTATTTAATAGACCTGGAACATTAAGGTTGAATCAACATCCTTATCAGATGGAGGTGTATTGAAATTGGAAGCTTATGTTCTAGGGAAATTGAGTAGAGCCTCAAAAAATACCATCCGTTTGCTACATTCTGGAAAGAGACTTAAATACAGGTTATTTTCAGTTTAAAAAAAGATAAAGAATTATCATAATGTTGAAGAAGATCAAGGCTTTAGTCTGCTATAAGTTTGTATTTAAATGATCTCCAGAAAAAATTGTGAATTGTTGAGATGTATGGAAGCAAACAAACAAATGATATATAATTTATTTCAAGAAGGATATTTATCTTTTGACCAGCTCCGCCTCAATGGTTTATGGATATATGGTTCACCTAAATCCTTGATCTTCAAATTTTGGGATGATGTATAATTAATTGCCAGTGGAAAAATAGCAAAACAGCAACAACAAAATAGCCATTTCTTTGAACTGAAGTTTTAGCAGACATAGCAGCAGCCTTTTGCGCTACGTGCTTTTGTTACGGCATATTGTACTGCTATAATTGCTCCATGTCATGTAGCTTTCTTTGGAAAACTATTATTAGTTTAATTCTACCTGCGAGAATTTGAGAGGATGTTAAATTTAACAAATCACATAATATGATTTTTTTTGGATTCATCATATTATGTCGTTCTAGAATAAAACTTATTTCAAAATTTGCGCTGCAACATTTAACAAATGCGCTAATGTGAAAATACAATTGAAATAAAAGAATCCCTCAATGTATCTCAGGCAAATTAAATGCATTAGTGGTATTTGAAAGTTACTATTAAGAAATAGCATATCTTCATTCTTGAAGAATTGAGCTCTTGCACTGTGTGCAATCTTTCTACAACAGCGGGCGGAAAATGGATTACGGTATGAAAATCTTTCGATCTATTTGTTCTGAGAATTTGCAGTTTTATTGTAATGACATTATGCGGTCCAGATTTGATGTTTCTAAGAAGGATGAAAGGTATCAATAAGATAAAACGAGATGACGATCATTTCTCATTTGAAACAACTTTGCGCATCGCAGTACAGTGCTTATTTGCTATTAAAATGGTAAATAATTTCCTTTTGTTCCTGTAAAAGATTTCCACAATGCATTAGTTAAACTAAATGGATAAGTAATTATTACATTACTTTTGAAACATATAAGTTTATCTGACCATCCTAGCATTATGTTTTCTATTTTTAGCTTCATGAAATTGGTTTTGTACATCGGGATGTCAAACCGGGTAATATGGTAATTGGTATAAATGGACGGGATTGCAGGACAATTTTTATGATTGATTATGGTAATGGTAAAATTTATTTCACTTATTCAAATAGAACGGTTTCTAACTTCAAATTTATAGAATATCAGATTGAAATTAAGATATCGTTCAATCAGTAGGTATGGTAAGGTCATTTGTCCTGGAGGATTCTAGTACACGAAAAATTGCACTACGAAAACCTAGGAAACGTGTATTGCTACGGGGAACATTACGTTACTGCTCGCCAAATGTTCATCGACGTATGGAACAGGTTAGATATATAATATTTATGCTTTCTCCAACTTCTCATATCATCTCTTGTCATGTTACAGTAAGCTAGCTTTGTTTAATATTAGATTTACATTCATGAATTGAGAGTCAATTGATGACTTCGCCATTTTGTCTTCATCGTCTTGATCAATATTATCAGGGAAGAAATGATGATCTGTTATCTTTGCTTTACATGCTCATCGAGTTATGTTCTGGTTTGCCGTGGAATACGATTAAGGACGAGAGGGTATTACTACAAATGAAGGAAAGAATTGCAACAGATAAACTTTTTAAAGTAATTATTAAGTGATCAATGTTTTCTACTTTGCTCCACTATTGTTAACACTTTTTGTACTTACATTAAAAATTCCACAAATCTCTAATTTTCTGAAGAAGATAATAAAACCGACAGAAGAAGAGATTTAATTCGAAGACGAAAACATTGAAGTTGACATTTCTGAATTGATCGAGTAATATTCGATACGACAGTACTTTCAGCCTAATTTTACTTGCAGAAAACTCCGATTGAATTCACACCAATTTATGATCACTTGATAAAACTACAGTATAAGGATCGACCAGACTACAAATTTATATATGATCAGGTTAATCAATTACCATTTTTCGATTCTTATCGTATCAGTTCAACCAGAAATGAGAGAAGAAAGAATTGCAACTTGTAGGGATTGTTGCAAGGAAAGCCCCAAAACGATGTAGAATTTGATAAAATATAATATTTTAGGGGTTTTGAATTCTTGAAACTTTCTAATTTAAAATACTTTAGTGAAAATGTTTGTTGCTTGAAAACAAGATGCAATGCACTGAGTAAAACATGTATGGTTTTTGAAATGGCCAATTATAGTTTATGAGAGGTATTCGACGATTGGGGACACATTTTGTGGATGCATATGACTGGGAGGATGATAAAGACATTCAAGAATCGATGCAGTTGCAGACGGCTTTATCGTATCATGAAGAAGATAGGAGAAGAAAAGGGAATAAAACAAATAAAACGGAGAAAAAAAAGGGTTTCGATGGTAATTGTTGAATGGAGTGAATAGGCATTAAATTATGACTGTAAGGAGTAGGCTAAACAAATTTTCATATTCTCGAGGTAGTTGGTCAGTTTTAGATGGTCAGCGTTTTCATACCAAATAAATAATTCAACGAGGAAATAAAAAGAAAGAAGAGTGGTAAATTTCAAGGAAATCATCTTCATTTTAAATTAATAATTTCTGAAAGAATATTTCAGTTCGAATGAATATCTTTTTTTCTGCAGATCCATACTATCTCGATTTCCGATATTATCCAACAACCGATCCTAAAAATTTCGAAGAAAAATTAATACCAATATGAATTTGAATAATGAATAAAGCGTCACATATATATATATCTATATCTATACATACATGGAGCAAAAGACAATCACAGAACGTTCTCCACAAGAAATAAAGAATACATGATACGAGTATTCACCCAAAAAGATTTTATTGGTTGCTTCAAGAGTTACTTTTTAAATGATTTCTAAAGAAGGATAAATTGTAAAAGTTCAGTTACATAGAAGCTTTTGGAATATTTTCAGAATAAAAAAATCTTACAACAGACAACTTACTAATATTGAAAGCACGTAATTTGATGCAGGTTAAAACACTAAATTCTAAATCAATGAATGAAAAGTAATAAAGGGCGCTTTGGCATATAAGCTGCCCAAATTTAATAATTGTTATTTATCAAAAATCTTGCGTACTGTAACATAAGCAGTTAGTGGCACATTTGCCAGCGACTTGATTTCACTTCATATTCACAATGGCTTATTGGATGTTTAAAAGTCCGCAATGTCAAAATTAGCTATTTTCATTTATCATATTAAAACGCTCTAAGTGCTCCAAAGATGAAGTATGTGTGTGTTTGTGTGCGTTTGTAAAATCGTAGCATTTTGAAAATTCCATAGAAATGTAAGAGAGATGGAACAATTGAGCCTAGTCAGAAATAGAAGCGAAATTGTTTAGGAAATAAGACATTGGAACAATACAATGTAATCTATATTATTATTATTGTTGTTATTAATATTATTTGTTGTTATTATTATTAATTAATAATAATTATTACTACTATCGAAATGAATCTCATTGTTGGCGTTTGCTTTATAGTACTTGAATTTTTCCATTTCAAATATTACATTCAAAATTTGAAGTGAGTTTGAGCAAAGAACTAGTTTACTTAATGTCGACCATTGATAATTAATGGATCATGTGAATATTTCCTCAAGTTAATTTGTATAAAAATGAGGCAGGGGAATGGTTAGAAATAATAATAAAGAAATAAAACTATCTTTCGAATGATGGAAGAGTTATTTCATCTTCAACATTCTAAAATTAATCTACCACTTATTTCCAAATACTCATCACAGATTAGAAAGTCACATTCCAACAGCCAATTCATTTAATGTCAGCCATTGATCAAATCAACAGTTCAAAATCACACAGAAAAATTTTCTGCATTTCAAAAAGTCTTTTTTGATTGAATGGAATGGTTCAAACAGTGTTAAACTTGAGTTTCTAATGACTATTTAACTTCCAAATTTTATGATTACTTTCAGATAAAATGAAGAAGCTTAGCAGCTTGAAAGTTTTATATAATTTTAATAAAAAATTATTCGAAGAAATACTTCACATCATTTCAATCCTGATTTTATTAATAATAAAAAAGTTATTGAAATATCATAATTGCATCCATTCTTCGTTATAATGATTGTTGTTTTCAGTTCATTTGTCCGATTCTGTTCATTTTACTATTTCCAAACAGGGCAGTTTATTTAACCTGAAAATTTCGTCAATTTTTTACTTAATAGCAATCAATTACATTCTATGTTCAAAATTCTTAGGATTTTGATCAAGTTGAACAATAACGAATCGCTAGCTTCTTCCTTGCCTCATTTCATTTGTCATTCTTCGAGAATTGATGGTTTCAAAAATTTTAGTTTCTAAATATTTCAAACATGAGGACTGATAATATGCCAACAGTTTGTGAAGCAGCGCGAGTGATGAATATATCTTTTTCAGTTATTTACATTCGCAATAATCAAATTACCATTTATATGATTACATGATTACTTAAATTTATTGATCAATTATTGCGCCAAGTGGAATAGATAAAAGTCTGTTTTTAAAAATTATTTGTTCAAAAAATTGTTATCATTTTTCTCATTATCTTTTATTTAGTAACTGCATGTTGTCACAAAAACAAACAAAATTTAAATAAATAATGTAATAGATTTAAACTGAACCAGAATGAGTGCTGTTGTCAATAACTGGCATAATTTTGAATAAAACATTCCCATTATCACTTCCGGTACATGCGTACGTCTGCAAATAGAATTCTTCAAATAATGAAATGAAGCGACCTTGTACCACAAATCATGATTAGGAACGGTGAAAATTTTCTGCCTGGAGCTGAAATCGTTCATTACTACTTTTTTTTGCTTTTTACTGATTTCCAAATTTTTATCGCCTATTACAGGATTAAATGCTTCCATCATTGATCAGAAAAAATAGTTATCTCAGAAATGAGAAATCATTTCAATAGAAATTAGCGTAATGGATAGAATTTGATTCTAAAAACAGTTATGTTAACTGATATTAAAATTCCAGCTAAGCAATTCTTAAGCTTTAGACGAAGAATATCATGTATTATTTACCAAGAAGTGGAATTTTTCGAAGGTTGTGATATATGAATATTAATTTATGTCTTTCTTTTTCTTGTCACTTATCAGATGAAGTAATTTTACAACGATTTTGCAGAAAAATTTTTTTAAAACATCTATACTACTTAAAATAATTTTAAAAAAGAATATGTAAAAATACATTTTAACACTTACAGATCTCAGTATTTTATTTCAGACCGGTTTATTTTTAAGAAATTTATTTGTTTGAAAGATAGAGTAATTAAAAGCGGCAAATGGAAGCAAACTGGTAAAACGAAGGTGAACGGAAAGATTGAAAATGTGTAAGAAACCGGTGATTGATATATGTGTCAGAGAAAGCGTACTCCAAAGAACTCACCTTACCATTACGCGTAAGTTTCGAATTGAGATCGATAATGAAACCATCGGCGATACAAGCTTTAACAATAGTTACAGCTCGCTCATTACATTTTTTAATAAAATTCGTATCTTCAATCCATCTTGAAATGATTCATTCAAGATAAAATTTAGCATACATCCAATAGTAATGACAAAAGATTTTAAAAAAATCGACCTATCATAAAACTTTAACAGAATCATTCATTGCTACTAAAAATTTCGAAACTTTCGAAACTCAAAAAAAAATTCTAAGAGAAAAAAAAACGAACGTTTCATTGATTTTCTTTTGTACATCGTTGACAGTGCAATAAATTTGTTCTATCTTCGATGTGATATGAAAATTTCTCGGGAAGTCACGTGTAAAAGTTACTAAACCATTGCTATGACCTGTACAACTGAAAAATAATACTGAAATGATTGTATTTTAATTTTCTTTTAAAAGATAGTATAATAAGTCTTACCTCTTATTATTCATTTTTTCAACTAATTACCAATTTAGATTAAATTATAAGATTTTCATCGATTATTATTTCTTTCTTTTATTGATTGCTTTAGAGATATTATTTTAAAACAATAATTTTTTCACAATACATTAATATTCATCATTGTAATTCATTCGCCAAATTAGTCGGACATAGTCAGAAGGACTAATCAAAAATATATGATAAATGAATTTATAATAAATAAAATTTGAAATAGATCAATTGGTTAACCATAAAATGCACTTTAAACTATAAAAAAGTTAACAGTTGATGGGGGTTCGGAATGCACAAAGAAGTGAATGATGAACAATTCATAGTCCTTCAATGAGTCCTTCATCCAAAACAGTTCACTGTACAGCCAATTTTATTGATGCCAGTAAATTTGAAGTAGAAAAACTGTAATTTTCTGTCATGAAAATGGTACAGAATTGGAACAGTTGTGAATTTTGATTGGAATAGAAACAAACTTATATCGAGTTCCACTCAATATAACGGATCGATTTAGTTCAATCGGAATACCGGTATCTGTTAAACAGTTCATAATATATGTTCCCGTTGGTGAACAAGTTTTATTGAAATTTCTTTTACTGATCCACCATTCTCCTGTATATATGTTCGATAAAGCAATTATGAATAGATGGAAAAACGCTTTAAATACTTGTATTCATAAAAATATGAAATTTAACCAAAATGCTTACCAAATTTATGCCCTTCACAAGTAATATTTTGATTAAAATAAAATTTTTGCATTCGATATCCACCCGATGGTAATTTTTCACATTGTAATTTCTGAAGAATTAACTTTGAACAAAGAATAATTTTACATTCAAAAATTGAGAAGCAAAGCAATTTTAAAATAACACATATCATAGAAAATTTATTCTATAAAAAGAAAGAGAGTTGAAATCTGAAAATTAATTCAGAAATAAGAAAGTATGAAAACTGGAAATTATGATCTCTTTTTTTATCAAATTTTATTCAAAAACGAATCATATCTTAATGTTCTGAATTCTTTTATTTTTATTTTATTTATCACCTTTACATTAACCTTCTTAATTCTATTCAATCCTTTCTTAATTTGTTTAATTAGTATCTAAATCTTTTTTAATACATTGTAATAAATTTTAAAACGATATCAGTATGGTAGATTGTAATTGTTTATATATACATGAGGTGTTTCAAATTTTGAAACATTTCTAAAATTTGTATTCACAAGAAGATAAAAACGAACCACATCATCTTCCATAATCTCATCACCATCATGCATTTCGATACCTTTCGGTGTTTGGCATGCAACAACATCAGCTCGCCATGATCCGTCCGGATAAACGTGACATTCGATAATGAATGCCGATCGAACTACCTGAAATTTAACATTCATTTATTCATCGTCGAAATTTTGCGTTTTTTCATGCTTTGTGATTGTAATTCAAATTTGACTACAGCTTTCTGAAATGGTTGGTTTTTATATATTTATTTTGTTATTTTCAGGTTTTATGAATTCTCCAAAATATTCGGAGTAATGCTACAACTAAAAATATCTCTAAATCAAAAGACATATTGTTATCATTTACAGGGAAACTGTCAGGTTTTATTACTCTTCTTCTATTTGAAATTTAAAATTTAAATATCACTTACCCATCGATCACCATCATTATGCCGCTCACCCATATAAGTGCAAACAATTGCATAGGTATCACTTCCAAAACTTGACAGTAATATTAACAGCAGTAATGATGCTGTGCTAAGAGCGATTGTATTACACATAAAAATTTAATTTTAGCGTTAAATTTTTTTAGGGGACGTTATAGGAAGCTTGCCACCTACCTATACCCGACAGTAAATCTATGACGTAGCTTTTCGCCGTCTATGCGTCTTTATTTGATAACGATCATCATTACCATCGGCAGAGAGAAAAAAAGAAACGAAGGCGTGGTTCTAATCAAGTGAGGATTTATTTTTGATTATGTCGTCAGTCCTGATATGATGTGATATGATATAAGCGAAATTTGTCCCTTCATCCGAAATTTCATGGAATTTAAATTTAATTTCTTCTATTGCTTCCTGAAGAATTTCATAGTTTACTGTAATTAGGAAATCAGTCTCCCAAACAAGTCAAGGAATCAAGAAAGTTGATTTCGTTGGTTTTTAAGTTGGTCCTATTGATGCATAAATTCCAGAATTTGGTGGATTCCCAGAACTGTCAAACTAAATTAAAATACTGCTGAGATTCATATTCAGATAGTTCCGATGTCGTGAAATAGGGATTTGATTTGATTGATTTGGAGAGTTGAATAGCGAGTAATTTGGAGAGATGAAGATCAACATTTATTGAGAGAACGGTTATAGTTCATCAACGTTATTCGATAATATCAGAAATATTGAGGTAGTTGTGCAGAGATGATGAATGCGAGCTAATTCAAAACCTCCAGATCATGAAACTGATCAGATGTATATATGGATGCGAGTGGGAGTGGTTTAATTGTCTAGACTACTTTAGTAATATAAGTAAAGAATAAATATCATAGTTTATATTTACGAGTGAAACAAAGCATCGGATAGATCAAGGGTTTGGGGTCGCTGAGTTAATAAATATAGCGGCTAATGAAAAAAGACTAAGTAAAATGATTATATCTGAGAATGAAAGAATAGATGACAGAGCAAAGATCGTATGCTTATAACCAAATTTGTTTGTTACATGATTTGTGCCAAATCTATTTTGGTTTTTCCGACATCGAATGAATCCCAACGTAATTCTGAAAATTGCAACTTTTATGCTCGTCAGTGGTTGTTATTTCTTGTTCAAATCACTAACAACAGATTCATAATTCAAAATGCAATTCCGAAGTATTTAAGCAACCGTATCCTAGATTTTGAAACACAAACTTCCGAATACTGATAGTGACTCATGTCCGTTTTGCATTTATAGAACAAAAAACGCACTAGACTAAAGTTCCGACAGTTTCGACAAGAAAATTTTCCTTGAAATTATTAAATGTAACTTCACCATGAATCAGTGTTTCAAAATGAGAGCGCAGAGCTTCATTCGTTTTTAATAACTTCACACTATCATAAAACTAATCATTTCAAGTAAAAAATGAAACTGAACGAAAAATTGATTAGGGTTCTTTCGATTGTGCAAGCTCCAAGAATTAAATTGTATTCCGCAAGCGACTTTGATTGATGTACTGAAATTCAGGTTCAGAATGACGAATAAAATAACAGAACCATGCTACCGCGCGCATGGATAGGACACTCGGATAAATCGTAATCTCGTCGTAAGTCGTAATCTAAGATCCTTATGAAGACTCGAGTTTTTTCTTTTATAGGTTGATAAGAAAGGATATCCACAGTTGCATATCCAAGATTTGTTTCGAAAAAGCCAAACAACTGCTCAAACATCTTACCATAATGCAGTGATGCGAAAATGATATTATATACATATATATATATAGGAATAAATTTTGAATCCATATGATATGTTGAATATCTTTAAAATTTAAAAACAAGGCAATTAAAACGATACTACTGACTATCAAAGAATAATATCACAATATCATAAAACAGAAAAACAACTATTTTAATATCACAACATATGCTAACTAAATAGAGTGAACAATATAAAGATTTGTTCGCAAAAAGCTTAACAAAAAACAGTTCACCAACTGTAAATTTTTTGAAAGGCACAAATAAGTAGAAATTTGAATGTTCAAAATCAAGAAAAATTAATTCTAAAAAAAAAAATCCGCCGAATTACTAAATACAAATATTTTTTGATCATATTTCAGTCGATCAAATCATGTATTTGTAGACCAACTTTTTAAAAAAAATTAAAGAATCTCGAAAAATCTTGTAAAATAATAAATTCCAATAATGCCCGAAACTATGCACAGCAATGATCCGTCAACAAATAAATACTATTAAATATTTTGTTCTAACTACTGACGATTGTAGGCAAGAAAAAAAGCTAACATATATATCGCTATGCTACACGATAGAAAATATTGTCGTTTAGAAAAAAGCACCGTCCAATCGTTTTCAGTAAGATATAAAAATGCGAAAATTCGAGATTACCGGTGCACAATTTCTTCATGACATGCATTACAAACACGAACCGGATTTCTTGACGACGCAATTTTAGCTGTAAATGACGAACACGAGGCACAAAATATCTGTCCGCATTGTCTACAATGATGTTTGCGATTTGTAAGAGTAAATGGTTTGTCACATGCATGACAATTTATAGCCTCCGAATCTTCTAACCATTTACGTGATATCTGCTTCGCGAAATCCATCTAAAAAATTAATAAACTTTAACAATCCAGAATATCAAAATGTTCTCAGTTGTCCGCAAAGTAAGAAAAGTAACGAAAGTAAAAAATATTTCATAATTAGTTATTTAATTCAAAACTTCATAATAGAGAAACTAACAAGAAAAGAGTATGTTAAAAACTGCTGCGAACATCAGAATTAAAAGACAGTTTTTACTTCTAAATTCTTTATTTATAAAAAAAATTCAAAATGCAATGATTCATGAAGGAACAAAATAAAAGGAAATAAAATGGCAGAACTTCAAAAGCTTAACCTGCAAATTCTGGTTCACTCGTCCAAGTTCTCGGATAGCAGTCTGAACATCATCAAAATTTCTCTTGTTTACAATAGCTCGTTCGCGTTCAAATTCAAGATCACTTTCTGCCGTTAAACACCTGAAAATTGAGTAAATACACAGCATATTCTTTTTCAATCAAAAGTTTTTTTTTGAGTTTTATTGAATACAATACAGACTGATATCATACATACCAACCTTTCTTGCAATGCTCGTTTTTCTTGCAACCATTCTATTTTCTTTTTCTCCAATTCTGCAGGTAAATAATAATATAGAAGCAGATCAATTTCAGAGCAAAGACGGTATTTTATGTGTATTTTAAAGGATATTTTTCATTTTCCATAATGAAATAGTAACACTAAGAAATCCAGTGAGCTATACCAGAGAATAGAAAAGCCTACCACTTTGAACAATCCTTAATTCATTTAAACTTTCTTTGGCATTTTCTAAGTCATTTCTCATTTGCTTCAAATTTTCATCCTTTTCCTCATTATCTTTTGAAGCTTCCTTTAATCTACTTTTTTCTGTTTCCAATTGCATATGAAGTTTCGACAAACTTTCTTCCTTATCCTTTTTGCATTTTTCCTGCAAACAAATTTTGTAGAAAAACAAAACTTGAAAAGAAAAAGAGAATATGCAGTAGAGTTAAATTTAGAATTTCAAAATGCAAACCAAACTACTCCTCAGCAAATCAGTCTCTTTTTCGAAATCGTTTCTGAGTTGTAACATGCACTTTTCAAGGTCATCCATTTCTTCCCGTAACTAAAATATAACGAAAAAGTTCGAGAATTTTCAGAATATATCGAAATGAAAGCTTTCATTCCAAATACCTCTGAGTTCTGCTTGTTCAATTTTAATGCTTCATTTTCCAGAGCACACCTTCCTTCTTCCTTTAAGCGCAAATCATTATGTACCTTTTCCTGCAAATGAACTATTTTTATCTAATATGCCAATCTTGATTTTGCAGGAACCATTGCTGGCATCTGATTCAATAACATAAATTTGTTACAGTGAATAACATCCTATTGTAAGCTGTTGTGCACTACTGTAACTGAAATACGATGCGTGAAACATATTGTCACATTTTGAAACACAAAGATGTTCAACAATATTCACACTAACGATTTTAGTGACAAAACCATGCCATAAAATAACGATCAAAAACAATTTTACCATTTCCTGCATTACATCAGATAACTGATTTTCTTTCGTACGAAGTTTCTCACTTAATTCAGAAATCGTTGCCAACTGGGTCACCACCTGCTGGAACGAAATTTATATTAGCATATGTCCTAGAAGTATATTCACCGCGGATACCAACTTATACCATTTTCTTAATTTTGAATTTCAAAAATCTCTTTACAGCTTTCAATAATTTGAAATCTCTCTTTTGTTTTCAAGCAAGTCTTTATTAGAATATTGATGTACCTTTTACTATCTTCTCTAGTTCCATTTTACAATATTCTTTACCTGTATCTCATATCCTTAAAGACAGCAACTTAACTATTATTAAACTTTCCTTAGCAATGAGACTCAAGAAATTTCCCATCATCTCATGAAATTTCGCAACTTCACGAAATTTCACAACCTTTTTAACAATCTCATGAAATTTCACAACCCCATAAAAAACAAAAATTTAGCTCTTTCTTTCGCATTCAACACCGCTGTGTTCTCCTGCTGCGTATGATTCAATTTACATTGTAATTCTCTTATGGAATCATCATAACTATGTTTTTCCGATTCCAACTTCGCCAATAAACTGTTGATCTTTTCTTCTAATTCCTGTAATACTCGAACTTGACTTCGTAATTAGGAGTTGCAAAGAAAAATATATCTTTTTGAAATCAATCCGTTCTTAGATTAAATTAAAAACTTGCTTTTTACACTGAATTTTGCAGCTTCTACAATTTATGTTGAAGAGGAAACAAAAATTCGATTTAAGCAATCTGTGCTTCTAAAGAGGAGTTCTTTTTCTATATAAAAAGTATATCTGCAGTCGATATCTTCACCTTTATTAACAATTCCTTTTGGCTCATGCTTGCCAGTAATTCAACTTCGTTATCCTTACATCTCGAACATTCTTCAACCTGCAAAATACTGCGAATCTGGAACATCAGAAAAAGGGAATTTTGAAATATCAGAAAAGATAAAGTATGATGAAAACGAGAATAACCAATAGTAGTATTTATGAAAATTGGCCGGGAATCATTCATATTAATCCAATAGAAAAAATTGTAACTGTTCTAACATCAAGTGAAAACATAATATACCGAGACAGAAAATTGCTGCATGACACTCTCAAGTTGTTTTTTTAGCGCACTTTTTTCTTGTTCACATGTGGAAAGTGCCTCCTGTAACTGGCAAACACTCTTCTTCGAACTTTCCTCCTTTTCCGCTAAGTTCCATTCTAACTGAAACGACATAGAAAACAGCTAATTTTCCTTCACTAATTACAATCTTTTCGTTACTATCAGCAAAAAGGTTATGAATGAGGAGCTTTTCACAACCGAATCAATTTGCTTACAGTACTACATAACTGCTTCTAGTTCTGACTGAAAATAGACAATAAGCATAATTTCAGACTCTATCCCATAGATGATTTTTCCCCTTTTTTCCAAAAACTTGTAAAAAATGTTATTCCAGAAAAATGGAAATTTTGCACCAAATATCACCCAGAGTTGGTTTCACACAAAGAACAAGAGTGGCCGTGTTTCAAAACTTGTGCAAAAAGCCTAAAAGTGGCTTCGAAATGTGGAAAAAAAAAATGAAATATCCAAAAGTGAACCTCTTTTTTCGCTGTTTTTATTTCTTTTAGTTCTGATTGTACATTCCTCATCGTTTCTTCTAATTTCATATATTCTTCATTATGTTTGATGGCTACAGTTTCTTTTTCATGCAATTCATCATCCTATGAACAAGCTGAACTCAAGTAATTGGGAAACTTCAACAATTCACATAAAGAAAATGTGACATGTAATGAATTTGCATAAGATCAAATATTTTTCGAAAGTAAAGTCTGGAAGAAGAGTATTGTTTCAGCTTATATTCAACAATTCTTTAATTACTACTAACGCATAATTTTTCCGTCAACTTAAAACCTGCTGTTGATTATGGTAAAGAAGAGAACTATAACGCATAGCAATTAATGCTACAATGAGTCTCCACATGCTGTTGGAAACACGTAAATTAAATAAAAATAACGAACCAACTGCCTCGCTTTTTCCTCCATTAGCGTGTGCTTTTCGATAGCTGACCTTAATTTAACACTTTCTGTTTCGATTATTTTATTCTTTTCTTCAATTGTCGCTTCTCTTTCTTCTAGCATTGCCGATAACTAAAAAATTCGCTTTACACAAGATGACAATTACAGATGTAGAAATATTTGCAGATGCATCACTGAATTAGATGGACAAATTTTGGCTTGAGCATACCAGCGTCGTGCACCTGAACTGACACTTCTTTATGGTATTGTCTCATTTCAATTTCATGACGTAGTTTAGACTAAAACTAAAATAGAAAATATAAACAGTATTATCGAAATGACAGCAACATCATTAATGAAAATCAGTGATAACGTAGAACATCCTTCGATGGAAAATGATACTTTTTTGGAATGCTAAGCAAAGGTGTCTGTTTGAAAGAATAGTTTTTTTTTGAATCCAAAGCAAAAGCTGGGAGAATATCAAAGATGAACAAGAATTAAAGCAAAAAGTAAGTACTACAGTAAGTATTACAAACTTTTTTATTCTCTTCCCCAGCAGAAATGGAATTACACTGCAGTTCTTTCAGTTTACTTTCCAGCTTTTTCATTTTCTCCTTTTCAACCTCTATCTTGTCTTTCCAACTTTCTTCACGCTGAGATATTGCATATTCATGTGAGATATTTAAAGATTTTAGAGCTTCATTTAATCCAATGACTGTTTCTTCAAGTGTCATTTTCTCCTTATGCATCTGTTCCATCGCTAATTTATCGGCTCCCTCGCCCTCAGAAATCTGCAGAAAAATCTTTTATGGCAGCTTGGAACCACTGGAACCACGAAAAAAGCCCAATTATGACAACATTTGAAACTTGCCTAACTTCAAAATAATCGAGACAAATCAGAAAAATCTGCCTAAGAGATAATTACTGAAAACAACCACAAGTTACATAACAGAAACAAACTTTTTGCAACAAAAGTGATTCCTTTGTCTTTGCTTCTTTTAAATTCTGCTTCAAAATACCTTCGGTCGTTGATGCCTCAGTCAAGGAAGCTTCCAATTTGAAAACGTTTTTCTTCAACTGTTCAATTTCCTCTCGATATTCAGCTATCGTTTCTTCTTCCTTAATCGCTTGCATTTCCTGAAGACTTACTACGATCATTCACTAAACAAAACTATTTTAGAAACTTCACAAAAATTATTTATCTGGTTATCTCGCACTTTTTTTGCGTAATTTTGTTTTTGTTCATCGAGCAAAGCCGTTAATGACGCGATTTCATGTTGCAAATTAATGCATCGTTTCTCCACCTAAAAGTATGAATCAAGACAAATATGATTTTACCAGAATAATGAACAAATAGATTTGAAAATAAATTTAAACGAACTTTTTCAGCCTTCAAAATAGCCATTTCTAACGCATGTTTATTTTGGCGGAGCTCTTCCCTGTACTTCTCATTTTCTTGTGAAATCTAAATTAAAAAAAATTAATTTAAAGCTAAAAGAAGTGATATCATTTTCTACTTTAAATAGTTTTTATTAATTACACAACAAATTTTCAATACAATTTCAATTTCAATAAAATATTCCTTAAAACTATTATCGCGATATTACCTCTAATAATTTATTCTTTTCAACTCCATTATCTATTCGGTATCCATTTACAATAATTTCTAAATCATCGATTTTCTTACAAGCATCAAAGATTCTTTTAGCTGCATTTGCGGCTTTCTCCTGCAATTGAAACTTTAAACTACAGCTTTGAAATGCATAGAAAATAGATGAGTAACATACTTCCCAAGCTTTTTTGAAAGTGTCGATTTCTTCAATAAGTTTCTTAGATCCATCATCAAATCTGAAATAATTCTTTATTTACTTATGAAGCCAAAGGCTAGAAAATTCACCACATAATCAGCAAAATGAAGATAAACTTATTAACCCACTTGGAGATTGTATTCTTGAAGACTTCAATATTGTTTTTTAGGACCTCAATTTCACAAGTTAACCTGAAAAGATATTCTGGTGAATCTTTTCAACGAGAACCTTACTTTACGAAGACTTCGCCAAAATATTTTCCAAGCAACGACATAAATTTAGCATCTTAAACCAAAATAGCTTACTTCTCATGATTTTGCTCCATATCCCGTATTGTGCCCATATCCTTATTAATTTCTTCTTCTTTCTCTTGTGTTATTGTGTCCATCAACTGCTGTGCATGTACCAATTCTTTTCTGAGCACGCTGACATCATCTTCGGATGGTCTGAATTGAGTTAAGTAAAATACGGATAAAGAGCAAATCTACTTTGCAGTTATATGAAAATCATAAAAGATTCCAAAGACCCATAAATTACCTTTGATCGAGTTTTTTTCGTAGGTCGTCGATTTCCATTTCCAAATTCTGTATCTCTTGCCGATAGCGCACTAGCTCATCACCCAAAAGAACCTTTTCTTTATTCTTCTCTTCGACTTCATCTGTTTTGCTGATAATATTCATCGAAAGTTCCCCAATTTTTTTGATTAATCTGCTTTTTTCCTGCTTCAGTTGTTCAACCTGTCGGTTCATCCCACTTGTTTCTTTTTCCATTTCAAGCATTCGTTCCATTGCTGGAAATAAAATCGTAATCTTTTTAAAAATGCAAGATAGTTCCTTTTAAAAAATTAAAAGAAATAACCTAATGCTTTTCCGGCTTCGAGCATCTGCACTTGTTGCGCAAGATAAGGCATTTCGTCCTAAAATTTCTATAGATTTTTTTTGATAAAAAACAATCAAATTTTGTCAAAAAAAAATATAAGCATCACATAAGAAAGGGAAACGGAAAAAATGCAATGAAAACATTTATAACTATCCTACTTTCCTTCGGATAAGAAATTATACATGCAATATTAGCGGCTATTTATATACCTCAGATATTTCTGTCTGGTTTGCAATGAGGCCATGCAACCTATCCAGCTCCTTTTTCAACTCCATTGAATAACGTTTCTCATCTTGCAATTGTGATCTAAGTTCTTTCATGTCCAATTCGAGATGAACTGCATCCGACTCATTAAAACCATTTCCTAAATATAACATTATTATTATATTATTAAAACGATAAAATTGAGCATTTATGGAAAAAAATGCCTATTTGTGAAAATATTCAAACGTTTTAAATAAAAAGAAATAAACGCACCAAGTGAACTGAATGAGGAGGAACCACTGACTTTTTGCTCCACGACCTGAAAAAAGTAATCCTAAAAAATGAATGAGCACCAAGACGTTTTCTTCTATTATAGTTGCTAAACCACACTACACCTGCGAAATGGAACACGCAGTATTTCAAATTGCGTTTTTTCATAAATTAATTATTGCAAGTAAACATAGCTGACATCATTAACCTGCTTGATAGGATGCACCTGAAAATGTATTTGCAATTCATCTGGAGAAGAAAATGAATGCATGCATATGGGGCAGAGAAATCCTTCTGAAGATGTGTCGCTTTCATTGAACAGTGGCTCGTGTTGAGGCTGTAAATTAGAAACGAGAACTTTGCCATACAATTTTTCATACAAGAAAGGAACATTCAGTGAATCATTTTTTGCTTTTTATAAAATAAAAGCAATAAATCGTTCACTGAATTTCTCTGATCGATGGCTCAACGACATTTCTATTCATTGGACTTTCTTTTCAGATGATGAAGGTTCATTAATTATTGCTTACGACTATTACCAACGTCTGAAAAACTGAAACCAATTTAACTGACTAAAAATCTATTCATGTAAAACAAGCTAATCTTAGGAAAAAAAGGAATATGACTTTACGCGACCCTTCATCCGCCTTAATCGCTTTGTAAGACACAGTGTATGTTTAGTTAATGAGAAATTTATTCCTTTTCATGATTTTTGTGGAGTGAGTAATGTCAACAAACAACAAGACGAGGAAGTACCTCGGAGGGAGTAACGCTGTTTACGGCTTGCGTCACCTGCTGTTTCAGTTTACGCAACATCCTGAAATCTACCGTCTTAAATGAATTTTTCCGATGGAAATCGAAAAGAATTTCGACAGAATTTTGATGAAATTTCCGAGAGAAAATGAAGAAGAATGTCAAAGAAAACTAATTTAAGTTGTTAGATACACCATTATTAAATTGTAATACATTTAGAATTTTCAGAGTGATTGCAGCATATCTTTAGAAGGATGGCTCATACATGTTGCGCATCCTCCGTCTTTACAGTGTTGATAACTGAAGAAGTTAAGAGTGTCTTTTCTTTTCACTCTAATCAATAAATAAAGGAATCTATTAATTAATTCTAATCGGGTCCTACTCATACCTATAAGACAGCGTAATCGTACAGTTCACTGATACTTTGTACAATATCTCAAGCTGCCTCCTATAATGCACCTATATCATTTACGAAATATTCATTATATAGATGTGGACATGTAATACAGGTAGAGGGAAAGCCGAGATACCACGAAATTGCATTCAGCAGTCGTTATGGTAATTAGTAGACGGATCGCGAATATTGAAAAGATGAAAGGACGAGGCGAGAAACAAAGGAGAAGAAAGAAGTGAGTGAAAAGAAAAAGTTTTGAGGCAAAACGAACTAACAAAGAATTTCCGCTTGTTATTCCACTTCATTTTTGACATTTTTTTGAAATATACAATTACGTTTTCATACAGAAAATTAACAATAACATTAAGGAGATTGACTCACATTTTAGCACCCCATATCAAGCCTAACCACATAATGCAATGCAAGCGCTCGTATTACTCTTGTTTATGCAATAAGTAAAAACATGCCTATCTACCTAGGCCAACCCTTACTTGACTGCATTGTTTTATGCCTTTTTATTTAGTCATATTACTGATAAATCTCTAATACTGTGGGACTACATTTTCATTCCGATCAGCACCGCATGGTCTCGATATAGCAACTTGCATAACGTGTTAGTATTAGATGTACTTGTGTACTGCTGTATTAGGCTTTCGCTAGTGGTTATTATGTGAGTTTGGTTTTGCGTGGTCTTTAACTTGCGATACGATTACTATTTCAATCACTATTCCAATCTTACTCAGTCTTAGGTACTCGTTATCCACTGAAAACAGAAACAGAAGCAAATACAATTTTACACCATACAGTACTTTAAAACTATTCATGAGTTCTTACTTAGTTCCCAAGTGTTTAATTTCGATTCCATGCTACTTTTTCTTGGTATCATTAACATTATTTCCAATATAAATGGCCTCATCTTGAATATATTTGCTAGTCATTAATGCATTAATGCAAAATGATGTCAGAACGGACTGCTAGCGATCCTTTATAAAACTTCGAGTCTTGATTGACCTCTCCTTCCAACCGAATAAACGCAGCAGCCTGCGCCTCGTTTCCATTTTTGAACTGCTGATTGTTGAGATCTCATAAATCCTTTCCTTTAACATTTTAATTTGTAAAGAAACGAGGAATTTCATGTACTTTTCATGTTTAATTACATTTAAAAGTGTCGAAATTACCGATGAAGAATAAAGGTGAAATGATTCAAGGGAATAATTTATGGTATACTTGTGTGTTGCTGAAAATAACTTGTCTATGGGTGAAAGTTTGTTAGAGCTATGAGGCACATAAGCTTGAAAATTCGAACAACTGTTGAGCGGAATGGAAATAAGATGATGGAGTTCATGTATAGAGCCTTTCTTATCTAAAATACTGTGTAGCAAGACAGGGCATTTAAATTACCAACAAGATCTGCTATTAATCATTAGATAAAATATGGCCAATATATCTCTTCAAACAGTATTTATGTTTACGCAACGATCTGCGATTATCGCGTTTTTTTCCTCTGTTAAATGGAAAGGTAAGATGAGGAAGAGCAGATCAAATTTGAAAGCATGGCGATATCTTAGTTTGATATATTTCTCGAATATAACAATTGCACAAGCAGTACGGCAAGCGTACAACGTGCATTATAGCATATGTTTACAGTTGAGTGAACGCACAAATAAAGGTCATTGACGCAACTAATCATTATTGAACATTCTGATAATATATCACCCAATTCATTAACTATTGCTTACGACTATTACCAACGTCTGAAAAACTGATCAGTTTGACTGACTAAAAATCGATTCATATAAATCAAGCTAATCTTAGGAAAGAAATGAATGTGAAATATATATGACAAAATGTAGGAAGAGGATAAGTTAAAATTTTCCACATTGAGTGCCTTAATCTTTCACATTTTCAAATTTTGAAATATTAGCAAGAACTTTAATGAAATCAAAATTAATTAAGATGGAACTAAGTTAGTTGTAAATTTCTCGTATTTTAGCAGATTCCATCCATTTCATTTTCTATATCAAACATTTCTGCATCGTCATCCATGATCAAAGGCTTTACGCGACCCTTCATCTGAATTGTGACACGACTCGTTTCTGATACCACCGTTTCATCAGTGTTGCAAAACAAGTGATCAGGTCCTTTCTCGTAGCTAAATGTTCGATATGCTAGGATATCTTGAGTGCATTCCACAAAACGCAGTTGGGCATATGATTCTATGTAGACTACATCGCCACGCCTCACTGTCAGAGATTTTTGTGTTTTCCGTTTTGCAGAATAACTTTCGATGATGCCTTCACCCTCCACCACCAACATGATACTACCGCATTCTAAGCTTGGAATGAATAATGATGACGCTTTTGTTGTTACTGATGATGATGATGGCGATGGCACCTAAAATACATGAAAAGGTTTACCATAATGTAATATAACAAAAGGGCTTTTAAATTGAGTATGGATTAATTTCATACACAAGTTAAAATAAATTGTAGACAAATCACATAAAATATGATATATGCATTAAAAGCTCTAGAGCATTTGGTTAAAGGGCGTTAAAAAGATCTTCATTTTATTCTAATTAAAATTAACTAACTCGTCCTTAATTTTAATCGCTCTTGACACTCTAATTTTTTATGATTTCTCCAATTACTTTAACGGATATTTAAAGGATGACAGTTTCTGCTCTTTTTCGTTTTTAAAAAATTTTCTCAAAAAAATCATCTTGTATTGTAAGGAAATTTTTCATCCACTATTTTAGAAATGAATTTTTTCCCCAAAATTATCGTGCACTTGAATAACAAACGGAAAGAAGGATCGAAATAACAAGGATGGTAAATTCACTTTAACTTCATGAAGTGTAAAATCCTCGCAGTCGGGATCATAAACACGGATATGTGGAAAATTTTTTAAAACAGCTGGAGATACAAAATAATACGATGGATCGGTCATCCGGTAGTTTAGGACTTCACATAAGGTATCGATATCGATAAATTTTGATGTGCATGCCGCTCGAATTGTGTTGTTTGAACAGCTAACACATTCTATACATTCTGAAGAATAAATAATCATATCCCAACCATCCATCCAGTCAATCAGTTCAGAAAAATCCATATGTAAACAATTTATCGAAAGACAAACGAACCTCCGGAAAGGTAAGCATGAAGTTCTTGAGCGCCATAATAGCAACATTCTCCAGGTGATAAAATAATATGATTCAGAAGTAACGGTATAAAACAACCAATATCACCCGGGAAATCTCGAGACATCTTCCGAATTACTGCTACCGTCTCTTCGCTAAGAGATCCACGTACTAAAGTTTTACATTTCAAATTTTCTCTGTTTATCGGAAATTGATATTTATTCCGAGTGTCACTTATGATTAGATAAGCTTTTTAAAAATGATTGAAATTTTTATCGCTTTTACGTTGTATTTGAAAATCTGAAAATCTTCTTATTACAGTCATCCGCAAACTATTAATAATGAATTTAAAAGGCCAGATTATTACTTTGAAATTCAGAAAGAACAAACTTCCACAAACAAGCTTCGTAAGGAGAGAGTCGAGTAACGTTTTCAGTTCATTGGCGGTATCATTAGCATGTTTCATAAATTTTTTGAAACATACAGCCAGAGCGGATTTCAGTGTTTCACATTCGTCATTACCTCTCGTTCGTGCAAGTATTTGAAATGCCTGTGATGTATCCTCACCCATCAAATGTTTCAATTCTGGGAAAGCTGCAAAGTGAAGTTATAAGCTTTGAAATATGTTAATTTCAAAAAGTGACACAAAGGTATTAATAGATAAATAATGAATAGCAAATACCTAGAACAGTAATCAACTTACATGCTCTCTTTAGCAGACGTAAATGAAAAGTATTTAAGAAAATGAGAAAATAGGTTTTAAACTATTTGAACGAATGAATCTACACAATTAGCAAACAATTTTCAATTACGAATTCAAACTCTAAAAATAGAATCAAAATTTTTTAAATATTGAAAAACCTTCGAAATTTGAACAAATTTGTTCAGCAGGTCGAAAACCGCATAATAATTCGAAACGAGTAAGAGCATAAGCAAGCTCTGGTTTATGATTCCTATCAGGATAATGAATTGGATCACGATCATTTAGTCGTGCTGCTTGCTCCTACAATAGTTTCATTCATAAGAAAAAGATAGTGACAGTTTGAATTAATCTAAAGATTACAGGATATGAAATTCTTCCCAAACCTTCTCAAAATTTTTTCAGAAAAAATTTGTCTTTTACTTAAATAATGTTAAAATGAGCCAATCTCTCATACTCTCTTTCTTTAATTTTTATCAATGTTATAATAAAATTTATCATCAGTTCAATTTAACTACTTTTCTCTATCAAACATCCCGAAGGACAAGAAAGGAACAAACCTTTGTAGGATGCACCTGTATGGATAAATTATGCTGTATGCTCATTAATTTCATAATGAACGGAAGATGCTTTTCAGTTGAAACTTTTCGATAAGTGGTACCACTTTCATATTCAGCAATATATTGGGAAAGTTTCTTTTGAGATCGTTGGATTTGACATGGCCCATCCGGATGTGTACCCATCCATAACTTTAATTATATTACCTATATTTTTTATCTTATATTAACTTATCCCAAGTATATAATATCATATATCTTATTAGAATAATGTAAATTTCAAAATAAAAAATAAATAGTCTCAGTCAATCAACCTCAGCATATGAAGTTCTATCATCAATGCTTGCATCGGGATTTCCAATAGCATAAACTCGAGCTACTTCACTTGCCATACCTTTTTTACCCCATGCATATGTTTGCACACAACATTTCAACTTTTCCATCCTTCCAATAAATGCTAAAATATTAAAACAACTTTACTTCATCAACCGATCAGCAATTACCATACGATTATGCTCGTTTATAGCACTTTTCGCCTAATCAAACAAATGGAACATCAAAAAGTATTAATTAAAAAAGCCAACTGCCATCCATTTTACTTTAATTATTAGTTTACTTCTTTAATACCAAAAAAGAAATTACAATAACAATTTTAAACGAATAGAAAATTGATAAGAAGAAAAATATATAAAGTAATCTCCTTTTATAGCACTACAAAATTGCTGCAATTTTTCAAACAAATGAAAAATTTAATTCCTATAAAATTTAAAAATACAAAATGAATTTATTTCATATGAAAAATATTTTTGTACAAATACAAAATCTCTTCTTAAGCAGCAAAATGTTAGTACCATTTCATTGTTTTAACTATATCGAACATTTTCATCTCATTGAGATGGTTCTTTGATCTAAGAGAGTGTTTACAACATTAACAATGATATTTAATAGAAGGATAATTTCATTTCACCTCTCCGAACTCTTCATGGATATCGAAGGGTGTGAATAATGGACGACTGTTATTGAGCAGATAAGAGATACGTAACTATTCCGGATAATCATTAAAAAAATCATAATCATTCATTTTCTAAATTTAATTTAATCTTTCGGCATTTCTATTATTCTAATTGAAATATTTATTATACGTATGTAAATATAAGTATAAATAAATGTAAGAGAAAAAAATATATGTAAATAGATATCGCCTTCGTTTATGTTTATGGTAATGAGAAGTAATAGAAAAAAAGATTGAACAAGCTAACGGATCATAACAATTCGAAAATAAAAGATACATGATGTGAAAGAGCGAAACATTTGAATTTCTTCTGTGAAATTATTAGCAAACTGAAAGATCTTACAAAAATGTTTAATTTTGGAAGAGGAAAAGAAGAAAAGGAAGAGAATGAAAGAAATGTCCGATATAAGATGAATCGGTTCGTATTGAAAAAAAAACCTGTCATTATCACCCGCCTTTATCTTGCAATCTCCGATGATCAGTATTAGATGAAATATGACAGATTCTATAGGCTATGGGAATCTTTTTGTCCTCCCTTTTTCTTCTCTCATACGCAACATTAACCTCTTTTTAATATTTCGCAATTAACCGAATTACTACAATAGTTGGGAATTTTTCCAAATTCCAATTTCAAACCAATTGCAATCAAATTGTCAAATTGTCATCTGTAATTAATTGCAAAATCGATTAGTTCGAATAATCAGTGTAACTTGAATATTTCGAAATTTTTACACAAAAAATTATTTCGTAGTTTTCAGGAAGAATTAACCAAGTAAAAATTTTAATAGGCATTCCGCAATTCAAATACAGCAAAAAAAGAATCTATTAGAAATTTTATTATTTAAATAATGCAATTATTCAAATGAAGAAACTATTTCGAAATTCTAAATCTCAAATATATTCCCTTTATTTCATGTAATTTCAAGTTGTATTTTCTTATTTATTAATTCATTTGATTAGGCTTTTCAACAAATCAAAAAGTAGCCTTACATTTGAAAATGCAAAAAAAATTTTTTTAAAAATTTGAACAGTTCTAAAAAGTCATTTGACCAAATTTCACTACGACTAGCGACGAGAATGTGTAACCATCATTATCAACGTATTTCTTAAAAGGCTATTGCACTAATTCTCGGAAATTTCAAAAAATTCATCAAACACAGGTTTTAAATTTTATTTGGGGACAATTATGTAATTATTTAGAAAAAAGAAAAAAAAAGTAAAAATAATAGATGAAACATATTTGTTAACTCGGAAGTACATTAAACATAATTATTAGAAAGGAAGAACCATTTGAAACCAGTTCATAGTCATTCAATGGCTGGAAATTAGGACAATTTTCAGGGTTGTATTCTTCGGTAGGTGGCAGAGTATCATCGTTGAAAATCGATTAATCAGTCAATTCAGTGAGAGCAAACGTTCTAGCGATGCCCAATCCCTATAAGAAGCAATTATCTGAGTTCCCGTTCCCTTAACATTGCTAGACTGTTAAACGAATCATAACAAAAGCGAAAATGGCTTTGATATCCAATAATTCTTTTGCACTTCTCATGCACACCGCTACCGCGAAACTGTGGTCATTTGAGAAAATTAAGAACGAAAATTTAGTTTAAACAGCCGTTAGCTTTTAAACTTTAGAAACATATGCACCAAATGTTACTGCAGAAAACCGAATTCTGTGCGAAATTTATTCATACTGATGTGATGTGGAAAATTTTTAACAAATTAATGGCAGTATCAAAACAAAAAAATTTCAAGTGTCGAGAAAAACAAAACGGTGAGCTCATTAAGAGAGGATATTCATAAATATTTACAACGCTTTTGCTGCTTCTAATGAGTTTAAATTCCTTCAAAAATTAAGATAAATGACAATATAGATTATATTATATCACTATTTAACTCTTAACAGCAAAGCGCAAAAAACTATGTACAGCAATTATTAAACATTGCTTAGTCGAGATAAGGACGTGGACACCAATCAGGATTTGATATTCTTCTTCGAGCTAAATCTAGAGGTTTAACTCCGGAAATGTCTCGTCGCAGCATAAACTCTCGTACTTTCCACCTCAATGACAATCGCTTCTTCTCACCTGGAGGAGGATTCTCCAACCACCCTTTCTTATATAATTCATATTTTTTCACAGGATCATGTCGAAACGATACTCCACCGGGAAGAGGATGTAGAACCGGTCGTATAGCTGAAAATATCAAAGACTATTTACAAATTAGGAAAACATTGAATTTAAAAGATAATTCAGTAAATTACCAGGATCCACGGCAATTTGTACATTGTTACTTTTCGCTTCATCGCTATGTTCTGTAAAAACTGATTTAAAATAAGAATTTATCAATCATATTCGTACTCATTTCTTCATGTCTGGTTAAAATTAACGAAAGTTCACTTAGTTCATAACAGTGGGTTTAGCTAACAAAAAAAATCAGGACTAAAAAATGTTTAGTATGCGCTGAGTTGTTCAGAAAAAGTCTTCTAGGAAAGATGCAAAATAAGATAAAACTTAAGAATGCTCACAATTTTCAAAAAAAAAGAACCTTTCACATCGTTTATTGTTTGATCAGATGTAAAGTTCTGCTTGTCTTCATCAGAAGAAAGTGACCTCGCACGACTACGATACAAACTTTCCTCCAGACGGCTATTCTGAAAACTCATTCACAAATTTTCTTTTGATTCTATAAAGTTTTTAATTACAGAATTCCGAAAATATTACTAGGTCTTGCAAGCGACTGTTATCTGTAGCAATTTGTCGAAGGCAACGATAACCATCATCCAAGATGTCTACAATTTCATCATGATCTAGTAGTCCGTAGCGCTGCAATAACCATTTATGAAAGTCCTTTTTATAAATCGTACATATAAAGATCAAAGGATTTGAAAGACAGAGTTAAGTTGAATATAGCAAATATTTTTCACAACCAAAAATTCAAAAAATTTTTCAAATTAACAACTTTTTATTACAAATTAATTTCTCCAAATTTTTAACAGCTTTACATTAATCGATGTGGAAGATCGCGCGATATTTTCGTGCTTTTTACGCAATTCAAGATTTCCGTAAGATGGAAGATGACGATACTGCTCCGCATAAATTAATCCCTCTCTATCAGAGTAGCATGGTACGTCTAAGTAAAAAAAAATTAAATTCTAATTTCATCAAAAATTCGAACCTGCCGTAAAAATTCGAACACTGGAAAGCTTCAAGTTAAAATTGTATGGCATGTCTAAGCAAAAAAACTCGAAATTACATGGTACATCTCAACAAAAAAATTCGAACGTTTAGGATATAAGTTCCAAGCATGTCTTCAAAACATACCACAAGCAGATAGCCGAGCAACATTTTTCATTAGAGAATTAAATGACACATTCTGATCCTCTGACTCTTGTTCGTTTTCTCTTTCCAGCTCATCCAAGAACTTATCCATTTCTATAATTTCTTATTCGCTTTCTATAATTTCTTATTCGGATGCTGAGAACAACCATATAACCTTCTCAGAAACATCTCCAATATTAATTTTTCCAAAACAATTTCTGCTACCATAATTATACAATACAAACCTTTTTTGAAAAATACTAGTTCTTCAGAAGAAAGATCGTAACCCATATCATTTATTGTCTCCAATAATTCCTTTTCCGTAAATGGTTCCATGCAGAACTCTATAAAACTTTCCCTACATCTCTAAATTGACAGCTATCAATGTAAACTTCAAATTCACATTTAATTTCAGTTGTGTTTATAGGAAATTACCATCACCCGAAAATCAATTCCAGTTGCATTTCTAGAAAACTACCACCACCAAGAATATCGGGAAAATCGATTACTCAAACCTCTATCTTTCTGAAACATTCCCTTCTGCAAATATGCAAATGAATTTTTATATATTTATATATTCTCCACGTAATTACATCTACAAATTAACTATTCAAACAAAATAAATTAAAAAACTTTATTTTTTAAAAATGGAACAAATGTAGAGCGCGAGGTAAAAACAAGATATATTCAGCAAGGTTACTGACTAGTAAAAATGCTAGGAACCCGATTTAACATAAGGTTTTATAATTTAAGTTAAAAAGAAGATGGCTGCCAATAAAAAAGTTCTTAAAGTATGCAAAATGACCAATATCAAAACCTTTCAATTCAATTTGAAGAATCCTTCTGACTGTTAACACACAAATTGCCAGTGACATAAATGGAAAATATCAGTGAACAATGCTGTTAAAAATGATATGTGTATAATGCTGCTTTGTGCATAATTATTTCGTGCACAGCAGTTCTCTTTCATCTCAGAATATCTGGATGTCGAAAATTATTTAATTTAAACATTTTAATTTAATGCCTGGAAAAATGAATAAACAACTGGAAGTAAAACGTTAACATAAGATACTTTTCCAACTACAAATACACATTTAATCAGTATATTATACAAATGTATTAGCAACGTTATCTAAAAATTTATATGATAGAAATGCAACTGTTCCGCAGTTATAATGCCTGCATGCCATCCACGAACCTTTGCAATTCAGCGTTTGGAGTAAGCATAAAATTAACATCCATTTCTTCAGCTGGCACTTCCTCTTTTACTCCTACATAATTCAATCCTGATTTGTACCGTAATTTCGATATTTTTACGGTGGCATTATCATCAATTTCATACGAAATTAATGCACATCCAACAACCTGTCCACCATTCAATTTCCCTGTTAAATACCAAATATTTTTCCGGATCGCTGCTGGTCCAATCGTATTTCCGTGACAGTAATACTGTCGATGTAAGATATAATCATAATCTTGCAGTAAGTGACAAACTTGTCCGAACTGCTGGATACGCCCGGTGATCTGACCATCTTTTACAAAGTATTTCCGGGTTTTCATGTGCGCCGCGAATCTCGAAGTCCAGTATCCTAAAATGTAACTCACAATTCTGAGCATTTAGATCATGAAAAACTTATGCTTTCTGTTCCCAGTTACATCTAACTTTGCTTTTTATAACACTCTCTAAAAGCCTCGATTCATCGGCTCAAACAAACCAAAATATAGAAGATTTGTTCAAAGCCCATGGATCAAAATTTTTAGAGAGAGTTATACTTTTTCATATGGCAAATGAAGGTGAAAATTCAGCTGGCAGATTGCATTCTATTAACATAACATGAAGAGAAGCAAAAGTTATAGCATGCGTGCTGCATGTTATAACGTAACAGATTCAAATTTTCGTATACCTAAAATTTTTAAAGTCATATAAAATGAAGAAAGCGATAATTATTGGGTTACCCAAATTATCGGACGTGAGCTCCCTTAACTTGACTGTCTTCATATCGACGAGGAAAGAGATCTTTCCGCCTTCTTTTCCAAGGAATATCTTTGGCACTTTTTGACAAACGAATGCATTGCTGAATAAAATGATCAACTTGATTAACTTAACAGAAATTATTAATTTTGGAAATCTTTCAAATAAGAATTAACCTATTTTTTATCTCAAGAAGAAGAATAATAGTCTCTATATTTCTTCATGTATGAAAAAAAAACTTCACTTTTCAGGCTCCAGCAAAGTCGATATCGGTATAAGACAAACTGTATTGTAATAAATAAAACTAAATGCAGCACAGTCACTCGTGGATGCTTGTGCACGTGGTTCCTTTGGTTCTCTATAAAATTTTTTATTAAGCTTGAACCGATAAGCAAATAACTTTGCAGCAAAATGACAGAAACTGACAGCAATAGCTAAATAATTGATTATCATTTTTTTAAGCTTTTCATATAAATTACAGCTGCAGTCACAGTAAAGCTCCGAAATCTTATATTGCCATCAACTTATATGACGCAGTGCAAAATCTCTGACGAACAGCAAAAACTTACTTGAAATATTCGGTTTGACTCTTGCTGCTAAAATTATTTTCCTGATATGCTTTTGAACGACTAACTGATGAAGAAGACCCTGTACTCTCAGCGCATCTGTCAACTTTTTTCTCCTGTAAAATCCTATCTGAGACTATTGCAGGCATTTAAAGTACTAGATGAAGATGTGTGAACAAATATTTTCGACCAATTTACCTCCATTATGAAAGCATCGTTCAAAAGACTGATTGACAAAAGAAAGAACAAAGAATAATAAACTTGAGTAAAGCAATTTCGAAGAGAAGAAAAATGAGTAAGGAATAAAACTCACTAAGACATCGCTGGAACTGGACGAACCATTCGTATACATTGCCATATTTCCCGAAGAATACATCAAAGTATTTGGGAATGGAATGCGATTTCGAAACTCACGAAGTTCATCATAAAGTGGGGTCACTACATCTGTCATAACACCCCTTACTTCGTTGACCACTTCACGTACAATTTCCTTCACAACCGGTACCATCTGAGCACGTACTTCAGCAGCTATTGCTGACTTTAACTCCTCACTTATGCCAAGAGGTGCCACATTTTGACCATTCACAATCTGCGCACTCAGCTGATGGATTGCAAAGCCAAAATTTGCCATAAGATTATCTGAAAATAATCCATTTATTCACATTGTCCACCGGTGGTCATATAAATGTTTTGAACTGCCCACTTCCTCTCGTATTATATTTCCTTCTATTTATGAGTTGTAAATTAGATTCTAAAAAAACAGAATTACATTGCAATGTGTTAGGAGATAACCAAACTATCGAGACAGTATTGAGCATTCAGTACTATCAAATGACCACGTACCGTCTACTTCTTGCATGTAATAAAAGTATGAAAGTGAAGTGCGATAAAGCTACCACATACAAAAGCCAATAAGAATATTCTCCTTTCCTCTTAGAATGACAATAGAAGTGGAAATCACGAAGGGATGGCAGTTACAGGATAGGATCTAAAAAGGGACATTACCTTTGTGAGGTGTCATCATCTCATCCCAGCCACAGCCATTACACATCCAGCCATTCTGAAATTTCCGCCAGTTAAATGTCTTCTGAAAATAATACTACGCTCATACACGCCACACTAATTCAACGTGAACGCACAGCATAGTACAACCATACATTTTATGCACGCATACACCTTTGATGCTTCATCCATTCAGAAACACACCTCGCACTTACCACTACGAACACTATGACATACGTACATACACACATACACACACACATACACAAATGCGCACATATGCATATAATATCAGCGGCAGTAAACATTGTAGCGGCGGCCAAAATCGATAAGGGGTGATGGGATTTAGCGTTTGTTGGAAATGTCTTTGAGTTGGTTAGGGGTAGTTGAATTAATTAAATAAAATGAAGAGAAAAGCATGGGAATGGTAATTATTATTTTATTTAAATAGGTAATAGTGTGTCATACAGGACGGTAGAGAAGTGACAGCAAAAATGAATGGGGAAGGGTAGATGTATTTCAAAAACGCTGTATGTTATGTGATATGGATTACTTGCAGCGATATAGATGGCTGTCTCTCATTTCCATCACTGCATTTTATTATAGTCGGTCATGCACTTTCCGATAATTACCATTATAGGTAAATAAATATACCTAATAGATAGATGGCGTAATTATAACTAACCAAGTTGAAAATTGTTAAATGTTTATAATGCACAATAGCTATATATTGATAATAAATCATTTTCAATTTAACACGTCATAATGCATGAAATAGTTGTATGAAGAAAGCCCTTTATTCTATATCAAAATTAAAAGGGAATGCGTTGACGCATTACTATAAGAAATGTACAATGGTTGCAATGGCAAATGATATCAGCTAAAAGAAAACCTTACAGAAATATAAAACTGTTCAAGTAGCTTTACAATGTATGGAAACTGAAGTAAACAAAATTATCATCGTTTTAATCATAATTATTTCATCTACATATTCCGATGACTGCTTAATCGATGAATGGATAGAATAATATAATTTAATGATCAGCGATGATAGCCTCATGAGATATACCGAGATCAGGATCCAGAACTGTTGAGCTAGATACCTGGGTGGTCTTAATTGATTACAATACAAAAGACATTATTGTTAAAGTAATTGCTAACTGCAGCACTTACAATTTTGTTTTGTTTGCTTGGCTATGCAATATTTTTAGTGTCATGAATTTCTTGACGAGCTAAATCTGCACTCCTACGTAATTAATATGATCGAAAACCGATTACCGCTTTGTAAACATACGATCAGCTCATAATGGTCCAAACTGCCACAAGTGAAAATATTTCATCACTCAACATATTAAACAGCAAATCATTTGTATACAACTACAAAATTTCTTACCGTTCTCTTATGTAGAAAAGTAGGCACCATAGGTTAATCTTTATATACCAAAGTATGAAATAAAAGCTTTCCTATTTTAAAAAATCGTCATAAACAATTTCCTCGAGTACAGATTTGCTGTGCAGATCCAAAGGTGCGATATCGAAAAATATCATCAGATGATCCCCGCGTCTTTGAGTATGTAATGCCGACAGAACGGTCTCATTGCCGAATATTTTATTCACACTTCGGCCGCCAACGCGACTCTGCAACGCCCATCAAAAGATTTGAATGTTAGTAAATTTCTCAAAAATTTTTATTCAGAACTTTTGCTCTGGAAGACTATTAATCGGCTACCATTCAGTAAAAATGCATATGAGTGCCTAACAATAAATGTCGGCAAATAATGTATTCATATTAAACAGAACCATATACAAATCATAGGAATAAAGGGCAAAATTCTTAAAATCTTACGTAAACATAAAAATGTTCGGGTCGCTGTACAGCACTTGCGGACGACTGTTGTATTGGAGAGGAAGTAATAGTATTTTCAACAGAAAAATCCTTTAATCCTTCAGATGAATTTTTCTGCTGACCTTCTCGATATTCTGCACTGCACACTTGATATAAGAATTCACCAAGATGCTCCACTGCAAGTATAAAAAGTGACAAAATATGGGGGGTATCTCCAGTTCAGTTATTCCTTTTAGAAAACAAAAATTAGACAATAGTTTAGTTTCAAGTGTTAACGATCAGAAACATACTGGTAGTATCCTCTCTTGTTCGAATATAACGTCGATTTAATAGCGATGGCGCTACGCTCGGCCGCTTGAATAGCGATTTTGCAGGTAATAATTCGGCTTCAATCTCAATAAATTCACTATCTGTACGTGTAACAGCAAAATCAATATCTTCATCGAGCTGAAAATTTCTGCACTGTTAAACGAATTTTGTATAATAAAGAAAGAACATTTTTTTGAGTGGAAGCTTTGCTGATATCATAACAAAACTAGACTGAATATGGAATGCATAACACAATAGGCAATAAAATGAAGGATCTAGAGCTATGCCAAATACAACATGAATACAAAACTTACTCGTCTTTCTAGTTGTTCGCCCATCCCTTCATCGGGAGTTAAAGGTGATGATGGGTTTTCAGCAAGCCATTTATGCATGCGGTCTTTCAGTGTACATGCATTAAGCGGTGGCACAAGAGGGTGACTATCCTGGATAAATCTTTTATAGCAAAAACCCGAAACATATTACACAATATATTCAATACATTTTAAAATGTCTACCGATGATTTTCGATAGACTTACCAAATTTGCAATAGAATTTGGTCGTGTAGGAGCTGAAATACTGCTTGATGAATCAGAAGTATCCGTAGTATCAGAGGTATCAGTGGTCGAAGAGAGAGAATCAGAATCTAAAACAATTGAATATTGCATCATGCTTATTTGTGGCACAAATATTTCATCATACAATAAAAGAGAGACCTGTACTACTGCTTGAAATATCGCGATGTGAGTGGGCTCGTGAGCTGACGGTACCATTAGCCGCTATAAAAAATTGAATTATTGAGATAATTCCTGCCAAAAATCTTATAAGCACGATGATCATGCTAGTATTGTCCTAGTTGGTGCTTCATCTTGAAAAATATTTTTATATGTCTAAATCAGAGGAAAAGATGTCAACGGAAGGAAGGCTTTCCTGTTCCTCTATATTGACTTCAATCAAAGTTCAGTAAATCTACTTCCTGCAGCAAAAATTCAAAAGTTGCAATTTCAATGAAGAACTGACCACTAACATGGTTGGCAATGCTGTTAGCAGAGGTGTGCGCTCCAGAAACCGATTCATCATGTCTGAATAAATAAATAAATATTTAAAGTATGTCTGAATAAATGATATTTAAAACAAAGAAGTAGCAATATGGTACGAACAGCAAAAATAATTGAACCTTGCATGCAGATCGTTCTCATCACCTTCACCACTACCTTCTGGTGAATTGCTATCAGGAGAATTATTATAAGAACGATCGTGAACATCACCGCGCGGGCGCCGTTTTCTTTCTGAATCAAAATTGTTGATGTGAGAAGTACTTTAAATAGAAAGTGCATTCAAAATAAGAAACTATTCTAAAACAAACTTTCGTAGTCATATGAGCCTTGAACACGTTGGCGGCGATTGGCAGCTTGTGCTTTCATGCCTGCTTCAATACTCTTTTGGAGTGCCTCTACGTTACTTTGCTGATGAAACATTTCCATTGCTTTCTGCTGCATTTGTTCATAAATTTGTCGATCCGGCCAAATCTTCAATGATAAATCTATACAAATGATTAAAAACATTCAAAATCCATGATGTTATTTGGAAATTTTTCGAAGAGTTCCTTGATATACAATATATGAAACAACAGCCAACTTTATTAATTAAAGCATCAAAATTCGGATCTGGACGAAGCGATCGTTTAGATACTAATTTTTTTCGACATGTAGGGCATTCCTTATTGCCTCGGAGCAACGCAGTTGTAATACACTCGCTGCAAAATCGATGCAAACATTCCTATAAGAGAATATTCCAGTAATATAGATTATACAGATTAAAGAAATCAAAAATTTATCCACAGATGTGTGGGAATGTTGTAAACTATGACGAAAACTACGGCACAAAACAGTTTTGCGCTAGTTATTTATTAGTTTGAATGGAATTACTATATTTTCCAGGAACTGAAATAGTTTAAATATCCAATGCTTAAATCAAAATAAAACTTTTGTTGTCATCGTTGTTGTCAGTAGATCTAAACATATTGGACAACAGAGCTCGGATGAAAGCATTCGTGTACTGATTCGTATCTCCGTCGAATCCGAAATAGCTTTATGTGGACGCCGGTACTGCAAATGGAAAAGAGGAGTGAACGAGATCTTCCAACAAATTCATGGAGAATGGACCCAACATTTTTTGCGTTAAACTATTAGAAAACATTTCTTTTAAGTAATTCTGAAAGTGCTACCTAAAAAATGGAGAGACTAAAAGATAGATGAAAATGAGAAAAAATAAATTTTAGATTCCGGATTAATTAATACTCATTCAGCTATTTTTGATTGCTTACGTGTATAGTGAACTTTGTTTCATCCTTTCTATTCAGATATAAACGAAGATAAGATAAGACGACACCCGATCATATTCGGTGAGCTCGAGAGTTTTCCCACCAGTTACTGTATCTGGTGCACTGCCGTTATTCATAGTTGATGGTGGTGAGATGTATTTCTTCGCAATAAATATAAAAAATAAATTCCATACAATCAATGGATCGATACCTACAAGGGCAAAAGAATTACTAGAATCCAATAATCTAACTTTCTCTTCATATTATTGCCATAACGTGTATTTTTGGCATTATAAAAGGCTAGTCCCATCGTTGCCGATGAGCAATTAATTTCTAGGACTTAGCAGTTTTCCCGGAAATTTTTAAATTTGACATGCAGCAACAAAGAAGACTTCCGGTCCAATGAAAATTTAGAACAAAAAAAAACTCGATCCTACGTCTTAGCGATATAATATAAGCAACAGAAAGTTCCACCATATCCCAGAGAAGCCTATCAACCACTTCTCCACCTCAACACACCATCACACGCATTCAATTACATAAACCTTGATCATTGTGGGGTGTACGAAATAGTTCTATGTGCCCATCTTGTCCATAGGATTGTCCATTTTGTTAGAAAATCGCCTACACTGACGTATACATTAAACACCCGCTTGATTAACCTCATGCCTCGAATTCACACTTGAAGGAAGTAATAGGCATGGGTGCGAGATGCAATTAATGAGGATACTTTCGCGGCGGTCCTGTGTGTTTGGTGGGATTCGTTATTGTGGTCGCTTGTTTTTCAGGTTTTCATGCAATAATTCATGTTTTCAAAATATTTCATTGTATTAACATGTGGCGATTTTTTTGGTTTTTAATACAATACTTTCCAGTTAATCAATACTTCCACTAAAGCCGACCTCTACACCTCGATGCAAATAGGACTATAATTTTAGCTCGAAATATAGTTTAAGTGAGCAAAGAAGAGTCGGGTTTATTCACTTTCACTTTTACGCAGAATTGACATATTTACTCTCAACTCGAACTACTGGCAGCAAAAATATAAATAGATTTAACCGATGATCGTTTTGGGAATCTGGAAATGATATCGAACCTTTTCTGTCCAATAAATTTCATAGGGAATGCTTGAAGACATTTCGTTTCAGCAGCATTCTTACCATCCGACATACGTCGATTGTCATCTGAAAAGTGAAGTTGACATTCAAAGGTTTTTTTCACTTTTTGGTTTTTTCACGATGCGATCAAACGAGCCAACCAACAAGAACGAAAAAAAAATTGATGAAGTGATAACAGTAACGAAAAAAGACGAAAAGAAGAAAAGTGATTCAGACGACAAGAAGGACAAAGAGAAGGTTCCTACTGATAAACTTTTGTTTTAGATCATTCTGTTAACAAATCTGGATGCCAATGTTCGGAATTACTGCACATGCACGCTCCATCATATGACTTGCAAATTTATATTAATTAATTTTTACTTTACTTTTGCATCTTGTACCATTCTTCCCATGAATCATAGCCTTAATAACAACTGAGAGTTTCAGAATTTCCCACTACTATTGCATACAGATAGTAAATACGCTGTCAGATACTACTTCCCAATTTTATATCGGTATCATTTGTATAAGGCATTCCTAAAAATATTTCGGAATTAAATTGTCCGTTTATAGCGTCGAGATTCCGTAACAGGTTCAACTTTGGATACAAGTTCATCAAACAGTTCTGTGGATTCGGATGAAGTTGACGCAGCGGAACATAATGATTCAAAAAGTACGATAACTTTCGAAGGATCAAAGTTGCAAGTGGATAGGTAACTTTACGTGTTAAATTCTCTATTATCAGAAGTATTTTGCCACGTTATCAGAATCTTATCTAACAGTGGATATAGAGCTCATAATATTAAGTGCTTTTCTTCTTTTTACACATTTATCGAGGTGTGCTAAAAAAATGTTTTATCGGTATGTCCAAAACTTTTAGCCTTTTAATTTCATTTCATTTTATTTCTGGATAAAAGCAGAATGATTGAGGGAAAACAGTATTTAGTAAGTCTCATAATTCTCCTTTACAACTTGTATTTTTACACATTTTTGAAAATTTAAGTCATAAAGTCGATGATTCTATCAATGAAGTGATAAAGAGAATCTCTACAATTTCAAGTGCCGAATCAGGTGAAGTACCTAAATCAGATATAAACAACGACAGAGAGGATGAGCAGATAATGGATGAGGATAATGGCGCTGATGAACAAAATGGTTTGCTTTCCTTAGGATGCAATTGTTAGTGTTAAAACTTATTAGTTCTGAACGAAGTTTCAATTTTTTAAGCGAATGGTATAAAAGCGCTGGAAGATTTCCAATGATTCCAATCATATTAGTACAAAAGTAATGTTGAAAATCTCTTCTTATAATAGGTCCAGAGAATAATTCAAAGAAGCCGAGGAAACGCAATCGGAAGCAAGGTAGAAAAGTAAGCCATAATTTACTGTTTTTGTTTTTTCAAACAGAGGATTGAAACATCTTGCTTCTTTTATTTCTTTCTTTCTCTTTTTCGTAGACACAGACTATATGATTCATCATTTCGAAGGGAAATTTATTTCAGAAACGGATTTATATTTATTTGATTATCCAAAGATTTTTTTTAGAATAAACCAAACATTCCATCTAATAAAAATGAAACGTTTTCGAATAAAACTAACCTCTCATGCACAGTCGATGGTGATACAAAAGAAAGTACACTAGAGGTTGGTTCTTGGTTATGTTAGTAAGCTTTTGCTTCGATTGTTTCATAAGAAGTTCAAAGATCTAACACTTATTCCAGAAAATTCATTTTATAAACCAGGTTTTGTTACTGATTTTATTACTCGAAGGATAGGAAATTTCATACAAAATCTCATACTATACGTAGATATAGTTTTAGTTCATGATTTAGTAAGCAGTTTAGTTATAATGATTGACGCTGTATCAGAATCTGAAAATATGATCATTGATTTTGTTGAAGTACAAAATATTTTTATATGTATATCAGAATTCCATTACTTTTATAATTATTGAATGAAGAGAAGAAAACATCTCATTTCTCAAAAATTTTGCTTTTAATTTTGCGAAGTAATTTCAGGCTTTGAAAGATAGTGTTATGGATACTTATCCGAAATTAGGAGCTTGGTTTGCTTTTACCTTACATTTGCTTGATTTTCGGAAAAGGTTCTTATATCCAAAAAGTCGAAAAAGACAGATTATGATATCTGAGCTTTTCAGGGTGGCAAGAAAAGAAGTTATGAGCGTTGATGGAATGGAAACGTCGAATTTGTTGTATATGATTGATACCAGCAATAAGGTGGGTTGATATTCAGGCAGTACGTATATTGAAATTATTGAATGTTCTAGCGAATTATTTCCCTACAATATTGAATTTTTTTTTTCAATAATAGGTTTTATGAGATTTTTTAATTACATGTTCAGGACATTATTTCAAATTTCAGTTTGCGCACCGTTTTACTCATTGGATACGAGAGTTTTATATCTCAGCTATTGATGGCGACGTTGAGAAATTCATGATTAAGTTCACCAGCATTGTACAAATTTTAAAAAAGAAAGCTTGCAGTGAGCATTATAAGCATATGTCTGGACATCAATTGAAGGAACACGTGATGAACGTTAGTGTTAATCATTTAATAAGTGAATTAAGGTATGGATTATGTAGAGCTCTATTCAGGCTTATAACTTTATGCAACTTCTCAGTGGTTGAATAGATGCAGATGGAAAAGCTATATGATTTACTTTATTGTATTAATAGTAATGGGTTATCAAAGAATGAAACTTCTAATTGATCAGAGGCTTAGTATTTACTATGTATATCCACCGATATTTCAACGAGACACTGAAATTAGTATCATAAATTAGCTTTTTGACAAAATTAAGGAATATAACTATTTAACTTTTCAGAATGTTATCTGTGCATTCTTCAATAAATCAGAGAACACATCTATTTTGCATCACCTTGCACCAACCAAAAATACTGACTGTCCATGTAGTATGAGAAACCATGGTTACTGCAGGTTTAAATTACTTTCCAATTTTCTTGATCGTGCGTTTAGAATGAGAAACGTTATTCTTTACTGGAGTTCTTAGCGATTTAAAGTGGATGTAGCAGTAATTTTTATAGTAAATCGTAAAAAATTGATTGTGTAGGCAATAGTTCGTGGTAAGACAATAACCATGCAAGAGTTAGGAGTGCTAATTCTATTCTTGTTTAGTAATGATACCTAGTCAAATTTTTTGAACTGTGTTACTGCATAAAAATGGAATTAATTTTTGTAAATCTTTTAGAATATTTTTCAGATTGATTAAAATAATTTTGAATATGTTACCGTGGAAAAATCGAAGAATTTTACTTGCTACATCCACAAAAATAACTGGAAAAACTGCTCTGCATTTAGCAGCTGCTACGGGGCAGCCTTGTCAAATGCAAGCTTTGATGGATTTTGGTATGCATTGCTGCCAATACTTGTTGATTATAAGTAGGGCGAGAATGGAATGAAAAAATGCTTTCATTTTTCAGAATGAGTATTTAGGAACACACAGGAATATTTTACAAACTATGCTAAAATCGAAAGAATCGTTTTCTTCATTTTTTGAATATTCATCAACTCAGTAATATCACGAAACTTTTATCTGGCTATCGAAATATTAACCATGATTCTTTAGGAGCCTGGCCAGATTTTTTCGATCATTCTGGACGCGCACCATTACATTACGCCATTATGAGAAATAATTTAGAAATGGTACATTTTGTCTCAATGCAGCAAATTAAATGTAACAAAATACTTTTTTATTTGCACCATCTCAATTGTGCTGATTTTTTCTTGTATTTTATGAGGTGACGTTATAATTTTTTTCTAAAAACCAGAATATTTTATATTTTTCGTAAATTTTATCATGAAATCTATCGTAAAATAACAAAAAGTTAAAATAAAAGGTTATGCCAGCTTGAAAAAAAACTGTGCGAAGAAATTAATTCATATTTGTTAAAAGAGAAAGAATGGTTTCATTGTAGGTGAAATTGCTTTTGTGGTACGGAGCAGACATATCATTAAAAGAGCGTTCGGCGACACCACTTCAACTTGCAGGCTCTTCACCAACAACTACATCAGTACGTTTTGTCGTACAGATCATGCATGTATATATGGTATTCTGTTTATGGGAATTTTATATTGTGTGAAAATGCTAAAGAATCGAAGATGAAAGAAACAATTAGCCATTACAGATATGTGAATACTTACATGCACGAGTAACTGCATTAGAAAAAATATTTATGCAGTGGGTAAAGAAGTACGTGAGAGGTGTTTGGACACCTGTACATGCTATTTCCGACTTGCATTTTGCAAAGTTATCAAAAGCATGCGATTCAAGAAGAGATGCATCTCGGAATTTCATAACCAAAACTGTGAGTTTTGTTTGGAATACATATTCGCAGCATTTGTTAATAAATTGCCTTTTTCCAAATTCCTCATTATTCAACCACAATTTCGACTATATTTTATATGGATAGAGTGTCTCAAATTAGTGTGTAATATAAATATCCTCGTATATGAATATCTGTCTGGTACTTTAGAACATCTCACAGTGTACCTGATTAAGACATTTTTTAGTCTCATCTAAATTCATCGTTTTGTTTATCGGTGCATTTTTAGCGTAAAATCCATATAAATATTTCGGGGACACGTACTGCCAACCTGCAGCTGAAGAAATGTCCGCTTATGGTAAGTTTCTTTGAACTGAATGTTAGAAAATTTAATGTATATTTTTAAACACATGTTTAGTCAACAGTTGTCTTACAGTCTGTTTAGTAACTTGGAACAAATTTTTTTTAGTTACTCTTTATTGTACCAACATTCTACAAGGGGGAAGACAGAGTGGCGGATGCTTCTAATCCGCAGATATTTTGTGCAAAACTGCAAAACGTAAATGGAATCGTTGTTAAATTACTTCCATTAACACCATTGTAAGTTTTTTACCAAATCTTTTCCCCTTTTTGCCATGTTTTTATCGAATTATTATCTTGGAAATTAAATCATTTTGTATGTTTTTATCGAATTATTTAAGTTTCCAGTTTACAAAATATTCCAAATGTTACGGGCTCATTGATTCACACCAATTTATGAATACATGATCTATTTTTAATCGTTAGTCGATGTTTCAGACTAAGTTGTTCGAAGTGGAATATTGACATTAGATCAGCCCTTGAAAAACCTCATAATGGATATTTTTACGTCTATAAACTGCCAGAAAATATTGAAGTTGGTAAGTTATACTGTAAAACTGTATTATTTTTCGGGTGCTACGAAAAAAAAGAGATCTGAAATTGTGAATTGAAATTTGCAATTTTTCAGATTCGTACACACTTCACTTGATGGTAGAATTAGAGGAGTTACGTTTTCAAGCTTCCCACATAACACTTGCAGTACAGGCTTTTGCATGTGGTCCACCAGACTTAGAGCACTATAACGAATTACGAGGTCTCGTAACTCACTCAAACAACAAAACAAAAATGGACTGAGGTTTATATATATGCCGCAACGAGTCACATATATTCCGAACACAACTAAATTTTCCGATTTTCCAGACTAACTGAGTGCTTGATTGTTTTTGTGGCTTGTTTGATAAAAAATAGTACTGATGGCTTTTAATGCCAAAGTTTTTCGGCACGATCTTTTTAGGATAAAAGTTAATGATTCTATAAGAACTACTTCATTTACGTTACGGAATAGAATGTTTACTGTACCATATTTAAGTATCACTGTACGATATGGTTATATTGCTCACTTGATAGATTTCTTATATTCAGGCTCTTTTTGTACATTGTTCGGATGAAAAGATGGTTGTTGCATTTTTTTATCATTTTTTTCTGGGCTTTCTTCATTTCAAAAAATCATATCTGTTATAAAATTTGTTTGACTTTTTGCATAATTTTAATTTAAACAGTATTATTACTTGCTTATGCACGTATATCTGTTATGATGATAACATTGTATTGGTAGTAACTGTTATCATTATTTGGAAGTTCTTATTTCACTAATACGCTTTTTCGTTACGGATAAGACTTTATGGGTTAGAATGTTTTTATTTGTATTCATTGTATGAATTGTTGATGAAGTTGAAGTCTGCTTAGTTTCAGTTTCCTCTATTCATTTTGTCCTGATTCGTTTTCCGGATAGACTTGTAATTTCTGTTTTGTAGAAAGTTGCAGGAGCTGTTGATCATTTTGTTGAATTTATCTTTGTGCAAAAAAAGTTCTGGAACCAACCTTATGTGATTGTTTGACATTTTGTTATTGGATGTAGAGTGGTCCGAGCTTCACGTAACTTCTCTATTTAGGAAAAAACTGTAGGTTGTTCAGTTAGTACATATAATTGAAATGGAGAGTTCCGAAGAGAATTCTGTTGTCTTACTATTTTTAAATTGGTTCGGTCTGCAGTTGAAATTATCAGTTTCCTCAATATGAAGAAGTTCACCTTATAGCGCTTCCTAGTAACTTTTATCTTTTTTTTGTCGTGAATCACTATGTGTCATAGCTATGATTCCTCGAAAATAATCACTCGATTTCATGTATCTCGTTGTGCATGATTTGTTAATTTATCGGGTTCCAAGATTTAATAGTAATTTAAGAATTTCTTGAAAGTTTTGTTCACTTGAGCTGATCAATGTTTTCGACAAGAAATGGCAGGAAACTTTGGAATGATGACCGACCGTCGCAAAATTTTCTATCAACTATTTCTTGTAAAAATATGGCTCACCCCTTTACCCATTGTGCTTTTTTCGTTTTTGGTATTTGTGAAGTTGATTTCAATTTCAAACAAAACGCTTTTTTCCAATTGTATTTATGTTTTTGTATGCGATAAATTTTCCGACTAACAAAAACTTTGTTTTGGAAAAACACTGTTTGGATGCAAGTGCTTTTATTTCTTCACCTCAGGGCTACGACTCAGTCCTGTACGTATGTAAAGGTACTGAAATAGTGCTCAATCGTTCTTTTATGTGTATTCTATTGCCTATGAGATGGTTTTCAAGGTGATGAGTATGAATTTCCACAGGTATGTGTAGTTGTAGTAGTTGCCTCGTTCGTTGTTCGTACGTCAGGCATATGTAGAATTCTGCTTGTCGCTTCGTTTGCTAAAGATGGCAGCAAAAGTTTTTTGAATTTTTTTGTTCAAGTTTTTGAATGGAATTTTAATAAACGTTTTTTTCAGCGTATTTCGGGTAAGAGAACAGAGCAATGGCAGCAGGTGAAAATATTGACAAATCGGAACATAAAATTCATCGAGGTAGCTTATCTTTCAATAAGTTTCGCATGGAGGTGATTGACTGTTTTGGAGTTTGACTAAATTTCTCTTGCAAACTTAGTAACAGCTTTAACTTCTCTAAAATCACTTCATATGTGTTAAGTTCGACTTGGCTCTTGCTATTATTTATTAAGATTCCTGAAGATTTTTTTTTAGTGCTTAATTCATATTAGAGATCTGCTGCACTGCAATCAGTGAGCTTTGTAGTGCATGAAATGTTTTACATATTTTTTTTACGCGTTATAACATTATTGTTATTTCATCCCCAAATATGAACTCTTGTATACTTAATAAATTAATTCAATTTAAAATTGTTTTAATAGTCGTGAGAGGTTTATGAATTCTTGTTATTTGCTTTAAAGATGTCCTTTTTGGCACTGAATTGAATATTTGTATGGCGCTGAATAATTTAGAAGAGCTTATTTAGTTCACAAAGTTGGTGGCAAAGCAAAGAAGAAAGCTGTTAGGAAAGGAAGTGGAATTAATGCAAAGGCTTTTACGTTTCAATCTGCTGTTAAAGCAAGTCGCGCCATTCGCAGGTACTCTTTTTGCTAGAGCTGTAGAAATCCTCTTGGTTGATAAGTATTCCAACTAGTTCATATGAAAAGGCTTGAACTCTCGCAAATCTGATCGAAGTTTATGATGGGATAGTTTTTAATCTCGTTGTATCTTTGAAAGGATTTATTTTAGAGCAGCAGATAAGGATGAAAAGAAAAAACACATACCGGTAGTCGATCGCACTCCCGTCGAGCCACCTCCAATAATTGTTGCTATCGTTGGTCCTTCAAAGGTGAGCTTAATTTAAAATTAATTTGTTCTCTATACACTAGTTATTGTAAATACAAAAAATTAACCAGTGGGATGCGTGTTATGATAAAAAATAATTTGAATGTATGCTCCAATTGTTGGATTTGTTCTATCTTTTCCATTCTCTAGGTTGGAAAAAGTACATTATTGCGATGTCTAGTAAAGCATTATGTGCGACATAATTTAACTGAAATTCGCGGACCAATCACCATTGTTACTGGCAAAACTCGGCGAGTAACATTCGTCGAAGTTAGTAACGATTTAAACTCTATGATCGATATTGCGAAGATTGTTGATTTGGTAAATTTTTTCTTCACTAGTACTATAGTTGCAAAGTATAAATTCAATTGAAAGGCATTTTGAGTGACATTAGTTACCGGGATCTTGTGTAATGATTCTTTACTAGGATAACTTCTAAGATCCATATATATTCTATAATTATTTAAGAACTAAACAGATGTTTTAAAGATTCTCACTGTCAGATAGGCACTCACTGTCAGATTCTCACTGTTTGATTTGTTTAAATTCCTAATGAAGTATATTTCTTAGCTTCTTGAAGTTTCTATGATCTAGGATGTCACATTTGGAGACGAAGTAATGTTAGTGCTCCTGCATTTTAGTAAAAGGTTATTTTAGAAAAGCATAAAATTTAACAGGAGCTGTGATAGATCTTGTATTTATTTTTCTGATATATTAAATGACCTGTGTTCAGAAATCCATTTTTCACTTTTATTTTTCATTATTAGTCAAATAACTTTAGGTTTTACTGATGGTGGATGCTTCTTACGGATTTGAGATGGAGACATTCGAATTTCTAAATATATGTCAAGTGCATGGCATGCCTCGAATCATGGGTGTTCTTAGTCATCTCGATGTAATTAAGAAGAAGGAGAAGTTGAAACATACGAAGAAATTACTGAAACATCGTTTTTGGACAGAAGTTTATCAGGTTAATATTTTGAAGGGCATGCCACTACTTGAAATTTGCTTTGAAAATTGAAAACTCTTTAGATTAGACAATGTCGAATTAAATGATGTACATTTCTGAAAATGTGGTCATAATGATCTCTGGTCATTGTTATTCGTTAATATCTAGACCAAGTCAAGTGAGAAACAGCCATTGGCAGAGTTTCTTCCAAGAAACTACTATATAACTTCTTTCAATGTATTGCGCTTAATGAATTGAGATTATATATAAATATTTTAGAGGATTTTGTTACTCTGTTTTACACATTCTTATCTTATGGTTCAAAGTGTTTACAGGGTGCGAAACTATTTTACTTGTCGGGAATGATCAATGAGCAATACTTAAGAAATGAAATTCGAAATCTTGCACGTTTCATATCTGTCACGAAATTTCGTCCTTTAGTTTGGAGAACCAGTCATCCATATGTTTATTGTGATCGTTATGAAGATTTAACCGATGCAGAGGTATGTTAGCTTAACGAACGATAAAACTTTTGTACTGTTTTAACTAACTTCTTATTCTGAACATTAAATTCATGAATTCTATTGTTAAAGAGTTATGAGCCTTTATATATTTTATGTTAGGTATAGACAAAAATCAATAAACAGTTTATTTCTGCTACTATGGAGCTCATATTGAGCATACTGTTTAGTTTATTTCGAAATGGGGTTGTATTGACAGAATAACAAAAACTATAGTTCAAGAATTATTGACAAATGTGTATACTTACATTTTCATCAGATTCAAATTAATTCTTTCAATTATTTGAAGCTACTTCGCGAAAAACCATTAGCGAACCGCACGATTTCGTTATATGGTTGGGTGCGTGGGACGTTCCTAAAAAATCATGCTGCTGTGCATATCCCCGGTATGGGCGATTTAATGATCAAAGATGTATGTTTGGATTTTCTTGATTTACTAGCAATTTGCAATTTAATTATTATTTTTTTATATGATCTCATCTTTCAAGAAATGACAAGATCTTGGAAGTACCAGCAAAGATAAGATTATAATTAAACATTCCAATACTTTTAGGTGACAGCTTTACCTGACCCGTGTCCGCTGCCATCAAAGGAAAAGATGAAACGTTCGCTGAATGAAAAGGAGCGCATTATTTATGCTCCATTTTCTGGTCTTGGTGGTATCGTTTACGATAAAGTAATTTTTCTTATATTCTTTTTTTCTTTTCATATCCCCATGATGAATTTAAGTATCGTTATCTACACAAATAACTGGTATCCTCAATAAATATGATGTATCCCGAAGTTTTCAATAGACTATAAAAGAGGTAATTTGGACGGGCAATTTTTTTATCCGCGTATGGTAAGTAGGAAAATGAAAATTTTAAAAACCAGTAGTGTTAGGCGGCAATTTACTGAAATTTTTGTTGGTGACTATGGCAGTTAACAGAATTTTCGGGTGTGTTGCTTAACTCTGAAAAGAATATTTTAACGTTTACGGAGGCTTTATGGAGGTTTTCCAATCATTTTAATTATTTTGCATTATCGTAGTAACTTTCGATATTTGTCGGAACACGAGTTCTCTTTTTCAATCGCATAGCTCACAGCTTTTGTTTTTCAATCAACTTTTATTTCAGGATGCTATTTATATTGAAACGCGTGGCTCACATTCATATAAGAAAGCTCGGCACGAACTCGTTGAAGTATTGGAAAATGTTAAAGAGGGTATCGATGATAAGATGCATAAAACAGGATTGAAAGTAGTTACAGATTCTCAAATTGTCATACCTCATAGTAGGAGTGAAAGCGAAATGGATGATGATGGTGAGAGATTATAGTTAATTTATTTAGCGAGTTCAAAAGATATTTCATAAATTTTGATTTACTGAAAAATAATACACATAAGTCATTGACTTTTTAATCAAGCATTTACTGCTATTAGATTCTGATACGACAGATGAAGTAGAAAGCATTGGCGAAAAGTCGAGTGACTTTGTGGATTTGAACACTGAAAGTGATGTATCTGAGGATGAAAGTGATGGAAAAGATATTGAAGAAAAGGCGGCTAAACGTTGGTCACAACTTTGTACACGAGCAAAATTATTGTACAATGAGAAAAAATCGGCGAAATTGAATTGGGCTAAAATTGTATATTCTGATTCTGGTTAGTTTTTCCCCTGCAGTGATAAGTAGATACTATTCAAAAATATTTTCAGCCTTTTGTTATTGGTTATTTTCTTTTTATATGACAACCGTTCTTCATAATATCTCGAACCATCTGTGCGAAGAACTATGATGGACATTGAATTTCAAATATTAAATTAGATTGCGGTACTCTTCCTTAAAAAATATTTGAAATTTAATATGAAACTCTAGCTACTAAATGAAAGATGGCAATATAATCATTTTTATCATCAGATCTGCATGACCAGGATGAAAAAGAGCAAGGTCAAGTACTTGGTGGTCTTTTCAAAGTCCTGACTCGAACTGAGAGAACCATTGATAACTTGGTTAGTTTTTTAAAGTGATCGTTTCAAACAGTTGGAATGGTTGTGCTTTTTGTCGCTTTATGGTTCGAAGTTAATGACATGTATAAGCATAAGGAATATTTTACTGATTATTACTAACTTTTCGCTACAGGAGGATGGCCTTCTCTGCTGTAAATCGTCGACAGTTACATCTGAACAACTTTTAAAACAACAAGATTGGAACAATTTGCAGGTTTGTTCATAACGTTAAATGTTTAGTTCGATACAAACTATCCTATTAACGTATGGGTAATTTGTCCAAAAAATTATTCAAAAAAGTCAATAAACATAAATTGTCTTGCATAATTGAAGTTTTTTTATTTTTCCTATGATTACATTAAATTTGATTTGATTTAGGTTCGTGTATCGATTGCGGACTGCTTTGTTACAGGAAATTGGAATCCTGATGAAGACGCTGCTATGCGATTAGAAGATGGTGATTTTCTGAAATAAAATTTTAGTAATAAAACGAAATAGATGTTGCACAGCATTTCTGAAATACATTGCCATTATTTTCTGATGCGATGACTATTTATTCGAACTTTATTTCGTCATATAGTAATCAATTTCCTTTCAGGAAAGCAAATTTATGGTGAAAGAGCAAATTTTAACGTAAACGATGAAGATACTTTTGGTGAAGGAAAGTGTTGTTCCTTTTATCTTATGAGATGAGTGTTTAAGTTTTCTAATTTGATTTTTTTACAGATGATGAAGCCAGAGTTGAAAATGAAGAAAAGATGGATGCTGTAAATGCAGTGAGGAGGGATGAGGAAGAGGCATCTAAAAGAAGAAAAATTGACAAAGAAAAATTGAAGATGCGTTTCAATGCTGAATATGATGAAACCAATAAACATTACATAGAGCTGAAAGGAGAACTTGAAGGGCAGTCGAAGGTGTGCTATGTTTTTGGGTTTTAGTATTTATCACATAATATTTTTGAATTTAATTCCGATTAAATTAAAATAAGCAATTTATTTGAGTTGTCATATATTTCAATTAAGGAATTAGGGAAAAAATTATTCTGTTGCTGTAGAATCCGCAAGTTTTAACCAGAACCATTGGTAAGTTAGGTTACTAGTCTTTTTTAGCTTAATAAATCAGTCTTCGAAGAGCTGGATGAAGTGGCTCGGCAACAGTTAGAGGGTTTTCGACCAGGGCTTTATGTTCGAATAGAATTTGAGGATGTGCCTGTGGAATTTCTACAGCATTTCGATCCAACCAGACCCTGTATTATAGGTGGCCTTCTGATCGGTGAACAGAATATGGGTTCTGTACAGGTAGATTTTCGTTTCGCTTTTGCCAAGGGTATTTTTTGCAAATGATTCTTGATTATATTTCACTGTATCACCGGATTTTTACTGCTTACAAATCTTGATATTGATATTAAAGTTTTGATTCTAGGTACGAGTGAAAAAACATCGGTGGTATCAGCGGTTATTGAAGTCACGAGATCCTCTGGTTATATCATGTGGTTGGAGACGATTTCAAACTGTTGTTAGTCATTTCTGTTTTTCCCTGACCTTGTAAATTGCGTTATCTGACCGTAAAGGATGTCTCGGAGTGATAACATTGCTGCAAAATTCAAAGAAAGATATTTTAGAATCTTATTGCAAAAATATTACAGGTTTGAAATGAAGCTCTAGCACTGTTTTTGAGTTATGTAAGTAACTTTAAATAATGATGAAGTTTCAGATCATTTACTCAATGCAGGATCATAATATGAGACAGCGTTTCTTAAAGTATATACCAGAGCATATGTTCTGTCAGGCAGTCTTTTGGGGGCCAATAACAGCACAGAACACGGGATTCCTTGCAGTGCAGTCACTAAACAGAGATATGGTTCGTAAATGATTTTAGTGGTATACATATATCATATTTATATCACTAAAATATGTTTAAAAATTATATATCCGGACTGAAATATATTTAAAATGTTATATATATCAAAAGAATTTTGATTTGTGGCCTTACCACAAGTAAAATTTATATTTTAGATAAGGAATTTATTTAAATTGCAAAAGATTTCGTGAAAGTAGCTCACTGAATATCCTACGATAGATATCATCTTAATTTTTTTCAGAAAGGCTTTAGGATTGCCGCAACAGGTGTTGTGCTGAATCTGGATAAAACCTTCCAAGTTGTGAAAAAACTAAAACTTATTGGTTATCCATATCGGATATTCAAGAAATCGTCTTTCATTAAGGTTTCTTAGTGTTTTTTTTGGGGGGAGGGAAGGTTAATACATGTTTATTTACATTGCTTACTTTCTCATATTTGTTTACGTGTTTTAGGCAACTTCTGGAAACGAAACTTTTTTGTATTACATTGTTTTCGTGAATATAAATGTTTGCATGTTTTTGGAAAGCTAATTGTATGTTTTTATGCAAACTGACTATTTCAGGGAATGTTCAATACTGTTTTAGAAGTGGCAAAATTTGAAGGTAGTGTTATACGCACGGTTAGTGGTATTCGGGGTCAAATCAAAAAAGCGTTACATGAGCCTACAGGTGCGTTTCGGGCAACTTTTGAAGACAAAATTCTCATGAGTGATATCGTTTTTCTTCGTGCTTGGGTAAGTAAAAACTTTTTGTTCTTTAAATCAAATATCCGTTTAAGACTTATTATCGAAGTGTGATATTGCCATTGTTAAGAATTTGGTATTACATTGCATTACACTTTGTTTTCAGGTATCTGTGCCTGTGCCTCATTTCTGTACCCCTGTAACAAATCTGCTATTACCATTGAACCAAGAATGGGAGGGCATGCGAACAGTGGGTCGCTTACGTTTTGAAATGGGTTTGAAACCACCGATGAAGATGAATTCACTTTACAAAGTAAGAATTCAAGAGTTTTTTATTTTGGGAGTATTGTTGCGGTAAAACATTTCTGCTTTATCAATTCGGATCTTTTTGCAGCCAATCGAAAGACGACCGTTTGATCCTGCACCGCTGCTTATTCCAAAAACGCTCCAGAAAGAACTACCATATCGATTAAAACCAAAAGTTGCGGAAGAAATCAAGAAGAATGGTGACAGACTTGTAGAGAAGCATAGTGCAGTTATACTAGAGCCACATGAAAGCAAGGTAATCTTCTATTCCTACATTGACTTTTATGTTATCCCAAGCAATTTCAAAAAAACTGAATATTAATTCATGATCTTTAATTGAACTTCAGATAAATCGATTCATGGAAATACTTGGTACGGTACATGCGGAAAAAGTGAAGACGGAGAGAACAGAAATGGCACAGCGTGTCAAAAAACATCGCATGGTAAGGTTCTATCGTAATAAAAGTCTTCCAATGCAAATCTGCAGAAATTGCTTGATTATTAAAGTTTTTAAGATTACATAAGTTATGGCTGGACTTTTCTGTTGGGTTAGTTCGAATTTCTTTTTTACGGTAGGGTTGTTACATATATTAAAATCATATCCACTAAAAGAATACGGTTGATATTACCCCTTTCAATTGAGATCATTGTCTGAATATGCACGCTATTCTTCGCTTTAAGTAATTTTAGTGAACAATAATTGGAAATTTTGCCTCATTTTTGCTATCATTTTTTATTTATCTTATATTTCTATAGGAAATGGCAGCATTGGAAGCACAGCGAGAATATGGAATAAAGAAAACTAAAAAAAAAATTTGCCGTTCACTTTCCAAACGAGAACAGATGAAGTTACGCAAAGCACTGGATTCAGTGAGCAATATAAATAAGAATCTTTTTGACAGCTCCTGAAGTCAAGATTTTCTGAATATACTTCTCTGTCTTTATTTTTTAACCAGTTGTTCTCATTGTTTTTTGTTTTTTTTTACCTTATTTTTGCTTCAGCAATAAAATGTAAATTCAAATATCTTTTTTGGTCTTTTGATGTGGTTTTATTGCCAAACTAAATCTTCTATGAAATTTTAAAATGAAATTTATAAGATGTGGAATGTTTATATCCGTCTTTTTTCCTAGTTGCTGGGTGAACAATTTTCTTCAAACGGTAATTGCACGCATAGTTAAGCATAATTCAAATTGCTTAAATTCAATTCTTTTAGGATTAAAGAGATTAAAAAGATTTGCTTTTGTATGAAATTAATGGGATTGAAGAGTCTCATGATTATATTCAAAATATTGAGGATTTCTACAACGATCTTTTCAAAAAGCAAGCATTGGGAATGTGATATAGGTTGTAGGTTTCTGTAATTTAGAGGTCGTGTACGTTACGTGACTAAATGTTTGGTTTGGGTCCGTGGTGGTACAATTTTTCGCAGTTCCACCGCTCCGAATTGACGGTAGATAATTTGATATTGGTTCCATCGCCATACATTGAACTAACCATTTTTGGAACTTTCAAGGCTGCTGAATTTTTGTCGTTTGTTGGTATGTTTGAAGTTCTTTTTTAAAGTCGATAAATCTGAGAATATTGTTACTATTTTTGAATGCTTAATGTAAAACTATTTTAGGATATTCCAAGATTTTCCGTTCTAGTTTTTTTATCCAAATTCCATGATTTTTGATTTGATTTTTTTCCGAAGGAGTTGATTCTTCTAGGTGGCTGTATAGTACATCCAGTATATCGGCTGTTTCTTCTTAGAAATTTAACTCCGGAGAAAACCACGAACAATTCATTTAAAATAATTAGAAACAAATGTCGAAATATACAGGTATGTATAAATGATTCTACAGAATTTTCAAAAATCTTCATGATAAATGACAGAATGAACTGCTGTTCCCAAGCACCGTAAGAGTTGGGGTTCGTCCTTAACCGATTTGTTTTCGGTTGTGCATAGTTTTATTGGTGTTCTAGACAGAGAATTATAAATTATTGGACATGTAATCAAGAACTGCAAAACCCGTAGTGCAATAAGGCATCATGAGTGAATCCCTTCGCAACAATTTCGTTACATTTACAGGGGCGATTTCTTTTGGCAAGTTTTATTGTTGGACCATTGACTGTGCTAACTTGTGTGAATTATTACTCACTAGGTAGAAAAGATGCGAAGGAATTGTGCTATCAGATTAGATGCAATGAGAAAATGATGGTTTGGGTAAGTTTTTTTCTTCAGCGAAATTAAAATTATGATCTGTTTACATTTATCAAGTTATTGATTTTTAGCGAATTCATTGAAGGTCTCCTCCAGCATACATGTTTGCAAGTGCGACCACTTGCATGACTGTCATTCAAAAAGTTTAATCCATGTAGTACATCATAAAGTTTTGGGATTGAATAGACAGAATTTTCCAATAGTATAAGATAAATGCAAACTGCCTTTAAACAAAGATAGTAGTGCAAAGATATCCTTATTGAACGAATTTCAGGATCGCGCTGCTCTTTCACTAGGATTTCTTGGATGGTATTGGAAACGTTTTAAAGGAGCTGTCGACGGTATAAATCTGGCATCAGTTTACACTGCTTATTATTTTACGGTACAAATTTTGTCATCCATACTTTAGCCAAATTTGTTAATTTACATTTGATTGAGCTTTAGCCCTCCACTTACTGTATTCCAAACTTTTCATCTGCACATTCTACTTTTCTGGCATAGTCATAGCTACTAACACATACCTTCTGAAAGATTTTGATGGTTTTGATTGAGATTTTGATGCCTCTCAGAACAGAATGTCTTTTTTTTTAACTCTCTATGTCTGAAATTACTTTATTTCTAGAAATATTTGAGACATGGTTCTGCAGGAAAGGAACAGTCTTTATTTGCTTGATAATATATTCTTTGCATGAACTATCGACTCCCTCTTATAGGTACAAAAAAGATTAACAAATGCACCAACAACAGATAGAATCAAACCATCGCAGCGTCCGAAAAGTCTAGAGGAAGCTGAAGAAACGAAGAACTTCCCATTTTTAGTACAAACAGCAGCAGAGAGTAGGAAATCACTCGGTTCGACAGCTTCGCTTCGCATACGAACATCATGATTATGTAATACTTGTTCTTAAATACTGAATAAAACATTAGATGGGAACAAAGTTATTTACTCACATCTTGATAATAAATATGTAAACGTGGCGGAAAATATAAGTCGATTTGATTAATAGAGCACCACTTCCTATTTGAAGATCCGCTTATTTGTTTGATGATTGATATCTTTCATAAAATAATCGCTTATAATTACTTAGTTTCTAAAAAAATCCATGTTCACTAAATATTCGAATTTTACTTGAATACTTAAGTTGCCCTTTTTAAGCTTTGGTAAGCAAAAAAAATATCGTCTCTTTTTACAAAAGATAAGTGGAACAAGAAAAGAATCGAGATTGTATAACTTTATCCGTTCCTCAGAGTACTACGCAGCAACTCTTTTTTGACAAAATTAGAATCGAGAATAATTTTAATTCACTTCTATGTGCAAAATTACTGAACTCAGAATGCAACAAAACTGAGGCGGCACCTTATATATACAGATAAATGAAATGCCTACCAGGAGAAACAAATGAGCACAGGACAAGAGATTTAGAAAACTAACACACTATGCAGTGATCAGATGAGAGAGGTAGGTGCCCATAAACCTGAAACCCTACATCAGCTGGAAAATTTCTTGAGAAACAATGCTCATATAAGTGCAAACTAAACTGAAACGTCAAAAAAACTTTGGGACAGCAGGTCCTGCATGGCAGATATTCTTATGCATTACATAATTTGAATTCTGAAAAAGGAAGAACCAAATTAAAATTAAAACAACAGCCATCGATAACACACAGTGAGCTCTTCAGTTAGATGAAAGATAATAATTACGAACGTTTAATTAAAAATAGCACAGAGCAAAACCAATGCCTTTAAAGGTGCTGGATTACCTCAAGTGCAAGCGAGGAAAAAAACTATACAAAAAAAATAACTTCAAATATCCGAGCTTTTTCAGCTGGGTCCTTCATCCCTTATTTCCTATTCGATGAGACTGAACTAGTGCCAGTAATGGCATTATCAGTATCGTTCATGAATGGATTTTTTGGTCGTCGTGATTTAGTAGTAGAAACATAAATAATTGGAGATCGTGCAGTAATGGATGATGAGATCGACAAGGAATGAAGAACACCACGGCGTTGAGGAGAAGTGTTTGGTGACGAGCACTGTTCCATTATTTCGCTCAATTCTGTAAGAACTCATGCAAAAAATTTTGAATACATTTAGCACAAGATAGAACGGAATTTCAAAACTTTTTAACAAATTATATATACCCAATCCTTTGCATCAACTACTCTTTAAATTTATAAAAATTTATAGGTATGCTTACCTCTACACTTGGCCAATGTTTTTTCTTTTTTAATCCTCTACTCTTGTTATCTCAAGATTGATTAAGAAACGAAATTAAATACATTCAATTGACAAAACAAAAAAAAACAAACGGAAGCAAATAATATGCCAAAGTACGTTAAGGAATATTGTAAAATTCACATATACTGATCAAATATTTATTATATTTGAAATATATGAAATATAAAATTAAAACGAGAGAATATAATTAAATGAAATTAAAGAGAATATAATTAAATAGAATATAATTAAAAATTTGCTGAACATTTCATAAATGAAGGATATATAATAAAATCAGTAGAGGTTCCAGAAATGTCATTTTATGATTAATGATTTAAAGACTTAAACATTAACAGCTCCGTAGCTTTGTTGCTAAAAATGATTTTTCGCGCAATATTAAAATTAGTATGGAATTAAAAAAAGAGGAGATTTGTATACAATAAATGCTATGACTAGAACAAGGCAGACCTACACAACCACCCTCATTTCAAATATCGTTTTATTTCTGGTATCATTTTCAAATTCGCGGAGCGTAACATTGTCGATCGATTTATATATTCCAAGTCACCATGACATGATGTTTGAATTAGCGGTCGTCCAACGTTTTGTTGTTGTTCTTCCGATCTACCGTTTGCGTTGAATGAACGAAGCCTGTCCCAGTAAGCGACGATTATTAAGACTAACTGCAAGTTTCTCAAGAGATTTATCAAGTCTAGCTTGAGAACGTCGCATAACCCGCATTTCTCCACTCAAATGGCGGGGTGTCTTCAGATTGTTTTGCTTTTGGATTTTTGCGAGTCTGCTGCGTGTTGCGGGACGGAAATTGCACGCTTCCATACCGACCGATGTTGCTAATGCTGCAATCTCTATGCGTTATGAAAAATTTGCTTTAATGCCGTTCGTCATCGCAAAATAATCTGATATTAATTGAAAGTGACAAGTGAATTTGGAATTGTGCATTTCAGTTTTGTTGGCAATGCATTCCAAGTGGATATCCTAAACACTTGCATAGTATTGAAATAATATTCGGTTAATGGCCAGTATTGACATAAAACATTTCACCAGAAACATTTGACGGAATATTTAGAGAATGAAAATTATTTCATTAGGACATGGTTACAAAAATGTGATGTTTGACAGAAGATTACGACACTTGACAAGCATCACGTAAGAAAACGAAAATAAAAAAATTCACATTAACAATAATACGATATATATTAAGTGTCAGACAAGCAGATAGTGAAATGAATTTTGGATATTTTGTGAATAATGCATTTTATTACATGTTTTGTGAAAGATTTATAAACTGTGCTGATGATGCATACTCACACGCACAATGCTTATTGCAGTATAAAATCTTACCTTCAAATTTTTTCGCTCGCTTCATTACAATCTCTCGCGAAGCTGAAGATACATTTCCAGCAATCGGTTGCAAGCCGTGTGAAGCGGGAGGAGCAGAGAGTTTCTGAAGAGATGAAGATGCATATTTACCATGTTGGCACTGAAGTCCTGTTTTGGAACCCTATAACACGAATTGTTCGACTTGAAATATATATAGAATGCGAAATCCGAGACTTCACTTCGAAGCAAATAAGAAACGCTTATAAATAAGTATACTAATGAATTTTATGAAATAAAAAGCCCACCTGCTCTTCAATAGTTTTTTGTATTCCCAACCGTGCGAAATGGTTGACGCGTTGTCTTACCATACCACGATTATTAGATTTTATAGATAAAACACTCGGCCGCGATCCAGATGGCATATAAGCAGGACCTGCTATTATATCCTGAAATTATTCAAATTTTGTATAATTTATATCAAAAATTCATTGAACAGAGATTACTACTGACATCTTTAGCAAATTTTATTATTATCTTAATCTCTGTTATATCTGGACTAATTGTCGTAAACTTCAGAAATAAATAAAAACATGTATAGATAACACTTACGTTTTCATTCCTTGCACTCAAAAGTTGCATTTTAATGGCATCAGACTTTGAGAAATCCTCCCCAAAATCATTTAATCGATCACTGCTTTCTACGCTATTCTAAATTGAGAAATTAAAGCCATCACACAAAAGAAAGATATCGTAATCAAAAAATGAGATTCAAGTGACAAATATAAGAATCAAACCCCTTACTAATACAGATTCTGTTTTTTCTAAACAAAAAATGTACAAATCATTTTTGATAATATCCTCTTCAATTGCTAGGAAAGACATTGTTTTCAAATAATATTTAACGTTTACTTTAAACTAAAGAATAAATTTCAGAATCTAGCTAGTGATCTCGCATCGTGTTACGCGTAAAATTTTAGCAAGAATGAGAAGCTATTCATTTAACCATAATAGTTTAAAGAATTTTCTCGTTAGAGCTGAAAATTTTATATCTTCTGAAGCTTTCCAAACAACAATTCAATTAAAACGAGAATGTGCCATAATGAAAAGCTTACTCTACCGGCATCCTCACCATCGTGAGCTAACTGAACATTTCCCTGTTCTGACACACGCTTCAATGATTCCACATGTAACATTTTGTTGCATGCCGCTGTAATAGTAGAAGACGGTACATTAAGAAATAAAGTAATTGACTGGACATTGATGTTGGCTGATGGTGAATAAAAGTGAATGTTTCGAAGCATCTGATGGAAGTGACAACTCTGCACGACTTTCTCTTATTGCGTCTTATTGCGGAGGGAATTGCAGATATGAATGAGATATTCTTTGGTGGAGGAACTGAGGGAAGAGGTGGTAAAGGTATATCTTCTGTAAAAAATTATTTCCTTTCTCTAGCCTTATTGTATAAATAAGAATATTTCGTGTGCTTTCATTACCTAAACAGAGGAACAGCTGAATTGGACAGAAAAGTAAAGCTGAATTTTGCAGAAGATTTGCAGTTTTAATTGTACTTATATACAATAGAAGCACTGCGCAATAAAAACTGGTATTTGAGGAGACAGGCAGATGGAAACTTTATAAAGACTTACGGGAGTTACTCGAAAATTCAACCTGCAGAGAAATTTTTTTTGAAATATACAAAAAGCAACCTCTGGCAGAGACTGAATCCAAATCGTGATTCTTCCCGGTGACACTCGAAAATAGGGTATTTTTCTCATCTCTAATCAACTTGTTTGCAACTTCACGATCTCTTTCTAAGCGATTTATTTCATTTGTTACATCATCCAGAAGTGAAGTCCTCGGAGTTGATTCAATAGTATACTGCATTGGTACTGTTTGCATGGAGTCAATCGCTTCCTCCCGTCGTTTCTGTCGCTTGGCTCGTCGCTGTCGCGACTCCATACATTTCTAATTATTTATTAAAATAATTATGCAAGAAAGAGCAAATTTAAACATAATTTCCCATATGAAGGCGATAATAACACAACACGAAATACCTGTTCTAAAAGTGCTTCTGCACTGAAAGCTTGAATTCCTTGTATGGTCTCATCTTCGTCATCGTTAACAGAAATTTTGTCACTTGAATCACCACTCACACTTTCACTACGACGCTTCTTTTTTTCTAGGACCGAAGTAACTTCAACAAAAGATAATGTAATGCCAATAACAACATGATCTTATATTCTTACATAACTAAATGAGAAACCTACCTAGCCCCGAATCTTTATCCATTCCATTCATCCTTAAACTTAACGTTGTTGAGTGCCTTTCTGAAATTCTTGAATATTAAAATTATATGCAACCAAATTTCACCAAAAAACGTATAAGGGAGTTTGAAACATGGCAGCAATAGAGAAATGATTAAAACCATGAATTACTGGAAGACAAAGGCAATGGAAACCTCGCGCGCGAGACTGTGGAGTTTTCAAACCCGTAGTCACGCTGTTCGGCTGATTACGTTTCAAAAGTGTACTGGCTTTTACGGGTGCGGTGTGACGACGGTGAATACGATCTGTGACTTTATCAGAATCTGTGACTTTATTAGAATAACCTTCCAGAAATGATTGAGTTGAATCAGCAATCTAAATAGAAAAACCATTTAATCCTGCAAATTAAAACCTTTAACAATTCATGGTACTCCATCTCCAAATATTCATTGTCTTCAATTTCAAAATTTAAAGTGCATCTTTGGCAGCTTACCTTCACTGATTGAAGTAGCTTCTTGGAAGAATTTCGCTTGATAATCTTTGATACTGCTAATTTCTCATCCGAATCTTTGTGCTTCAGAAATGCTTCACTAATATTTTTGCTAAAACGATATCATGAAACAAAATTAAGGCTCTGACAATTCTGTTAGAACAAAACTTCTGTAGCTTAATTGATTCTAAAAAAAATTGGAGACTTCATTTATGGGATCATGACACAGAACATAAAATTTCTCTGACAAGCATGCAGAGAAGAAACTGTATAACAAGATGAAAGATAAGAAACAAACGAAGGAAGGAAAGAAGCACTTACACGTTTTTAAGATCTTTTTAAATATGAACATTAATTGTTTCATTATCATATTGTGTAATATCATTTAATGTTACTTATCTCTTAACGAAACAATGTGTCGTACGTAGCTATTTAATGTCTTAATAGAAGCTCGGAGAGTTGACTTTATTTTAGCTATCGGCGATTGAATAAGAAGGATTATTATCGTGGTGGCAGCTTGAATAAGAAAGATTATTTCTCGCAAGAAGGCTTATTATCGCAAATGGTAGCCGTGACTTCTAGAAATATATCGTAGTCCAGAAGCTTAATTCAATATGCAAAAGGTACATTTAACTAACGTCGTCATTTCGATAGGTTCAAAAGCAGGTGAAGCAGGCATCATATTCACTTCTTTTAGCTCTCTGATAACTTTGTACTTCTCCATCGTCTTGCTTCTTGAATTTGTTGTATTAGATTTGCGTGGTGATTCTCGACGTGAACGATGTCTTGAACTTTTTGCCAAAATTGAAGGCGTATTATCTTTTCTGCTTGATGGAGTACAAATATTAGCTTCCATCAAAGTCGTCTGCCAACGCTTCCCAGTTCTGAAATATAGTAGTATAATGATGAACTTTTCGAGTTATGCATATAGAAGAATCAAGTTATATTGAAAACTAACTTCTGAGGGGAAGAGATGATGTTCGATAAAGATGATGTTATACAGCCTTTTATGTTTGAGCCATTACTTCCCGGTGACAATTCTTCATTTTCAAACTTTATTCTGGAGGTGTGTTGGGCAGCATCACAGGTGTCAGTGTATTCACGGACACAAAATTTGGCTGTTGCAGCATCCAATCCAGCTAAAAAAATGTAAATATATATGTATATATTTATATATATATATATATATATTGAACGAAAGAAAGAACTACATGAAAAAGAATCAGCAAATTTACAGATTGCTTAAACGTTTCTAATTCTATCAAAACTCAAGAATAAATATATAATTCGACAGCAGCCTAATACTTGCAAGACATAATGCTTGCGAATTTCCTAACTTTAAAATACATAAAGCTGCACTCACCTATATTTTCTCTCAGAGATTCATCATCGGTTACATCGCCTGCTGAACAACGCCGTCGTGCTGATGCAAGTGGAGATAACCCACGGCGTAAAACTTTATTCGAAATATTTGAGAAAAAGTCACGAACTGTAGACGATGAGCGCCGTTCCCGCGGTGTTTTAACCTTAAAAAATGAAACGAATAACGAATAATCAAGTCGCAATCCTAAAAAATTTAACCGGTTCAATATTTCAAAAAATAACCTTGCATAATTCAGCAAACTTTCCTGATGGCTGTTTCTCTAGTTTCTTTTCTTTTCGAGTCTCAGCTTTTTGCTTAACCGATGCCATTGATGCCGTATTCCTAAAAATTTTCGACTTGGAAAAAAAGGTGCAAAATATAAAATTAGACATTCATCTTGGCAAACTTCATTCTTTTCAGAACCAAAAACAAATATCTTCACCTAGATGATGGCTTGGCAGAAACACTTCGCATTCCAACGTATCCCATAAATCTTCCTTTGAAAATTTTTTGCGAGACATCAGAAGGACGACGTGACGCCAGATAATAATCACGCGGCACACCAATTTTATGCGCATTATCAATCAGATCAACAATAATTGCAATACGAAGTTCATTTTCATTTCGCACATTCGAAATTAAATCTTCCTGAAGAGATACTGATGATTTTGCACTTTTGTCGATTGAAAAAAGTTAGCAATGGGATGAAGAATAGCAACCCAGTTTCTGACGTCTTTCAACTAGTATTTAGAAGGTTTACATGAAAAAGAGGACAAAGAACATGCCTGAGATCCTCTCTTTCTTTTATTAGGTGCAAGTGGTGGATCGTCTCGGAAAAGAGATGGAGCAAAAACGCGCGCAATATTTTCAACTGTCATCTGGTGACCCTCATGTCGATCTCCAAACTAAAATTTTCCGATAAAAACGAGATCAGAATTTCTGTTTCATGAAGCAACTTGCTGCTAGATTAAATATTAAAATTAAAGTTCACATACCTTACAACTGTAATCAATTAACTTAGATCAAAAACTGTCCAGAAGAAACCTATGTCCGAAATACTAATGTGGAATTAAAATTTCAGTTGAAACTTACAATATTTAGCCGGCCAAAAAAATTCCAGGAATGAATTCTTTCCAGAATCCTCATCCACTAATTTCCCAAAATTTCTTTATTTGTTCAAAATAATACGGAAGACTAACATATTTTAGTTGCCGCATTAAAAAAGTTAATGTTGCCAAATGTTCCGGAGGCAACATTCGTACAGCCTCCAGAAGTTTTTCGATACGTTGAGCTCCATCATAAATTGATGCAGCCTATAAAATTAGAAATTTTTTTACAAAATAATGGACATTTATCACTTCATACAATAGACAGCTTAAAAGATGAACGAAAACTATGCATATGAGGAGGAAAAGACTAAAATTTTCATTAGTGAGCGTTTCTTGTTTATATTCATTACTTTTGTATCAATTTTCTTATTAAACTTACATCCAGCAGCTGTGTTTGCATCTGAGCAAAGAGAGGTACTTTCAATTCTCGAAAAAATCGCTTAATAAGTGAACATACATCGTGCGTGGTACAATCTTCCGGCAAAACTACGCTACCAAAGAATGTTTGTATCTTAAAATTATGAGTTAAAAGATAACATTCATTCTAAAGTAAATGAATTATAATTCAATTCGATTACTGGCATACTCTAATATAAAATCTGCAATATTTAGAACACAGAACATACCGAAAAAGACTTGAGTCGGCTAATGTTCCCTTCTTTTCGGAAAATGCCACTGGCATCGAGACCGTTAAGACGAAGGAAATTGAATGCATCGACAAGGAAGCTTAAATCTCAATAGATTATTCAGCGAAGATTGAAGCAGATTACAAATCCATTATATGCAAAAAAGGACCAAAAAAATATATGACTTACACAGGAACTCCGCGAAGAGTGAAAGTGCTGAATCCACGCCGATCTCCCACGTCTAATTCCATAGTATAACTAGCAACACTTTCCAGCCTTAATTATGAATAAAAGAAAAAATTGAAAATTAAATGGATTTTGATAATGTCTTAAATAATGCGAAATGTAACTGAACTCAATAATAAAATAAAACAATTTTCCTTCTTCACGAATTCAAATTCATATCATTTCAGAACTGCCGCATTCACAAGCTTGAAATGAACTAACGTGAAGTGATGTGGACTGGAAGTGGTAGGTAATGTATTAGCCTGGCGATACAAACGCATACTCCGTAAACCATCCAAATATTTATCCATAACTATGATATGCGGGATTGCAAAAATTTTCTCCAGATTGCAGTTGTTCCTCCTTTTTTGCACCTCTCCAGGTCAACAAACTCTCTGACAGACACTACCGTTTCTAATAACAAATTGTTTGTAAATTTCCCAGTTCATGATGTTCTAAGCAAGTTTAAATACTAAACAAGTCTCATACGTAATCAGTTATTCCACGAAAAAATTAAGACATATAATTTATAGGAAATCAAAAAAAAAAAACCAAGATAAAAGAGTTGAAAATCCAATTGGAAATGAAACGGACTGATTATCGCATTAAGCAAATGAGAAAATGAAGAATTGTGCATGTTTTCAAAAGAGTTATACACCTAATATTTGGTTAGAATAAAAATCAACAAAAATCATAACGTTTTCGGTTGGAACGCAATATATCAGATATGTTGCTTGCCAGTAAATAACAATCATTCACCATTAATTTTTACATTTAGTTAATCATGCTTACAAAGAAGCAAATTTTACTGAAGTGCTACTTGCATACTCATTATGAGAATAATGTAAATTTCAAACTAAGCTGAAAACTAATTCATAGCAAAGTCTGAAAGATCAACAAAACATACGAATACCAAACTATAACTAACCTATCCAGGACAAATTTCAAGATGACATTTACTACTGTTTTTACACAAATTCCTTCCAGTTCTGGGATGTATGATGGTTAGTAATGATGAATGAAGTTCACTTTAAACTATGTAAGTTGTCACCAAGAAATATTCTAAAGCATTGTTCCAAATCCGTTGAAACTTAATTACTCAACCTTCAACCAAAATCTTGATTCATTCCATTATTATTGAATGTGTACTGCATACGTTCCAATAATTGTAAAGTGAATCATTATTTTGAGAACAAATTACAGTACTCGCCAGCTATGTCTTGAAATAATGTAAAGAAATTCTTCACTAGCATTTAGGGGTAATTTTAAATTGCATAAGCACGCAAATTTACGATAAGAAATTACGATCAGTTACGAAGGAAGCAGCCTGTAAAGGTGGTGAAAAAAAATGATTAACAGTCTTGTGGTGAAGTGTCTGGTGTGCGTGCTGTTGTTTTTATTTTAGTTAGCAGCAGGAAATCAATTTAAACACTTCGAACATAACAATACCGGACTTAACGGTATGGAAGTCAACTAAATTTCGCGGGATGTACTCGCCGTAACTAAAAAAAACAAAAACTTTAAGAAGAAATTGAAGTACTTAACGGTAAATGAAGCACCTTCATTACAGGAAATTTTCTGATGTCATCATTCTGTAAAACAATTAGCAAAAGCTTTTCATTGCCTGCAATGTCTGTTTCATGAACATTAACAATAACGAAATGAGTCATAATACTGTTGCGTACGCTCCTCTCTCAAGGACAATATCCGAAAAAAACTTTGAATAAAGGAATTGAAACACAGTGAATTACAGCCTTATAATTGCTCCTTTTCTCATCTAACGGCTTATAAACACTACCGGATGATACAGGGCTAAACAATAGTCAATTACCGACATAATTATTACAATGAACACGACAGTTGATCATCAGACAAGATGAAGTTACATACAACACTCATTTCTTAGACAGAAGAAGGAGATCAATGACCAGTGAAAATTGACTTCAATTTCACGTTAAAACTTTATCGTCATCCTGGCAATATCATATTCATGTGACTATAGCTTATAAAAAAAGCATGTCGTCTTCGAGGCAGAAGAATATGTTATTTATGGACTGAAAGAACTTAGTGAGTTACAGTATCTTATGGAAAATCATAAAATCAAATGTGTATTGCGTAACTATTTCATTGCATACACTTCTCTTCGAAGTGTAGGCTTTTCGAGAATACTACACTACAAGAATTAACGAATACTGGTATGCAAGAATTAAAAACTTTATTTTAATAATTCAAGAATTCACGTAATGATGAAGATGGAACTCGCCCGATATATTCACGTCCACATTCATTCTCACTTTCATTTACGCAACACTCACGTGATGTAAAAGATTTATGTGAAAATATTCTAGAAAAAAAAAAAAACAATAAAAATGATTGAAACGATCTCCCTACACGTTACACCAACACAAACATCCTGCCTGCATCCGCTACCAACGAGTTCGAACAAAAAGATTCGAAAATCCCGCGAAGCTAAATTTGAAAAAAGACGCAATGTAACAGCCATATGTCGAGAATGTTACTGTAACGCGTAATTCAACGTGTGTGATGTGATCCTCAAATGATATTTGATATTAGCATTGGAATTGAGGTAAAATAAGAAGAGATTCTTAGATGAAACCCGAAAGATAATGGATTCTCTTTCTTCAAATAATGAATTACGAATCTTCTTTCTTTCAACTTTCAACTTCAGAAATGTCTCAATTCTTATTCGAAATTTAATTCACGAATTTTTAGAAGTTTTTCTACACACCAATGCGGTTAATTCATACTTCAGTTGAGTAATCGTGCATGGACTGTTTAAATGATATATCAAATATTGAGGTTGGAAAAAAGATCTCCTCCAAAGTAATGAAAATGCAAATCAAAGTCAACTTCTACTTAAAATTTTCTCGCTATTTCGCATAGCTTTAATCGATGATAAATAGTGTATTATCCCAATAGATGAATATGAATGAATGGACAGTAGCCATTCAAAATATCTAAGATAGCTATCGTCCATCCATCTCCTATTCCTCTTTTATTAACCGGAGTTGTTCATGCTGCAAAATGTTTAATCAATCGTTGAAACGGTTTTTTTCCCTCCAAAATTTTCACGTTAATGAAATTTGCCCACATTTTCTCTCCTTTCTTTTTCCCTCTCTCTTACGCTAAAATTTCAATTACCGTTGCCATTTTTGCTAACAATGGAGAAATTTCGATGGTAGAAGTTCTCTATTACTTATACGATATAATAAAATTGTGATCTCACGTTTGTCCATCTAAAGTAATTTCTCCAATTTTATTATCGTAAGAATAGTATAAAAAATAATGTTATTTTGAGAATGTAAACAAAACGAAATTGTAATTATGATTAGTCAATCTTCATTCTTTTATACCTGGTTTATACCTATGAAGAATTGAAAGGAATTTGACATCAATTGCTTTATAATTTATAAACAAAAATGGCTCGACAATAAGATTAATTAATGAAGTTGGAATTAATAATTTGGTAATGAAATAAAAGTCAAAGTAAATGAAAAAAGAGGACAATGTAGAAGTTTTAATAAAATTTTTTCAAAAAATGAGGAAATATATAAAACTCTGAATTTGATAGGTAAATAATATCTATTCTTAAAAGATAAGAAATAAAATATAAGAGAATTGATGGATAAAGAGAAGAAAGAAATAAAATCCCTATGATTCATCAAAAATTTAATTTTTTTGAAGCAAAAAACATCCATTAAAAATCTCTTCATATTTTATCTCTAATCTTTATTTTTTGAAAATATTTGATAAAAGAAAGATCAAACGGATCGTATGAATGTCTCTTTGATTGGTTTACAATTTATTATAATAAAAATAAAAGTGAAATAATTAAGGAATGAATGAATTGATAATGATGAAAATAAGATAAATAATAAATGAAAATATTTAATTATGCAGGCGTTTATTTATGCTTACTTCTCTCATTATTTGAATACATTATGTTAATTATGCCTTCTCCACTTTATATAATGTTAATGATAAAGCAATTATTACCTTGGAAACTTGTGATCTCTCCAAAAATCTAACCTTTGTTCATTTATGGATATGCCAATATACTTAATCATCTGATCCTATTGGTGGCTTATGCCTTTACCTCATCTGCTCAATTCCATTTTTTGTGCTTAATATGTAAAATTGATACTGTTGGATTGTTCATTGTTACATTAAAGGTAGCTTCCGTATGCTGGCTCCATCAACTTAAAACTGTTATTCTAACAACTAAATCATTATACCATTTCCTAAAGAAATTTATAATTTCTCTTGTGCTTTTCTCAAAGAAATTCATAATAATCATAAATAAACTTTTTAATTATTTATTTATTGTCCAATAATTTGATTCGTAAATTAATTGAGTGCAGCTGCCATCTATCCTCAGTATTCATTTAATTTCATCTTTTCAAAAGTCTCTCAAAATGCCGAAATTTCTTTAGAGTAATAAAAAAAAGCAAGATCGGATAGTATTGTGACATAATTTTTCATCAACGAATTTTTGCATTGTTTATCTCAACAACAATTAGTTAAATGTAAAATATATTCGAAATTCTAGTTTTTTTGAAGAAAAATTTATGAAAATTTACTATCTGAAAGAAAATTCTCAAAAGAAAGTCTGTTTGAGAGCGATCTATCATTTCACAGTAAGACAGGGAGATAGACAGATTCAAAATTTTCATGATAAATAGAAATGATAAAGTTAATCTGAACATAATCGTATCAGATCTTTTATTCATCTGAAGACATTCGATCTTTAAAATCAATCAATGAGAAAGTGAAGAAACAAAAACAATATCACATATCATGAAATAATCCAGAAAAGTTGGTTTCATTGATATATTAGTAAACTCGAAGTGCAAAAACAAACAATTATGAATATCACTACTGAATCAATATGAGGAATTAATTAAATAATTGGTTGTCTGCAAAATCGTATAAATGTTGTGAAATGCTAAAATTTTTTCTTAAATCCAAAATAGTTAGATTTAATAAGGCCTGTGAACATTGTGTGGTTAAATTAATAACAGAATTTAACTCTTAAATGTGACCAGCAAAATAGAATGAAAGACTATAAAAGATGAAGCAAAAGTAAGATTTGGAAAATATACGAGAAAACTTGAAAATAAATTATTAAAAATATTTAAATTTGAAATTTAAAAAAAAAGAGAATTAACTAATGGAACGTTTCTGTTTTATAAATGTTATTTAATGCAAATTTTTCTAATTAAATTGTTACTTTGTCTATTCTTCTATTCAATTAGAATAATAAATAAGAATAATAGAATAATAAATAAGA